ATTACCTAATCACTGTCTTATTCAGACAGCTTGAATGGTTTCAGCAGACTTTGGCAGACTTAGGCCCTAAGCGATCCTATGTTCAGACATTGTCCACACCCTTTCAAACATATATTGGTAACTATACAGTCTTAGAAATCTTTTTTAAGTAAAAGCTAGGATGCATGCAACTTTGAACATAGGTTCACGTGCTAGCATTGATTGTTCATGTTCTGTGATCTGACTAGGCAAAATCTCCGCAAAATCTAGTCCCTGTGGCACAACTGAGATGACGGCTCTTGGTTTCCATTTAAAACAAAGCAAGTGGCTAGTCCACATGATTGCTGGCATATGTCTGAAGATGTAATGGTGGTGAATGCAAATAGTTGTGAGGAGTCCCTGCTTCTCACTGCCCCTCCCCTTCAAAGCAAGGCCTAGGATTTCAATTCCATTAGAAGTGTGACATCCTCTTACCCTTTCTCATGTAGATCAGCATTAATTAGTGCTGACACAGTTATATGTGCCTGCAGTTTGTTGGTAGATTTTGCGTGGGGGGGGGTCTCCTCAGTTATGTATCTCCTCAGTCCATGGTGCGAATCTACATACATTCGTTAGTTATAATGTAAGAAATGTGTTATAAAAATGTGGCAGCAGGAGGTGATCTGCCTGCAATGTCAAAATGCATTGAGCATTATATAACATCATTTAACGTTATTTTTAATAATGTTTTTACAGATCCATGTAGATCCAGCCATGCATGTATACTCAATGACTTCTGCAGTTTCATACACCACAAGGATCCTACTACAGAGCCAACATGTACAATGACCAATGTGTGCATTCTCTGGGACCATTCTATTCTCCAGAGAATGACGTGTGTGTGTGTGTGTGTGTGTGTGTGTGTGTGTGTGTGCGTGTGTGTGTGCGTGTGTTTCACAAACCAACTCCTTCACAGGTGGTCAGGCTCCACAATAAAGGTTTGTATCATTTTGCAGTAAGGCCTTTAAAAAAGAACGCATGTGTTTCAGGCTGCATGCAGACATGTGCGCCTACATATTTTATAACTTACTGCATGCTGTATCCAGAACGATGTAACGTTAAGAAGTGGATTTTCTCTTTTTCAGGCAACCTGGGAATATTTATAGTCTCTTTATGAGTGGAACTGTCAGCACTTTACCAGACTGAATGTGGGCTGCCAGCTGGCCATTTCTGTTGCAGAATCCTGATAAGATCTGTGTGGAAAACAGGCCTATCCTCCCTTTTGTGGGGAAAGTAAAATATATTAAGGCCAACTCCAAATCGCAATGCGGTAAACAAACACTTGAGTTTCCCAAAATTCTTACGTGGGCTAGATATTAACCCAGGCTTCCTCAACCTCGGCCCTCCAGATGTTTTAAGACTACAGTTCCACTGGTCCTGCTAGCTAGGGATCATGGGAGTTGTAGGCCAAAAACATCTGGAGGGCCGAGGTTGAGGAAGGAAATAACCAGCCTGAAGAAGAGTTTGCAGGAACTTAAAATGAACCCGCCATTTTGTGATTTGGAGTTGGTCTTAGAATACTACTGTCTTACAATCCCTGTATGGGGTTCCTCCCCACATTGGACAAATTCTATTCCAATCTGTACTGTACTGTGGAGACAGCAACCTTGAACTACCTTAAATGACTTTTAAAGGATTTGGCACCAGCTTGGCTGCAGGTGTTGCTGGAAGGAGATTACAAAATGCCATCCAACCGTCTTAGAAATTGCGCTTTGGATTTGTATAAGGTTTGCTCCTTAGCCTTTTCTTCTCCCATAGGCAGCAGGTATAGATTTTTCCTCCAGGTGTACTCCCGAAGCCTTTCTCATGGATGAGTACAGTGGTACCTTGGGTTACAGACGCTTTAGGTTACAGACTCCACTAACCCAGAAATAGTACTTCGGGTTAAGAACCTTGCTTCAGGATGAGAACAGAAATTGTGCAGCGGCGGCAGCAGTGGGGGGCCCCATTAGCTAAAGTGGTACCTCAGGTTAAGAACAGTTTCAGGTTAAGAACAGACCTCCGGAACGAATTAAGTTATTAACCCGAGGTACCACTGTACAGCTGCAAGGTAGTGGAAGTATAGGATCAGAGTTTTCCTTCTCTTAAACGACTGATGAAAGAATCAACTGACCACCCCAGGCAATTAAGCAGTAACTGCCTAACATTTGTTGTTGTTTAGTCGTTTAGTCGTGTCCGACTCTTCGTGACCCCCTGGACCAGAGCACACCAGGCACTCCTGTCTTCCACTGCCTCCCACAGGTTGGTCAAACTCATGCTGGTAGCTTCAAGAACACTGTCCTACCATCTTGTCCTCTGTCGTCCCCTTCTCCTTGCGCCCTCCATCTTTCCCAACATTTTCCAGGGAGTCTTCTCTTCTCATGAGGTGGCCAAAGTATTGGAGCCTCAGCTTCAGGATCTGTCCTTCCAGTGAGCATTCAGGACTGATTTCCTTCAGAATGGGTAGGTTTGGAATTAAGTTTAAGATACTAACCGATGCAAAACAAAGAGGGGGCTTTGCCCTGCCGGACTTAAAGTTGTACTATGAAGCCGCAGCGTTCTGCTGGCTAAAAGACTGGCTACTTCTTGAAGACACTGATGTGTTAGATTTGGAGGGTTTTAACAATGTTTTTGGATGGCATGCATATTTATGGTATGACAAAGTTAAAGCAAATAAGGCCTTTAAGAACCATATTGTTAGAAAATCACTGTTTAATGTCTGGACAAAATATAAAGACTTGCTGGAAAATAAAACACCAAGGTGGCTTTCACCTTTGGAAGCTAAGGCCCGAAAAGACCCAATATGGAGGCCAAATGGCCAAAATATTGGGAAATACTAGAAAAGATGGAGACAATTGGAAATTGCAGAGCTTGGAGAAAATGAAAGACAAAGTGCGAGATTGGTTACACTATGCTCAGATTAAAGAAGTTTTTAAAAGTGATAAGAAACTAGGGTTCCAGGTGGAGAAATCGAAATTAGAAACAGAATTGTTAGAACCAAAGACTAAGATACTTTCAAGGATGTATAACTTGCTGTTGGAATGGAATACACAAGATGAAATGGTTAAATCGGCTATGATAAGGTGGGCACAGGATATTGGGTATAATATTATGTTTGAGGACTGGGAAAGGCTGTGGAGTAATGGATTGAAATTTACTGCATGTAATGCTTTGAAAGAAAATGTAATGAAAATGATTTATAGATGGTATATGACCCCAGTCAAACTCGTAAAAATTTACCACCTGTCTGATAACAAGTGCTGGAAATGCAAAGAGTGTGAAGGAACGTTCTTTCACCTCTGGTGGACATGCCCTAAAGTGAAGGCGTTCTGGGAAATGATTTATAATGAATTGAAAAAGGTATTTAAATATACTTTCACTAAGAAACCAGAGGCCTTCCTTTTGGGTATTGTCAGCCAAGGGGTGGCAAAGAAGGACCAGACATTTTTATGTATGCAACAACAGCAGCAAGGATACTACTCGCAAAACATTGGAAAACCCAAGATCTACCCACACTGGAAGAATGGCAGATGCAACTGATAGACTATATGCAACTGGCTGAAATGACTGGCAGAATCCGTGACCTGGGAGAAGAGAGAATCGAGGAGGATTGGAAGAAATTTAAGAACTACCTACAAAAACATTGTGATTTGATTGAATGCTGAATAAGATGCTGGACTAAATAACTGAGCACCACTTAACTTAGAAATTTTTAAGGAAACAAGAAAAATTGTGAAAGTTTAACTCTTTATGAGAACTTTAAGATTATGAAATATCGAAGAGATATAAGAATTTAAATAAGATGATAAATTGCTGACAAAATGTTATAATGATGAAGGTGGGAGCGGGAGATGTGAGGAAGTCCAAAGAAAATGTGAAATTATGTTAAGACGAATGCTATATTGTTTATTACATTTATTCCTATTGTAAAACCCAATAAATTGCTTTAAAAAAAAAAACAGAATGGGTAGGTTTGATCTTCTTGCAGTCCATGGGACTCTCAAGAGTCTCCTCCAGCACCATAATTCAAAAGCATCAATTCTTCAGCGATCAGCCTTCTTTATGGTCCAGCTCTCACTTCCATACATCGCTACCGGGAAAACCATAGCTTTAACTATACGGACCTTTGTCGGCAAGGTGATGTCATTGCCTAACATAGGAATTGTTAATCAGCCACCATAACAATATCCTTATTATGTTTAGTAAGAGTGGATGTTGTTTAGTGCAGCCTTACTGAGAAGTTCTTAAGGGCAACTAACTGTAAGGACAGCTGTAGCTTCAAAAAACAACAGCTCCTTTGGCAGGGGAAGAAAAGGTAAAGGTAAAGGGACCCCTGACCATTAGGTCCAGTCATGGCTGACTCTGGGGTTTTGGCGCTCATCTCACTTTACTAGCCAAGGGAACCAGCGTACAGCTTCCGGGTCATGTGGCCAACATGACTAAACCGCTTCTGGCAAACCAGAACAGTGCATGGAAATGCCGTTTACCTTCCCACTGGAGCAGTACCTATTTATCTACTTGCACTTCGTGCTTTCAAACTGCTAGGTTTGCAGGAGCAGGGACCGAGCAACGGGAGCTCACCCCGTCGTGGGGATTCGAACTGCCGACCTGATCGGCAAGTCCTAGGCTCTGTGGTTTAACCCACAGCGCCACCCGTAAACATAATAGTAAAAAAGATAGATAAGATATAATAGTAAAAAAGATATATAATAGTAAAAAAGATATATAATTTTGTCTGCACATAAGCAGGTGGACTGAGTCTCCGAGAACAATTAATTATAAATTCAAAGTGACAATGGCCCAACTCTACCCACCCACCCCCAAAGAACATACGTAAATATCCCCCCCCCAAGCTTCTCAAGGGAAAACTCTTTCATCCCATTCCTCAGGTCCATCAACTCTTGAGTGAAGAGTTTCCATCTGCAGCATCTCAAGGACTCTCAGTGCTGGGGAAATAATGAGAAACACAATGTTTTGTCTAGCCTTGAGAGGAGTAGAATGTTACCGGGGTCGATTGCTCAGTTGGTAGAGGATGAGGCTCTTAATCTCAGGGTCATGGGTTAGACCCCCATGCTGGGCAAAAGATTCCGGCATTGCAGGGGGTTAAACTAGATTGCCCTCTGGGTCCCTTTCAACTCTATGATTCCGTGATCTGCGATTAAGAAATCTGTAGTGGCAACAACAACATATTAACATATTACTTATACCCCGCTCATCTGGCTGGGTTTCCCTAACCACTCTGGGCGGCTTCCAACAAGAGATTAAAAATACATTAAAACGCCAGTCATTAAAAACTTCCCTAAACAGGGCTGCCTTCAGATGTCTTCTAAAAGTCTGGTAGTTGTTTTTCTCTTTGACATCTGGTGGGAGGGCGTTCCACAGGGCGGGTGCCACTACCGAGAAGGCCCTCTGCCTGGTTCCCTGTAACTTCACTTCTCACAGTGAGGGAACCACCAGAAGGCCCTCGGAGCTGGACCTCAGTGTCTGGGCTGAACGATGGGGTGGAGACGCTCCTTCAGGTATACTGGGCCAAGGCGGTTTAGGGCTTTAAAGGTCAGCACCAACACTTTGAGTTGTCCTCGGAAACGTGCTGGGAGCCAGTGTAGGTCTTTCAAGATGTTATATGGTCTCAGCGGCCGCTCGCAGTCACCAGTCTAGCTGCCGCATTCTGGATTAATTGCAGTTTCCAGGTCACCTTCAAAGGTAGCCCCACGGAGAGCGCATTGCAGTAGTCCAATCGGGAGATAACTAGAGCATGCACCACTCTGGCGAGACAGTCTGTGGGCAGGTAGGGTCTCAGCCTGCGTACCAGATGGAGCTGGTAGACAGCTGCCCTGGACACAAAATGTTAGCTTCTGTGCAGATATCCACACTACATTTCTTGCAAAAAGGGTTCATGGGCCTCTGTTGTTTCCCTGTTTCATAGGAAGTATGCAGGAAGCTGCCTTCTATTGGATCAGGCCATAGGTGCATCTAGCTCAGTACTGAGTACCCTGACGGGCAGTGGACTGGCACTGCCAGTCCCAGCCCGTCCCAGAGATGCTGTGGATGGAGGCTGACTCCTTCTGCCTGCAAAGCAGATGCTCGGTTGCTGGATCATGGCCCTTCCCCCAAACTTCAAGGGGTCCTTCCATCCAGCACCAGTGGCTGAGAATCTATCCCAGACTTCCTCCTCTAGCTGGCCTCCAGATGTTCTTCAGCTCCAGCTCCCATCACTTGCAGCTGGACTCCAAAACATTGGGAGGGAACCAGCCTGGGGAAGCCTGAATTCTATCCCGTATTCTGCAGTTGGAAAAACCTGCAGCACTGAGTACAGCAAATGGCACAGGGTGCTGGATTGTGTGACCTGCTCAGAGAGGAATAGGATAGGGTTGCCGTATTTCAAAAAGTGAAGATCTAGACACAAGTTGTCATGCTTTTCCTGGCATAGTTGTTGGGCTTTTGCGCAAAGTCTCCAAAAGAAATGCCTTAGGGCTGAGAGGTAAGATATAAAGTTTGAAATAAATATATCAATAATCCTTAATAATAAAAAAAAGTGGGAACATGCCTGGGCCATGCCATCATGCCCTTCTTGGTGTGTGTGTGTGTGTGTGTGTGTGTGTGTGTACACATATATGGTACATATGTGTGTGTGTGTGTGTGTAATATGGAGTTTCTTTGTATCCCTCTCTTCCTCCATAGATGTCAGGACTAACAATCACAGGCTAATTTCCATTTTATCCTTGTAAGAATCTTCTGAGGTAGGTTAGGCTGAGCGATAGAAACTTGAAACTTAGCCGTTCCAGTTGTTCATTTCACTGCAGTTACTGAGCTGAAGAGCTGGGTCCTAACAGGGGGAACAGCCACATTAGCTTTCAAAGACTACAGTGGTACCTCGGGTTAAGTATTTAATTCGTTCCGGAGGTCCAGTCTTAACCTGAAACTGTTCTTAACCCGAAGCACCACTTTAGCTAATGGGGACTTCCGCTGCCGCCACACAGCCGGAGCACTGTTCTCATCTCATCTGTTCTCATCCTGAAGCAAAGTTCTTAACCTGAGGTACTATTTCTGGGTTAGCAGAGTCTGTAACCTGAAGCGTCTGTAACCTGAAGCGCCTGTAACCCAAGGTACCACTGTAATCCGTGTCTCTTCTTTTCCCGAAATCCATTTATCTCCTATTTAGAGCTAAACAAATGCAAGATCCTCCACACTTTCAGAGTTTCCCATTCTAAATATAGTGCTAAAACAAAAGGGAAGACAAGGGAGAAGCATGTCTAGAGGGATTTAGCATAGGATGACAATGATCGACACAAACCCTCTACCATAATTTTGACTCTAATCCGTTAACCAAACTCAAACTTCTTTTCTTTTAGGCATTTTCCAGAATGCTTAGAAATTGCAAACAGTAGGCCTTCTGCAGAGAAGGAAAAGTGTTTCCGCTCCTCTCTTTTTCCCCTCCTGTGCATTTAAGAGGAAATCTAATCAAGTCACCCCCAGCCCCAACTGCATATGGGAAAATCATTATTGGATTAGATGGCTGACCTGCAAAGGTTGATGGGTTCGGCATGTGTGGTCCAGGAAATAATCCATAATGCAAAACAAAACTTGGATGGCAAGGCATTGTGTCCTTTAAAGGGCATCTACATCAGTTTGATTAATGGCACTTGCCTGCAATGCCCTTCGTGGGTCCCTTTGTTCTTTGGCTTACTATTGGCAGCTGCTAAGGTACATTATCCTCAAAAAGAAAAGAAAAGGGGGGAGCTACAGGAGGGGGAACAACATTGGTTGGTTTTGCCTCCCCTAGTATTCCCTAAGGGACGCAGGTGGCGCTGTGGGTTAAACCACTGAGCCTAGGACTTGCCGATCAGAAGGTCGGCGATTCAAATCCCCACAACGGCGTGAGCTCCCGTTGCTCGGTCACTGCTCCTGCCAACCTAGCAGTTCAAAAGCACGTCAAAGTGCAAGTAGATAAATAGGTACCGCTCCGGCGGGAAGGTAAACGGCATTTCCGTGCGCTGCTCTGGTTCGCCAGAAGCGGCTTAGTCATGCTGGCCACATGACCCGGAAGCTGTACACTGGCTCCCTCAGCCAATAAAGCGAGATGAGCGCTGCAGCCCCAGAGTTGATCACGACTGGACCTAATGGTCAGGGGTCCCTTTACCTTTAGTATTCCCTAAATGTTTAGGTAAGATCCAGCGGTGGGATGTTTTTGCTGCCAGTTGAAGGCATACCTGTTCATTCAGGTTTTCCCTGGTCCTTCCTACTAGTCAGTACCGCGATGGCGTTACTGATTTTGTTGCTGCCCATTGAGATTGTTATTTTTTTATTATTGAGTGCACTGCTTGGGCAGCTCTTGGTGTGAATCAGGGGTGGGGAACCTGAGGCCCTTTTGGTGTTGTTGGGACTCCCATCAGCTGGAATAGCTAAGTCAGTAGAGCACGAGACTCCTAACCTCAGGGTCGTGGGTTCGAACCCCACGTTGTGCAAAAGAGTCCTGCATTGTAGGGGCTTGGACTTGTGGTCCCTTCCAACTCTACGTTTCTATGAGTTTGTTAGCTCCCCATCACGCCCAGCCAGCATGGGCTATGGTCAGGGATGGTGGGAGATGTAGGCCAACAACATCTGGGAGGACCACAGCTGGTACCCGCTGCTGCTATAAACGGAAAGAAGTACAGAAATATTTCAATCAATAAACATGGAATTGTTGTGGCCTTTGAAGCATCTTGGAAGGGGCTCCACAGCGTGCTACACCTCAGTATACAACAATGTCCACTAGCTTATGTGACTTTACAAAGGAGTAGACACATTCATGTAGGGACGCGGGTGGTGCTGTGGGTTAAACCATAGAGCCTAGGCTTGCCGATCAGAAGGTTGGTGGTTTGAATCCCCGCAATGGTCCCTGCTCCTGCCAACCTAGCAGTTCAAAAGCACATCAAAAGTGCAAGTAGATAAATAGGTACCACTCCTGCGGGAAGATAAATGGTGTTTCCATGCACTGCTCTGGTTTTGCCAGAAGTGGCTTAGTCATGCTGGCCACATGACCCGGAAGCTGTCTGCAGACAAATGCCAGCTCCCTCAGCCTATAGAGCGAGATGAGTGCACAACCCCAGAGTCGTCTGCGACTGGACCTAATGGTCAGGGGTCCCTTAACCTTTACCTTTTAGACACATTCATGGATATGGGTGAACTCACAGACTGTTGTAGTTCAATGGAGACCTCATTCTCGGAGGCAGCTGTTGGCATCCGTCTGTCTCAAAAGGCAATGGAGTGCACCTCCGAGGGTGAAGTCAAACCACTGGGCCAGCAGCACTGAAGTGACCTCCCTTGGGTGCAAACCTGGGCAGTGTGTATGGAAATCCTGGGCTGCCCAGATGACAAGACTCTTGGCCTTGCTGATGTGGTCCAAAGGAAAGTAGAGCAGTACATTTGGCACCAGCTTGGCTGCAGGAGTTGCAGGAAGGAGGCGTTCAAGGCGCCATCCAACCATCTTAGGCAGCTGCATAGCATGGGTTGTTGGTGCCCCGGGCATAAATGTGCACAGTGGGACAAGGAGGTTAGCCGCACCAGCCCAAAACCTCACCACCAACCAAGCCGCAGTTGTTAAGTTGTGGGCGAACATATCAGACGACACAGCGATTCTTCCAAAGCGGCTCTTTATTTGTAAGCTGGAACAGAAGTGACTGAGGAGCTCAGTCAGCCTGCTTATATAGAGCTCCAGAACAATGTAACTGTTGCCATTTTCTAAAACTATCCAATCACAGAACGTCACTTTTCGATCCTTCATTTGCATACAAACTATCCAATCACTGAATGTCACTTTCAATCCTTCATTTGCATAACTATCTACAGTATCCCCCTGCTGGCCCAGGGTGAGAACTTCAGTACATAACAGCAGTGGTCTGACGTGCGATGGAGGAGACTGGGCGGCGTGCATGAAGTCAGGTGCATGAAGGGGAGGGACAAAGAGGCTCAAAGCTGGCCCACAAGGACGGCAGACCTGAGGGCTGTGGCTCTCTGTTCACAAAGGAGGTGGTTGCCAGAGCCTCTCCTTGGTGGGCAATAGTGGTGGCATTCCCTCCCTCCCTCCGTCCCTCCCTCCTTCCCTCCCTCCCTCTCAGCTGGGGGGGGGACACATGGGTTGTGCTGGTCACAAAGAGAAGGAGGAGCCGCCTCTTCACTAGCCCTGAAGGCGTCCTTGCAGAACTTATGATATACGGTTTTGAGGATTGAAGATAATGTTGGTTTATAGAAGTTGGGTTTCTTGGGTGTTATCTTGAAGTAGATGTGTTGAATAATTTTCTTTTCTTTTTTAAAAAAGTTTTTATTATTAAAATAATTCAGCATTAATACACACATATTGCGAATATACAAGCATACAAACATACATTTCATACAATCCTTAAAAATGTTCAAACACACCTACACTCAATCCCACAGATAATTCCTTTTCCCATCACCATCCACCAGCCCTCACCCCACCTTTGTGTTAGACTTCCAATCTACTCAACTGCAATTTCTTTCCACTTCTATTACTTTCTTTCACACACCTTTAACCTAATTTCATGCTCCTTTTTCTATTACACATTGTTATCCATCTTATCTAGTATTTCAGTATTTAAAACGGAACTTGTTTATTCTAATAGGAGTTCAGATTTTTCAATATGGTTTTGCAAATATCCTTTAAACACCTTCCAGTCCCTGTCTATCTTCTTTTTTGAGATCCTTCCAATTTCTCCCATTGTTTTGGATATATTGTAATACTCCAATAATTTGGCAAGCCACTCTGTTTTTGTCGGTATAATACCACTTATTTGGTATTATACTGAATAATTTTCTATAGATAGCTGACAGATGAAGAATCAGAAGTTCTCTTTCTCTTTCTTGTTGATTTCTTTTTCTTTCCCTCTTTCTCCCCTTCTCCTCCTCCTCCTCCTCTCTATTTCTATGTGTTTTTATTTAGCTTTTTAGTTTTGATAAAAAGATATCTGATATTAATCTTTGTATTTCCCCCCCAAAAAATGTCATTTTATTTTTTTTAGAGACAGACAGATGCCAACCAATGTATGTGAACTTTATTGTCTTTTGTAGGCTACCTTGGGAGGGTTTTGCCCTGAAAGGTGCTACTGCCATACTTAGATAAATAAATACAGTCTTGAAAAACATGTGGAGTTGCAATCCCACTCATAAATTACAGGGTGTGGGGTGGAAGCTCTACTGAATGCAGTGGGATGTTGAGTAGACATGCGTGCTGTTGGAGGAGTTCAAGGGTTTAAGGGGGGGCAGGAATAGCATGATTTATCTTTGTGTTAAAATAAAATATTTTCCTAATTAGCTATGGGAGCCTTTCAGAGCCAAACATGCTAGCATGCAAATGCCATAGCAATACAGTGGTACCTCGGATTAAGAAGCTTAATTCGTTCTGGAGGTCCATTCTTAACCTGAAGCTGTTCTTAACCTGAGGTACCACTTTAGCTAATGGGGCCTCCTGCTGCTGCCGTGCCGCCGAAGCACGATTTCTGTTCTCATCCTGAAGCAAAGTTCTTAACCTGGAGCACTACTTCTGGGTTAGCGGAGTCTGTAACCTGAAGCGTATGTAACCCGAGGTACCACTGTAAAGCAGAGTTTCTCTACTTCCTGATGCACTCATTTGTTCATTCAGAAATGCGCAGTTTTGTTTTGCTCTCAAGCAGAGGAACAGGGCGCCCTCTTGTGGGCAGGCCTGCACAGCCCATGTTGATGGGTGGTGGCCTGACCTCCACAGGAATTTCCGTTGTGTTTCATGGCTGCGCCACCTGTGCCTCTTCGATCTGTTATATCTCTAACAGTGGAAGCTGCTTGGTACAGGTCCAAATCAAAGGACAAAAATAGGAATGGAGTCAAGTGGCTGGAGCAGAGTACAGGGAGCCTGCAAGGAAGGCTTTGCAGCAGAGTGCTTTTCAGCTCGCTTAATGGGTTGGAAGGGAGCTGATCTCTGCAGAAGCTGTGTTTTAATCTCATTTTTAATTGGCATGTTCACTCATTTTAAAAGCATAGGAAAGCATACAACCGTGGAGGGGGAGAACTTCATTACAACGAGCAAGCTACATGCGGAGTGGTATTATGGTTACGTTACGAGAATGTAGGGACGCGGGTGGCGCTGTGGCCTAAACCACTGTGCCTTGGGCTTGCCAATCAGAAGGTCGGCGGTTCGAATCCGCGCAACAGGGTGAGCTCCCGTTGCTCAGTCTCAGCTCCTGCCAACCTAGCAGTTCGAAAGCACGTCAAAGTTCAAGTAGATAAATAGGTACCACTTCGGCGGGAAGGTAAACGGTGTTTCCGTGTGTTGCTCTGGTTTCGCCAGAAGCGGCTTAGCCATGCTGGCCACATGACCCGGAAAAAACTGTCTGCGGACAAACGTCGGCTCCCTCGGCCAGTAAAGCAAGATGAGTGCCGCAACCCCAGAGTCATTTGCGACTGGACTTAACTGTCAGGGGTCCTTTACCTTTACTAGAATGTAAAAGTTGTGTGTGTCAGCCTTTCGCAAAGTACTGGAAATCTGGCTGTTGCTGAGAGGATGATCCAGGCTAAGAGGGTCCCTTTACTCTTTTGTAAGTGGGAACTGTTTGTGATGCTTGTAAAATAACAACCTTTGAAGTATGCCCCTGTGAACTCAGTGGGGAGACTGCCGTTCTTAGACTGCAGTCTTAGCATTATTTGCTGTTTCCTCCCTAAGAGGCATGCTATTTGGCAAGGGCTTTCCTCCCCATTGCAGCACTAGACTAGGAGGAGAGAACGCACATTAATCAGGCTCTCCTACCCCTTTTCCCCTGAACCTGGGAGGCTAGCAGTACCTCAAACTTCCCAGGGACAAAAAGGCCTCTAATTTCAAGCAAGCTGAGCCTATACAATCATACCTCGGGTTACAGACACTTCAGGTTGCGCGTTTTTGGGTTACGGATGTGCCGAAACCTGGAAATACCGGGATGTGTTACATCCGGGTTTTGGTGCTCACGCATGCACAGAAGCACTAAATCGCGCTTTGCGCGTGTGCAGAAGCGCCAAATCACAACCTGCGCGTGCGCAGACGCGGGGCTGCAGGTTGTGAACGCTGCAGGTTGTGAACGGGCCTCCCGCACAGATCACGTTTGCAACTCGGGCGTCCACTGTAGTAGGGCATCACTTTGATAAGAAAATGGGAAATTATTATTTTTAGACTTTTTGTTCATATTGTTGTATATTTATAAAATAGGACAGAAAGGTAAAAGTAAGTAAGGATGGATTCATGTCAACAGTCCATCGTCATTCATTCATTTCCATTCTCTGTGTAAGTCCCAGCATTCTAATCTTAAGGCAGGCAAGTCTATCAATCTTCTCCCTTCTCCTTTGTTCTCCACCAGCCTCCATGGAGACCTTGGGGTTCACAGGTGGATTTAGGGGAGTGTGACTGGTTCGGAGCCTCAGGGACACCACAATTACGATGTAGAATGGGAGGCGTGAGGCTGCTGGTGCTGAACTCTGGTGTTGCACAGGATGCCGCTGAAATTTGAGACTCCAAGGTCACTGTATCTTTGCTGGGAACTCATACATGTCAACAAAGTTGGCTGCAAAGTTGGCTGCAATTCCAACACAGGCTCCGAGATAACATTACTGTCTCTCAAAACAAATCCTTGGGGAAAGAGCACAAGTTTACAACTGGTTACGAAACGGCTTTCCTCTGGCTTTCTTTGGAGGCTTGTCCTCTGTTAAATGGCAAAATAGGAGGTGCCATCTGCTACACATCTGCTGTGCTCTGTCACTAATTGGCACATATCAATGTATACATACAGGCTCACTCGCTGGATCATCACCTTGTGGTGGTGAATGGGCTTGCATGTTCCTGTGACCCTTGTGAGCGAAGCCATCAGGAGTCTCTTACTCCCAGCAGGGTCACCCAAGGCGGTAAGGTCAAAGGGGAGGAGCTAGACAAAGAATGATCCAATAATTCCTCAACGGACTTTCTTCAGTATCAACTTTGTTGGACTGGTCATGTTCTGCGGATGCCCGATTATCATCCTCCAAAGCAACTACTCTATTCCAAACTTAAAAATGGAAAGCGTAATGCTGGTGGTCAACAAAAGAGGTTCAAAGACTCTCTCAAGGCAAATCTTAAAAAATGTAGTATAAACACTGACAACTGGGAAACACTGGCCTGCGAGCGCTCCAGTTGGAGAACAGCCTTTACCAAAGGTGTCATGGGCTTTGAAGACGCTCGAACTCAGGACAAAAAGAAGACATGTGCTAAGAGGAAGGCACGCTTGGCAAACCCTCACAGTGATCAACTCCCACCCGGAATCCAATGTCCCCACTGTGGAAGGACTTGTGGATCCAGAATTGGCCTCCACAGTCACTTACAGACTCACTGTTAAGACCGTGTTTATGGAAGACAATCTTAATCGGCTACGAGTGATCGAAGAAGAAGATACCTACAGGCTGATGCACTCAACTCACAGATACACATGGTCCACTCATACCATATAGGCAGGCAGGTACACGTATGCTCAGAGGAAAGAGGTCAGAAAAGCACACACAGCAGAGGTTGTGAGTTCCTCTCCATTATAATAATAATAATAATAATAATAATAATAAAAATAATAATAATATGTTCCTCTCTTCATGGCCCAGCATTGTGGTCTTCTCTGCTGGGTGTGTCTGCTTTTATATCCCCCCCCCCCGGCTAAAAGTGTATTCCTGTCCATCCGTCCGTCCGTCTCTGTGTGCGATTTCTATGTGTCCTGTATGTATGCACTTGAGAATAGTGTGGCTTGGCCACTCCACCATTTGAAGGGGAGGCTAACCCCCAGCTTTCAGAGAACAGGCAGGCCAAAAGCAAAAGTACAGTGTAACACTACACATAGCAGAAGAGATAAGACTGTCCTCTGTTCCCACACTCTCCCAGACAGGCATGTGAATTACACCAATCACATCTGCAGCATCGGAGGCATGAATTGCTAACAAAAAGGTGCCTGTATTCACCAGAAAGTGCCACACTTTTGACATTTTTTTTGCATACCCTCGAGTACCACCAGAAAAAAAGCACTGGGCATGAAGGCATGTAGAAACTACCTTATCCTATAGAGGGAATAATGTATATTTCTTGCAAATTTTGCCATGCGCTTGACACTGCAGACTTTGGAAAATAAAACTTTAAAAACTGCAGTGACTTTTTGCGCTGAGCAACAAGTGGAAAGATGGGCAGAGAGGGTTGTCCCTCTATCTTTCACGGCTCTGGGGAAGAGGGACTTTCAGTAGGTGAGAACAGCTAAACATAAATGCCTTTTTCTGCAGAATTATTTAAGGATCAGGAAATCTGTCCTCTTTTGCTTCTGGCCAACACAGGGCAGCATTGCAGAGCTTCCAGCCTGCAAAACCACATCCTCCCCCCCAAAAAAAACAACCCCACACCTGTTCATCAGCTGATGTCACTGTGTAGACTCAGCTGATAGGCAGGAGTGGATCCTGCTGTCCTCCAACTTCTTGGATTATCCTCATACTGAGTAAGCCTAAATTTACAGGGGGAAAGCAATGAGAATGGTGTTGTCTGAGGGTAACGTAATGCAAATGAAATGGGAACACAAACGGCTGCAAACACACGGTAAACTGTGGACAATACCCAAGTGTCACCAGTAATATGTGATAACTTCCACTTTGACTTTTATTTCACACAAAGATCAAAAATATTTTTAATGCACTTCATTCTTATCCTTTATTAGCTCATATTTATTTGACTAGATTTTCAGTGTTACTTAAAATGACAAATTAATTGCACTTCTTTATTTGCTGTCCAGTAGTGTTGCTAGCCGATCAAAACGTAGCTGGTTTTGTGCCTTTAGCAGCAACTTGATTTGCAGAAATCAGAAGGCAAAGTTTTTTATAAGATGGATGTGCTCATTGCTACAATTCAAACTTCTGTTAGGTTGGCAATGCTATTCGCAAGTGTGGCTCCTTCAGACTGCAATTCCATGTTCGACTTCAAATCAAAAATAATCTAGGCGAGTTGTTCTTGGCTTGGCAGCCAGGAACCTGAACTTGCCTTCTGAACAGAGAGACACAAAACTTGCCTTCTGATTGGAGACACAAAACAGCTGGATTCAAGCTATATGAACCTTTAAAGAAAGCAGCATGCGCAGTCGTAATGATTTGTGATGGTTTTCCTTTCTACTGCAAGCGTGGAGACAATCGTCGGGTTGTATCCAACCAAGTTACACTCGCTGAAATTAATGAACTTAAGTTAGTCGTGTTCAGTAATTCCCATGGGTTACTCTGGGTATGCCTAATACTGCCCTTTGTTTCCCAAGAGACAAAGCCAGGTAACAGAAGGAAAGAAAGTTTTCTATCTTATGCGTCCTTTCCTGGAAATAAGCTCCACTGAATATACTGGGATTTGCTTCTGAGTAGACATACGTAAGGTGGCACTGCAAGTGCAAATGGTGCAGATGTGAAACAATTAATGTAGCAGTTAATACAGGGGTGGAATATGATTGAATGGTGGGTGCTGATGGAACTCAAGCTACGGAACCAGCTGGCACCTGCCATGTAACTATAGCAGGTGGTATTCAATGAACTAGTTCCATCAGCACAAGGACTTTGGGCTGTTTGACAGAACTTCTCTTCCCTCTCCTCATGCACCCCCTGAATCTGTTCAGGGGTCCCCCACCCACCCTCCAGAGCAGATTTTGGGAGGGGGCAGGGCACACCAGGGAGAGAATGGGAGAGTTCCACTGTGCAACCAGGAATTCTTGAGCTCGAGGAACAAGTGTATTGGATACTGGAGGAGGAGGAGGAGGGGGAGTTTGGATTTGATACCCCGCTTTATCACTACCCTAAGGAGTCTCAAAGCGGCCAACAATCTCCTTTCCCTTCCTCCCCCACAACAAACACTCTGTGAGGTTAGTGGGGCTGAGAGACTTCAGAGAAGTGTGACTAGCCCAAGGTCACCCAGCAGCTGCATGTGGAGGAGCAGGGAATCGAACCCAGTTCACCAGATTACGAGTCTATCGCTCTTAACCACTACACCACACTGGCTCTCAGGATTCTACCAAATCACCAGCAAATATCCATTAGGATTAAAAAAAAGGAGACACTTCTTTTGGCATGAAGTTTGTTCTCTGTTACTTTGGAACAGACAGATTTGCCTTCCTGAGAGATTCTCCTATACAAAGACATAGTCCTTAAAAAAAAGAAAGAAATTAATTCTTCTGATAATTTCCCTCTCCCGCTCGTGACTCCACTTACCTTTTCTGCTTCCTACATTTACCTCCTCCATCCAGACTAGCTTTGTCTCTAAAGAATGTATTATTCAATGGAAATGCTATGCAGTTTCACATGGGGAAATGACAACTGCATTTATCTGCCTCCTGTGGTTTCCGCGTCACACACCTGCCTTGCAATACTGTCTGGGGACTTGATCACTGCTAGGTTATCAACAGTTAAATTGAAAAAACAACAACATTTCCCTCCCTAGCTACCCATGCTCTCCGGTTCTTACAAACATGACTTGCTTTTCCACTCATCTCACTACCTAAGAAAGAAATTTGTGCAACTGGCTAAGGCACACCCAAGTGTAAGGTTGCATCATTCTTCTGGAGTTTCCCGATTTATTGCATTCAACTGTGTGAACCCCCGTACCCTGAGTTTAACCTGGACTGGTCTCCCCCCTATCAGTACAACAGACGTGAACCATACTGAGGCCGGCTCAAGCAGCATGTTTGCTACTTCTATGTATTTATAGTATTCTTTCTATGCTTTTGATTCAGTGCCAGCATCAAAGAAGACACACAGAATGATCCTGTGCCGATATATATTGCAGGGAAAGACAGCCTTCCCTGGTCACAGATGTAGGATTTATTCCTATTTCTTTGCTTGTGAAAAGTTAATAGAAGCTGCTAACCAGGGCCTTCCAGATTTCAGGTACACATTACAGGGTGTATTCCCCGCCCCCCCCCTGCACATGAGGATTTAATCCATATAACGGAAAGCTTAGGCACACTGCTATATCAAAGCTAACTTTTAAGAAGGGCAGAGTTTGCTAAGGGCAATTTCCTGGGTCTCTGAATTCATTCTGTTTTCCTCCAGTGGCAAAAAGCATTCTGGATGTGCAACGTGCAAGAGATAAATACCACCCACCTCTCCATTAGTATTTTTTTTAAATTGTCCTTGGATTGCATCACAAATGCTGCAACGGCTACAGAAGTAGCACAGTTAATATACTTCTCATTTTGTCAATCAATACCAACATCAAAATGCATTATTGATATAAAATCAGCCAGCTCCTCGTTAATGCTTCTAGACCCTTGCTTGGCTCACACAGTCATGTAGGGGGAAAACAAGTTTCCATGATTGGTGCAAATCCTTCAGAGCTTTTTGGCTTTCCTCTGAAACCCGCCTTGTTCAGCCCTGGGCTCTGGCTTGCAAAGGGCAACCAGCATCGTCTATGGCTTGTACTGGGTAGACTGGGAGGACCAGGTGAGATATGCGGCTCCACAATCCACTCAGTTTGTCCGTGTCCATGTGGTTGTAGGATGTGGGCATGTCTGAGTTTGTGAACTTGGCCCAGAGGAAGTCCCGCACGTTTTCCTCCACAGTCTGCAGGCCAACATTAGGCTCCAGGTTCTCATCCTCCAGCAAGACTGTCAAAATCAGCGCCACGTCTCTGAAAGCTGCGCTCTCGTGGTCGCAGTACTTGTAAAAGATCAAGGTGGAAGCCGCAGGCAGAGACTCAAACTGATGCACCACGGCTGCCCTCCCCCCTCTGTGGAAGCCAGAGGTGAGCTCCTCGTCGACAGCCAGCTTGGCCCTATCGCTGCTGAGAGTGGATTTCGAGGCTCCATCCACCTGGACCGTGCTGCCGCCCAGGGATGAGGAGTAGATATCTGCAATCTGGGAGCTGAGGCACTTCAAAGTTGCTTTGCCTTCCTGAGCAGAGGCAAGGAGTAAGATAGCTGGCTTCGTGTGGCAGGAAGCATTGAGGTGTTTCTGTAGGACTTTCCGGACCCGGACCCACAGGTAAGGTCTCTGACCTGGGAAGCTCTCCTTCAGAGGTTCAAATCTTGACAGGAAGGCCTCCACAACTGGGTTTTTGGGCACATTCAGGGGGTGAGAAGTTAAGTAGCCAGAGACACCTATGCAAACAGCAGCCAAAAGCACCACAGCTCCCACAACAAGCCCATGGGACGCAAAACCTGACGATCATGAAAGACAGAAAAACATGATTCAGAAAGGAGCCCGATATACCACAAAATGCCTTATCATCACTAATATTTGTAAGCCACTCTAGGAAGTCTCTCTCCCCTCTCCCCACCCCCCGGCTGAAGAGCAGGATAAAAAATGCTATCAATCAAATTGTTGTCTGTTGCACTGTGAAAATCAATAAAAAGCTTTATTTTAAAATCAATAAAAGTCAATCAATTCACATGGCAATAGACTCAGGGTAACACATGGCGGACGGCATAGACTGGCTTCACCTTGTACTAAAAATATTTCATACTCCAAAGGCGGCTGCCACCTTCTGACACACCAGGCTCCGTTGGCAGCAAAGTAGCCGTCAAACGTCAGCTCTGCCCCGTGGCCAGCTTCCCAGGGGCCACATGCAAGTGGTGGGGAGGGCCAGAGAGAAAACTGGGGAGCGGGGGCAGCAATAAAATGAGCAGGACAGTGTCTGTGGCTCTTATTTTTCTAGCCCAGGGGTCAGCAAACCTTTTCAGAAGGGGACCAGTCAACTGACCCTCAGACCTTGTGGGGGGCCGGACTATTGGGGGGGTGTGAACGAATTCCTATGCCCCACAAATAACCCAGAGATGCATTTTAAATAAAAGGACACATTCTACTCATGTAAGAACACACTGATTCCCAAACCATCCACAGGCTGGATTTAGAAGGCGATTGGGCCGGATCCGGCTCCCGGGCCTTAGTTTGCCTACCCATGTTCTAGCCGCATGAAAGCTCACCTGACCTCTGATCGGTCATGTTGCTACTGCTTACCAGGAGGTAGAGGGAAGGAGAGAGGAGAGGTGTTGGTGAGGTGGGAATGTTGCAAGCGAAACAGCCAAGCCAATCCAGGGTTTCTGCGGCCAAGTTTGCACTTTGCCAGCCTCACCTCCATCCTCCGCTCTCTCCCTCCTGGTAAGTAGCAACGCAACTGACCAAAGGTCAGGTGAACATGGCAGACCCACCTTGCCATCCACTGCTGTCGCCTGGGCAGAAGCATTGGGGAGGGTATAGGGCAGGGAATAATAATAATAATAATATTTATACCCCCCACCCATCTGGCTGGGTTTCCCCAGCCATTCTGGGTGATTTCCAAGAAAGGATTAAAAATACATTAAAACATCAGTCACTACAAACTTTCCTAAACACGTGGCCTGGGGTCCCAAGGGCCAGAGAGAGAGAAGGGATGGGTCTGGACGATCACATTCGACCAGTGGGACAGAGATGCCCCACCCCTTTCTTACACAAGAAACCCTGGCTGAAAAGGAATAGACAGTTTCGGATACTAAGAACTGGAGTAACGTTCCCAATACAAGCCCTTTTAATTCAATTTAATTTAATTTCCTTTTTTGTCATTTCTTAATTAAAATTCATTTGATCAGCTTTGTTGCTATGCAGAGGACAAAGGTTTTCTCACCATTACCCGGCTGCTCCATCGGTCGTTCTCTTGCGCTCTGCTGGCTTGCCTCTTCTGCACAGGGCTCAGCCTCTGCTTTGCGTCCCATGTGCCCTGAGAAGAACATCAGTGTTATCAGAAATAGCAGCAAGGAAGAAGTCCAGCCGGCCCAAAAGCAAGACCAGAAGAAAAAGAAATCATGTAGTGTACCAGCTAAAACGTGAGGGCACGTGCCCCGAAAGCTCCCTTCTTATATATGTGGAGGTGAGTCAGCTCAAATTTTGGAAAATGAGATTTAGGTAGGGCGTAAGTTTCGTTTCCAATGTGGCAATGCTTTTAACTACACTCTCGTAGCACACCTATCCACCCCCCTCTTTCCATCTTGCACTTAAATGTCCAAATGTCTTGCACATTATAGTCCAAATGCTATTCATCAGGAAATAAGGATTTGTTTTAAGTTTTTCATGTGTGCTAAAATTCAGTCTAAGTTTTTTTATATAAAAAAAATCATTTAACCACATCAGTTAACAGACATGGATACATATGCCATAGTGTTATTGTTTCAGTTAAATAAATTGTTTAAATTGTTATTACGGAAATAATTATTTTTCTCCTTACAATAAATTACAGCAGAAAAGTTGTCCAAATATAAAGTTAACTTATTAAACCTCACAATAATTTCATAATTATCTGTCAATGTATTTCTAATAGTATAACCAAAATCAGTAATTTTTGATATAACTGTAAAAACTACTCTGAAAATTTATTATTCCAAAAATGAAACCTTCATCTGGTTGTAAATATTAAGATTATACCAGCAAGAATGAGTCTTTCTGTAAAAAATAAATAATGATTTAAATCAAGTCTTACTGACTAATGATTTAAATCATGATTTAAATCGATTTGATTTGATTTAAATCAAATCCACAGAACAAGATTACCAAAAGTCAGGTCAGGAGTGGTATGTATTTCCTTCTAGTCTATTCTTCTGACTTCTAATTCTAACAGCTAACTGCCTGTTTAAAATATATGAGCTTTATCCTCTTCCACTTTAATAACAAACAAACAAACAAACAAACAAACAAACAACAACACCACACCAATCATCACACATTCCATGCTGGAGCAACTTTTAAAAAATTAATCATGCAACAAGAATCAGTTTTATACTTTTATGTCCTTTATTCCAGGTGCTTAATTTAAACCCGCTGGTCCTGATCTGTTTCTTTAGTGAAGAATTTTAGACTGGTCTCTTTCATGTGTGTATGCAGTCAAGGTTAGTTACCATGGAATAGTTACTACAGTCTTACCTTCAGTCAAAGATCTCTCCAATCCAGGGCCTTCAGGCTTTTGAACAAAGGTTTCACTTTCCTGGTCCAACAGCTTCTCTTTTGTATCACAAGGGTCCTCCAAGGAGTTCTCTCTTTGCTGGCACTGTGAACTCACTTTTTCCTGAAGGATGGTTTCGGGCGAACTGTTCTTGTCTTCCATTGGAGAATCTTGTAGGCCAACTTGGGCTGAACATTCAGCCCTTTCATCTGAGGAACCTACCGCATCTTCGGGTGCAAAACTGTCTGATAAACTATCTGTGCCTGAGGAAGGCAATATATCACATCCTAGAGGACCAACTGTCTCTATTTTCAGGAGATTTCCGTCAGAATCTAAGTCCTCTGTTCTTCCCTCAAGTTGTTCCAAGGAGTGCAGGCTCTGCTGGTCCTCTGAGCTCATTTTTTGTTCTGGAGTAGTGTTGAGCAAATTGTTTTCCTCTTCTGTGAGAGAATATTGCCGGGTAACTTGGGCTACACACCCAGTCCTTTCACCTAATGGGTTTACCACATCTTTATCTTCAGAACTGCCAGATATGCTAAATGAACCTGGGGAAAGCCTTGTGTCGCATCCCAAAGGGCCACTGGGCTCCATTTTCAGCAGAACTCTGTCAGACTCCAAGGGCTTTTCCAACAAGGAATCCTCTATGGTTTCTTCCGTTTCATTTTGTAGAGTATTGGGTGAGATATCGTCCGTATTTGGGGGCTGAAGAGTCATCTTCCAGTGCGTTATCAGCTTCTCTTTTTCAGGGAAGCCTGTATGGGCCACAGAGAAAAATAACTGGCTGTTGTGCAATTATCAGGTGATTTTGAGTTACAACTTACTTAAAACCTCACAGTGTTGTTGTGAGGACAAAACAGGGCAGAAGAGAACCATATACACCACCTTGAGCTCCCTAAAGGAAAGGTGGGACATAAATCTGATAGATAATAAAAAAATAAAATAAAATCAGAGTCCCTATGTATTCAAGAAGCTTTTACAGTTCCATGCAGGGGAGGTATCACACTGCACATCCAGTAGATTGCTACAAACCACAGCTTCAAACAGATTAATATTTATTGTTGTTTTATTTCTATTGTTTTGTTATTCTTTTTATGGTATGTTGGGCAGCCTATGGCTGAAAGGTGGGCTGAAAATATCTTAAATAAACCCAACAAAGCCAGCCCTATTGTTCACAATTTTATCCTGTCATTTCCTCAAGGAGCTTTATTCCGTTTCACTTTCTGACTTCCCAGGATTACTCATTTCCCAGAAATGAGGTTACAGGGAACCAGGAAGAGGACGTTTCGGTAGTGGCACCCGCCCTGCGGAACGCCCTTCCATCAGATGTCAAGGAAATAAGCAACTATCTGACTTTTAGAAGACACCTGAAGCCAACCCTGTATCAAGGATTTTTTGTTTGTTTGTTTTACCATTTTTTATGAGCTGTAAGCCACCCAGAGTGGCTGGGGAAAACCAGCCAGATGGGCAGGGTAGAAATAATAAAATTATTACATGACATGGACAAGAATTGACCAAATATGGGTAACTAGAGGAATGGCACCAAAGACAAGAAAAGTGGAAATCTGCCCAAAAACCTGCTCCGACCATAATGCTGTTAAGATGGAAATGAAACTAACACCAACTGGCTCCTTTAGATGGAGGATGAATGACACCTTATTTAGAGATGAAGAAGTGCTTAAGAAGGCCCAAAAAACCTTGAGAGACTATTTTGAGATAAATATGAGCACCAATGTGGAAAAAAGAGTAATCTGGGACGCAAGTAAAGCGGTTATGAGAGGGTTCCTGATACAACAGAATGCAATAAAGAAGAGAATCCAAAATGAGAAGAAGGATAAAATTTTGGAGAAAATAAAGGAAAGTGGAAAAAGATTGAGAGCAAAACCAAAGTCTCAAGAGATTTTGAGAGAAATAAAGTTATATCAAGTGCAATATATGAAGATGATGAATCAGGAGATAGAATGGAAAATTAAACAAATGAGACAAAAGACATTTGAGTCGGCTAATAAATGTGGGAAATTGTTGGCTTGGCAAATGAAAAAAAGACAAAAATTAAATACAGTTACAAATTTAGAAGTGGAAGGAAGGAATATACAGAACCCAGCTGAGATTAGAAATTGTTTCCAGAGGTACTTTAAACAACTATATACACAAGGGCCACAGAAAGAAACTGATGTAGATCGATTTTTGAAAACAAATGGACTACAAAAAATCTCTCAAGAAAATAAATTAATGCTGAATTACAAAATAACTGAACAGGAGATAGAAGGTGCCATTCAGAATATGCAATTGGGCAAATCTCCAGGACCGGATGGACTGACTTCTAGATACTACAGATCCTTAAAAGAATGGCTAGTACAAACTTTGAAAGAGGTCTGTAATGAAATAATGGAGGGGAAAAGGGCACCAGAGTCGTGGAAAGAGGCGTACATTACACTTATACCTAAAACAGAGACTGAAAAGACTCAGCTAAAGAACTACCGCCCTATATCGTTACTTAATGTGGATTACAAAATTTTTGCAGACATTTTGGCCAAGAGATTGAAAAAAGTATTGATGGAAGAGCTTCATAAAGACCAAGCGGGCTTTCTCCCGGGAAGACACTTGTCTGACAATTTGAGGAATATAATTGACATTTTGGAAAAACTAGAAGTGAATATTAACACTAAAGCAGTTCTGATATTTGTGGATGCGGAGAAAGCTTTTGACAATATCTCTTGGAGCTTCATGAAGAAGAACCTACAGGGGATGGGGGTAGGCCAAGGTTTTGAAAATGGTATAGGTGCAATATACTCTGAACAAAAGGCTAAATTAATTGTAAATAACGTGGTGACGGAAGAATTTAAGATAGAAAAAGGGACACGACAGGGGTGCCCAATCTCCCCATTGCTTTTTATATCGGTCCTGGAGGTTTTGCTGAATATGATTAGAAGGGACCGGTTGGTTAAAGGTATACAGGTCGGAGCCAAACAGTACAAACTGAGAGCATTTGCAGATGACTTAGTATTGACGTTACAGGAGCCAGAATCTAGTACTAAAAGGGTCTTAGAATTAATTCAAGAATTTGGTCAAGTGGCAGGCTTTAAACTGAACAAGCTAAAAACTAAGGTTTTAGAGAAAAATTTAACACCGATTGAAAGAGAGAGGTTTCAGAATGAGACAGGTCTGACTGTGGTTAAGAAAGTGAAATACCTGGGGATTAATATGACAGCCAAAAATGGGAACTTATTTAAAGATAATTATGAAAAATGTTGGATGGAAGTGAAAAAAGATTTAGAAATCTGGTCAAATTTGAAGCTTTCACTGCTGGGCCATATTGCTGCGATAAAAATGAATGTATTGCCTAGAATGTTGTTTTTGTTTCAGACACTGCAAATTGTGGACAAGATGGACTGTTTCAAGAAGTGGCAGAGAGATATTTCTAGATTTGTCTGGCAGGGCAAGAAGCCCAGAATAAAATTTAAGATATTAACTGATGCAAAGGAAAGAGGTGGATTTGCCCTGCCAGACTTTAAACTTTATTATGAATCAGCAGCTTTTTGCTGGTTGAAAGAATGGCTGCTCCTTGAAAACACTGAGTTTTGGATCTAGAAGGTTTCAACAACGTATTTGGATGGCATGCTTATCTGTGGTATGATAAGGTCAAAGCACATAAAGCATTTAAAAACCATATTGTCAGGAAAGCATTGTTTAATGTTTGGATAAGATATAAGGACTTATTGGAAAATAAAACCCCAAGGTGGCTGTCACCAATGGAAGCGAAAGCTCTGAAAAAGCTCAATATGGAGGTCAAATGGCCGAAATATTGGGAAATTTTGGAACAAGATGGAGATAGATTGAAACTGCAGAGTTTTGAAAAACTAAATACAAAGTGCGAGACTGGCTTCATTATTATCAGATAATGGAGGCATACAATTTGGACAAGAAAATCGGCTTCCAGGTGGAAAAATCAAAATTAGAAACAGAATTGTTAGAACCCAAAACTAAGATTTTGTCAAAGATGTATAACTTGCTGTTGAAATGGAATACTCAGGATGAAACGGTGAAATCTGCTATGATTAAATGGGCACAAGACGTTGGACATAACATAATGATGGCTGACTGGGAACAGTTGTGGACCACAGGTATGAAGTTTACGGCATGCAATGCCTTAAGAGAGAATATTATGAAAATGATATACAGGTGGTACATAACCCCAGTCAAGCTTGCAAAAATCTACCATTTGCCCAATAACAAATGTTGGAAATGTAAAGAAACTGAAGGTACATTCTTTCACCTTTGGTGGGCGTGCCCAAGGATTAAGGTTTTCTGGGAGATGATTTATAATGAATTAAAAAGGTATTTAAATATACCTTCTTGAAGAAACCAGAGGCCTTTCTCCTGGGCATAGTCGGCCAATCGGTGTTAAAGAAGGACAGAACTTTATGTATGCTACAACAGCAGCAAGAATACTTATTGCAAAGCATTGGAAGACACAAGACCTACCCACACTGGAAGAATGGCAGATGAAAATGATGGACTACATGGAATTGGCGGAAATGACTGGCAGAATCCGAGACCAGGGAGAAGAGTCGGTGGAAGAAGATTGGAAGAAATTTAAAGTTTATTTACAGAAATATTGCAAAATTAATGAATGTTAGAATGATGTTGGATTGAAGTTAAGTGGTTTCTAGCCGTAATGGTATAAAAGAATATGGAAAAATTGGATTTTCAATACGTAAAAACTTAATGCTATAATATATTAAGATTAAAGATCAGGATAAAGGAGGGAAAGGAATTGCGGAACTAATAAATTGAACTGGAATACAAAAAAGGGAGGCATGAGGAGGTCCGGGAAATAAGTAAATGAAAGATAAGTGATGAAAAGATGGAATTGTTTTTAATTTTTTTTTTGTATTTTGTATTTTTCTTTTCTCTATTTTTCTTTTTTTTAAACTATGTAACCTCTTTTTGAAACGTTAATAAATATCATATAAAAAACAAAACAAAAACAAAATAGTAGCCAGTGGCAAAGCCAGCCCTATTGTTCACAATTTTATCCTGTCATTTCCTCAAGGAGCTTTATTCCGTTTCACTTTCTGACTTCCCAGGATTACTCATTTCCCAGAAATGAGGTTACAGGGAACCAGGCAGAGGACGTTTCGGTAGTGGCACCCGCCCTGCGGAATGCCCTTCCATCAGATGTCAAGGAAATAAGCAACTATCTGACTTTTAGAAGACACCTGAAGCCAACCCTGTATCAAGATTTTTTTGTTTGTTTGTTTTACCATTTTTTATGAGCTGTAAGCCACCCAGAGTGGCTGGGGAAAACCAGCCAGATGGGCAGGGTATAAATAATAAAATTATTACAGTGGTACCTCGGGTTACATACGCTTCAGGTTACATACGCTTCAGGTTACAGGCTCCGCTAACCCAGAAATAGTACCTCGGGTTAAGAACTTTGCTTCAGGATGAGAACAGAAATCGTGCTCCGGCGGCGTGGCGGCAGCAGGAGGCCCCATTAGCTAAAGTGGTGCTTCAGGTTAAGAACAGTTTCAGGTTAAGAATGGACCTCTGGAATGAATTAAGCTCTTAACCCAAGGTACCACTGTATTATGATTACCCTGTTACGTTTCATGGTTTACTCCAGGTGGAATATTCTACTCACTGCAGCACATTGGCTCTGAGGGCATGGTCTTCCAGGGCCCACACTGCCAGCTTGGTCCTTCAGTTCAAGAAGGACACTGACAAACTGGAACGTGTCCAGAGGAGGGCAACCAAAATGGTCAAAGGCCTGGAAACGATGCCTTATGAGGAACGGCTAAGGGAGCTGGGCATGTTTAGCCTGGAGAAGAGGAGGTTAAGGGGTGATATGATAGCCATGTTCAAATATATAAAAGGATGTCACCTAGAGGAGGGAGAAAGGTTGTTTTCTGCAGCTCCAGAGAAGCGGACACGGAGCAATGGATCCAAACTACAAGAAAGAAGATTCCACCTAAACATTAGGAAGAACTTCCTGACAGTAAGAGCTGTTCGACAGTGGAATTTGCTGCCAAGGAGTGTGGTGGAGTCTCCTTCTTTGGAGGTCTTTAAGCAGAGGCTTGACAACCATATGTCAGGAGTGCTCTGATGGTGTTTCCTGCTTGGCAGGGGGTTGGACTTGATGGCCCTTGTGGTCCCTTCCAACTCTATGATTCTATGATTCTATGATCCTTCAGGTTGAGGGGGAAGACTAGCTTGGGGTGGCAAAGACCCAGGTTATGAGGAGTTGCTGATGTACCCACCCCACATTTAGTGACTGTCCACACCCACAACTGAGTTACAGGGCACTGCGGAGAGTACCATGAATTTGCCTGAAGCCTAGGTTCCTACTTGGGCGCTTGCTATTTCCCAAACTAGGAAAAGCCCCTGTGTCTTTTAGGGCATCGCCATATGGAAGACCAACCAAGGTAGGCCATTTTCCTTTCCTCAGCCTGTTAAGTAGCCATTGTCCAACTCTTATTAATTACAAAATAAATAAATAAACTGAGTTCAAATCACTTTTCCTGTATATTTATTTATTTGTATAGGCCACCCAATAGCAATGCTCTCTGGGCAACTTACTAGCGACAGAACAGGGTTTGCCAAACTTGGGTCTCCCACTCTTTTTGGACTACAACTCACATCATCCCTGACCACTGGTCCTGGTAGCTAGGGATGATGGGAATTGTAGTCCAAAAACAGCTGGAGACCCAAGTTTGGGAAACCCTGCAAAAGAACATTAAAATATAATAAAACAATAAAAACAGCATACAAATTTGTCTGTGACCAAAGAGGTTTTTTTAAATATATTTTTTACAATTAGAATTATAATATTATTAAACTATAACATTCCTGCATTTTAGGTGGTATGTAGCTAATGTTTTAATATATATTTTAAACCATAAAGTGGCACCCACTGCAAAAGTTGTAGGGAATTTGGGTTGAGCTGCAGTGGACTCACCTGCCTGAGAATACATTGTCCCTGTCAAAATAAAACCCTACTATTCAATTCTTCAGGGCGTGGAGGGAGGGAGAAGTTGGAGATCTGAGAAGAGAAGGAAGAACCGCAAAGCAAATACAGGATGCCCTTGATTGAATGACAGCTTTATGTGGATGGTATGTAAAAAGTGAGGGAACAAGGCGCTGGAATTCCATTGGAACTCCTAGTGTGGAAGCAACCACAGTGAGTTACCCAGTTAATGGCTGACAACACATGAGATATGGGATATTAGATGTTAGTTGTGGGGAGGGGAAAAAAGGGAAGGAAGGGGAGAGAGCAAATTGGCCTCTGCCAAGTTCTGCCAGTTTACAGTAGGCATCCTTGGGGTAGGGTGTAGGGTTGTATCCAGGAGACGTACACCCTGGATACACTAAACACTATATTTCAGGGAGAAGGAAAGGGGAAAGAACACCTTCTTCTCATCCCTACTCTCCAGAATTGCTACCCCTTCTTTTCTGCATCACAGTAAAATGCTCAGATTTGGGGCTCACAGCTTCTAACACTGTTTAGAACAACACGGAAAGCCATACATGTGTATGTGTCCACCTGTTATTCCTCTTCCTAATTTTTTCTTGCAGATGACACTTGTACCATGAAATACTGGAGCTGAGTAGGTCAGTCACCAGAGGAAGCATGTGTATGTCTCTGTATGTATCATAATGTTTATCCTATAACTAACTTACTGGATTTCGAAAAAACCAAGGTAATTTTAATTTTTTATATTTAAATTTATATTTTTATATTTAAATACTCATATTGTCCTCTGTATTTTTGATATATTTTTTTTGTATGATCTGTGATGTTGTGTGTGTTGGCGCTGGTCTGTGACCGTATTAATAAATTCATTCATTCATGTGTATGTCTCTGTATGTATCATAATGTTTATCCTATAACTAACTTACTGGATTTCGAAAAAACCAAGATAATTCTCGAACCAGAACAATCTGAAGGCATAATGTTAATAATAATAATAATTATTATTATTATTATTATTAATTTATACCCCGCCCATCTGGCTGGGCCTCCCCAGCCACTCTGGGCGGCTTCCAAAAAAAAATATTTAAAAACTGTAATACATCAAACATTAAAAACTTCCCTAAGCAGGGCTGCCTTCAGGTGTCTTCTAAAAGTCTGGTAGTTGTTGTTCTCTTTGACATCTGGTGGGAGGGCGTTCCACAGGGAGGGCGCCACTACCGAGAAGCTTAAATTTCAGAATGCACCATTTGATGAATAACACTCTCGCAGAACCCCAGCCCTGTCTCAATGGCATATTATATTCTGCAATCAATACCGGCCCAATACATTTTGGCACCTGAAACAAACCCCAAAATGGAGTGACCCCCTCCCTGCCAGGAAAAAACAGGTGAGTGAAGATTGACATCAGGAACGGGGGGTGGGGGGTGGAAGACAGATTGGCAGCAGGAACTCATGCATCGGATAGAGCTGTAGCTATGGGGGTGGGGGGCCAGCCAGGTTTTTTGCCCCGGGTGACACCTCCAGAAAAGTGCCATTGAGGCTTCCAGACTGTGCATGTGTGTACACAAATGCACGTGAGGCGGGTGCCAAACTGGGTCTTTGACCAGGGTGAAGTAAAGCTTAGTTTTGCCCCTACCCTGTTGCCTGAGGTGATCGCCTCATCTGACTTTATGAATGGGCCAGCCCTGTCTACAGTGTATGTAGATGGAAGGAAGTTTCCCTTGATAAAGAGTTCCTGTATTTTCCCAACAAAGTGCGCTTCGTAGCGAGGCATTCCTGATCGAACCAGGGTTTAGATTTGTTGGAGTATAATGGTTGTCACGAGACATGGGTGGCGCTGTGGGTTAAACCACAGAGCCTAGGGCTTGCCGATCAGAAGCTCGGCGGTTTGAATCCCCGTGATGGGGTGAGCTCCCATTGCTCGGTCCCAGCTCCTGCCCACCTAGCAGTTCGAAAGCACATCAAAGTGCAAGTAGATAAATAGGTACTGCTCTGGCAGGAAGGTAAACGGCGTTTCGTTGCGCTGCTCTGGTTCACCAGAAGTGGCTTAGTCATGCTGGCCACATGACCCAGAAGCTGTACGCCGGCTCCCTCGGCCAGTAAAGCGAGATGAGCGCCGCAACCCCAGAGTTGTCTGCGACTGGACCTAATGGTCAGGGGTCCCTTTACCTTTAATGGTTGTCGCATTGCCTTTTTTGGGGTCAAACAGGGTTGAAGAAGTGAAATCAAATCCTGGAACAAGTTTATTCTAGTTTCAGGGCACGAGGAGTTTAAGAGGTTGTCTCTCCTAATGAGGAATGTATCTGAGCGTAGGCAGTGGAAGACAGGAGTGCCTGGTGTGCTCTGGTCCATGGGGTCATGAAGAGTCGGACACGACTAAACGACTAAACAACAACAACATCTGAGCGTAACCTCCCAGAAAAAGAGAAATATTGTTATATAAGGCAAAGGAACATTAATTTTCCTTAAAGCGGGGAAACCAGCTTTCCTAGTTTCAACCCACGACTATTTCCTATATCTTACGGTGGTTTTGAAAATATTGATTACTCTCCAGTCCATCCGAACACATTTCTAGCCAAGGCCAGGGGTGGAGGAACGGGAGCCGCCCAAATGCTGGACTCCAGCTCCCATCAGCTCCTATCCTACCAGCTTGGTCAGACATGATGGAAACTGTAGTCCGATTACTTGGGGGGGGGTGTCACAAGTTGCTCACCCGTTCAGGGCACTCACATAATACCCAGACCTGGGTGCTCACGCTGAGAGCCAACGTTGGCAGGCCTTTCTGCTCGCTCTGCCAGTCCGTGGAGAGGGTCCCCACCCGTTCCTTGCCTGCTTCGCGTTTTGTTATTTTTCAGCGCGACAGACTTGCTCGGCTAACCAAGAACTGCAGGGAAACTCCAAGAGCCGCAACTGCAAGAGCCAGGGGGTGGGGAAGAAAAACGGGGCGCTCGCCTTGCGCGCCCCTATCTCCCTGAACCCCGCGAATGGCGCGACCAAAACCCACCTTTCACGCGCTTTCCAAGCGTTGGCTATTTCTTCTCTTTTGCGCTCCTCCTCCTCCTCCTCCTCCTCCACTCTCTGACCAGGAAGTAAAGATGAAAACAGACTCTTACCCTGTAGAAAGTGACTTCAGGCAGGCCTTCCCTTTTTGTGTGTGTGTGTGTGTGCGCGTTGCTTGCAAGAAGGGGTTTTGGTTTTTTTGCGCAGAGAGATTACGACCCCCAAAGCCTCCCCAACCTTCCTAGCAATTCCTACTGGAAGCCCCGCAGCGCAGCGCACTCACACGCCCAGGACTTTCCATTGCTACCAACGTCAACACCATTCATCCCAAATGGCACTAGGTTCCCCCCACCCGAGGGATGCTGGGACATGTAGTTTTCTCAACCCTCCGCGTCCTATTTAGGAGAAAAAGAAACCAGGTTGACGTTTCGCGGTCGAGGAAGGAGCTGCAAGAGGACCCGGGCAATGTTCCTTCCAGCTTGGAAAAGTCCCTTTTGTTTGCGCGCTCCGACTCCTGCTGTGCTTTTGTGCTTTATCTCTTGAGAAAGAAGGAAGAGGAGGCCGTAAAACCCTGGCCGCTTTGGTTGGAAGGGCAAAGTACCGGTACTCCTTTTTAACAAGAATAGAAGAAACGAGGCTCCCTCTCTCCTGTTAAAAACTCGCGCGGTGCGTGGCGCAGCAAGTCTGGAAAACAACCCGAGCATAATAAACGGGGAGGGGAGAAACTGAATAAATTTGTGAGGGCCCCCGCCCCCGCGATGGCAGGCAGTGTTTGATGGGGATGGCTGTCTTTTACTTTTACTTTTTGTTATTACGTTGTTTACTGCTCCGAGGTTGCCAAAGAAGGCCTATATAATTTTGAAATAAACAAAAGGACGCAATGCAATTCTAATTAAGCACCCAGTGGTTTCAATGGGAATTGTCTGGACACAGGCATAATCGTTCCAGTGAAACCTATGAACCTTTAATGAATGCATGGACAGTTCTGTGAGTGCTTAACATATTATCTGTACATGTACTTGCCTAAAAGAAAGCCATGAATCACATAAACTTCACCAATACACTAATGGGTATGATCTTGTAGTGACTGACCAGGAAAGCGATCTTGGGACTGTGTTAATTAAAGCATCACCCAAGTGTGTGGCAGCTGCGAAAAAGGCATATTCCCTGCCACAGATCATTAGGCAAGGAATTAAAAACAGCCAATACAGTGGTACCTTGGTTTACAACCATAATCCATTCCGGAGGTCCGTTTGTAAACCAAAACAGGTTTACAACCCAAGGTGCGCTTTCACCAATGGGGCCTCCAAAAATTTTTTGTTGGTAATCCCGCCAAAATGGGTTGTCATCCAAAAAAAGGTTGCAAACCAGGACACACACTTCTGGGTTTTACGTGTTTGTAATCCAAAATGTATGCAAACCAAGACGTATGCAAACCAAGGTACCACTGCATAGTGATGCATTTGTACAATCTATAATGCAACTGTGCTTGGCTTGAAATACAATGTTTCCATTGCTGCTTCTTAAAAAGGATATTGTGGTTGTGGAAAAGGGTATCCAAAATGGTTGAGGGGGCTGGAACAATTCCCTTATCAGATGGTTACAATGTTTTTGGCTTTTTTGCTGGGGGGCAGCAAGTCAGGGGGGGCATCTGGTTTGCCACTGGAGGAAAGGGGCTGCTGGGCTAGAGAGACCTTTGGTTCTGATCCAGCAGGGATATTATTGTTATACGCCACCCCCAATCTCCATGGCAGTGCAAGACTCCAGGAGCTTTACCCAGGAAAATGGGAGACAGCAGGGACTGTGGTGTCTTTATGATGTATGGTTTACTGACACATATATACAACTGAGCTTGCCATGGAAGGGTTCAGAGCATCAGCATTGCAAAAGGGTCCTGCTTCCCCATAGGCACAGCAGCATCCTTGCTCTGTTGCCCTGCTTTCCAAGTCAAATCCCAGCCTACTCTCCCCACTATTCTAAACTCAAACCTCACCTAAAACACTGGCATTGTCTTTTTCAAACTAAACTTCCAGTTGAGGGAGCGAGGAAATCCACTCATTTGCAAATAAGATTTGTCCTTTCATCCTTTGTCTTGCTAACACCTCATTACCCCAGGCTCACACCTCACTGCAAGCAGGAGGCTAGTCTTGACTTAATTGGCTTTTGACACTTGCTTAATTAAAGGATTAGCAAAGTCTAGCATAAATACACACATGGAGCACCTCACACTGGAGACTAGCCTGTCTCAATAAGCTTCTAACACCCCAAGACTAAATTCTAACACTAACTTGATCAGGAATTTAGATGTCTTGCTCCCAGAGATTCCTAACATTATGTTATAATAATAATAATAATAATAATAATAATAATAATCATATATACGCTGGGTTTCCCTAGCCACTTTGGGTGGCTCCCAACGGAATATTAAAAACACGATAAAACATCAAACATTTAAAACTTCCCTAAACTGGGCTGCCTTCAGATCTCTTATAAAAGTCAAATAGTTGCTTATTTCTTTTGACATCTGATGGGAGGGCATTCCACAGGGCGTGTGCCACTACCGATAAGGCCCTCTGCCTGGTTCTTAACAACTTATCACCTTTCCTTCTGTCTGAAAGTTATCTTATGGACTTAGGACTTCTTGCTCAGCTGTGCTCCCTAGATTTAAACAGGAAAAATGATATCAGGATTGCACTTTCAGCAGTTTTGATACTTTTGGGTACTTTATCTGTCTTTAAAAACACTATGGTTTTATGCACTATTACAACCTGCTGACAATGAACTCATGACAACATACTGGGTGTTCCTTCCTATTTCACCTTAGCAATAGTCCCCTCTGATAGGCTAATGTTAGTAGGTGTTACAAGGCCACCTAGTAATAAGCTTTTTTTTTGCTAAGTGGGGACTTGAGATTGGGTTTCTCCATTCCAAGTCCAGCACAACAGCCACTATACCTCACTGGCTGCTAACATGTAAGTAATTTACTTGCTTTCAAATTTTATTAAACATTTTAACATTTTTATTAAACATTTTAACTTGGCACGCTGCTTTGTGGGCTTTTGACCCCAAAAAATAACACATCAACAGAGTTTACAGTGTTTGTTTGTCTGTACAACCTGGGCTCCTTTGGGAGGAGGGCCTGGATATAACTTTGGACAAGAAGAATAAACAGGGCTTTTTTTTCCAGCCGAATTTGCCTGAACTCAGTTCCGTCACCTCTCAGGTGGGCACTGTGACGGAAAAGTTTGCTTTTGCTGGGCAGGTTGGGTCAACAAGTGTTATCTTTTTCTTTTTCCCTGCCGGCAAACGGTTAACAAATGGCAGCCTCTGATTGGCCGGGGTTCCAGGAGAGGGGTTTGAAAAGGAGAGGATTTGAAGAGACAGTTCTTTAGGTTGGGAGTCAGGATGGGAGAGGAGAGACAGTTGGTTCTGGGTAGAAACATCCTCATAGAATCATAGAATCATAGAGTTAGAAGAGACCACAAGGGCCATCGAGTCCAACCCCCTGCCAAGCAGGAAACACCATCAGAGCACTCCTGACATATGGTTGTCAAGCCTCTGCTTAAAGACCTCCAAAGAAGGAGACTCCACCACACTCCTTGGCAGCAAATTCCACTGTCAAACAGCTCTTACTGTCAGGAAGTTCTTCCTAATGTTTAGGTGGAATCTTCTTTCTTGTAGTTTGGATCCATTGCTCCGTGTCCGCTTCTCTGGAGCAGCAGAAAACAACCTTTCTCCCTCCTCTATGTGACATCCTTTGATATATTTGAACATGGCTATCATATCACCCCTTAACCTCCTCTTCTCCAGGCTAAACATGCCCAGCTCCCTTAGCCGTACCTCATAAGGCATCGTTTCCAGGCCTTTGACCATGTTGGTTGCCCTCCTCTGGACACGTTCCAGTTTGTCAGTGTCCTTCTTGAACTGTGGTGCCCAGAACTGGACACAGTACTCCAGGTGAGGTCTGACCAGAGCAGAATACAGTGGCACTATTACTTCCCTTGATCTAGATGCTATACTCCTATTGATGCAGCCCAGAATTGCATTGGCTTTTTTAGCTGCCGCGTCACACTGTTGGCTCATGTCAAGTTTGTGGTCAACCAAGACTCCTAGATCCTTTTCACATGTACTGCTCTCAAGCCAGGTGTCCCCATCTTGTATTTGTGCCTCTCATTTTTTTGCCCAAGTGCAATACTTTACATTTCTCCCTGTTAAAATTCATCTTGTTTGTTTTGGCCCAGTTCTCTAATCTGTCAAGGTCGTTTTGAAGTGTGATCCTGTCCTCTGGGGTGTTAGCCACCCCTCCCAGTTTGGTGTCATCTGCAAATTTGATCAGGATGCCCTTGAGTCCATCATCCAAGTCGTTGATAAAGATGTTGAATAAGACCGGGCCCAAGACAGAACCCTGTGGCACCCCACTAGTCACTCTTCTCCAGGATGAAGAGGAACCATTGATGAGCACCCTTTGGGTTCGGTCAGTCAGCCAGTTACAAATCCACTGAGTGGTAGCATAGTCAAGACCGCATTTTACCAGCTTCTTTACAAGAATATCATGGGGCACCTTGTCCAATGCCTTGCTGAAATCAAGGTAGGCTACATCCACTGCGTTCCCTTCATCTACCAGGCTTGTAATTCTGTCAAAAACGAGATCAGGTTAGTCTGACATGACTTATTTTTCAGAAATCCATGCTGACTATTGGTGATCACAGCATTCCTTTCTAGGTACTCACAGACTGTTTGCTTAATGATCTGCTCCAGAATCTTCCCTGGTATTGATGTCAGACTGACTGGGCGGTAATTATTTGGGTCCTCTCTTTTCCCCTTTTTGAAAATAGGGACAACATTTGCCCTCCTCCAGTCTCTCTGAGGAATATATCACAAGCTAGAGAAAGGAGTCTCTGAGCTTAGTGTGAAGGACAGTGTGTGGTGTCCTGTAAGAGTAATAGGCCAGGAATTAACTGGGAGGCTGAGCCAGGAGAAGCTGCGAGAATACAGGCTACTTAGGTCTCATTCCAGTCAGGAGGGGAGAGATTCTGCTACAAAAAGAGAATAATAATAATAATAATAATAATAATTTATTTATACCCCGCCCATCTGGCTGGGTTTCCCCAGCCACTCTGGGCGGCTTCCAACAAAACACTAAAACACAATAAGAAGACTCCCAAACCAGTTAAGAGGGGTGTGGAGACCCCTTGGGTCTGTTACTTGGAGGACCTCAGGAGCAGGGTTGTCCAAGGGGTGTGTAACTGACAGAAAATACCACCTTGCTTAAGAACCAAAGTATTAAGCGGCAAGCAACAACTGAGACAGAACTGAAGTGAAATAGCATTATAATCCGAAGTATCCTATGCTTTACCCACTTGTGCCATAAACTTCCTTTGTTTAATAAAATATTTACTGTTTATTTGACCAAATCCTGCCTGAGACTCCAAATTATTAAATTTTCCCTCACACAAGTTAATCTGGGGTAGTTTGTAGGAATTTGTGGAACTGGTCTTCTGTGAGGGGGGTGAACTATATTTAAGCGAGGCAGGCCCAATGGCGCCAGGGGGAAAAGTCCTGTTGCACTGTTGCAGGAGTTAATGGTGAATTCTGTCACCTATTTTTCTAGAAAAATAGCACTCATAATAATGATGGTCTTTTTAAAACTTCTATTTCTGATTTTAAATTTTATACATTTCCATAATTTTACAACCATTTTAACATTTGGAAACTCGCTTTCTTCCCCCTCTTTCTGTGGTTCCTTAAATTTATTTTTTATATTTTTTCCATCTTCCAAAATTAACTTTATTCATCTACTTTAAATGTGTATAAAACTGCAGGATATGTCCCTCTCAGATGACTAACTAGGGCTGAGCTTTGCGCTTTGGCAGGTGCTTGTGAGCTGAACCATCATCAGCAAAAATGCTGCCAGCTAGAATTTGAAGAACTTAATTCCAAAAGGGGCTTAAGTCCATTTTGACAAACAACAAAAAAATTCCAATTTTGGCCTGTAGATGTTGCCTTGAGTCCTACTCATAAAGGAGGGGGAGAGAGAATCATGTATAAATGTTGTGCCCAAGTCACTGTGTCTTGAAAAGTCGCTTTTGCGTTTATAAAAGGAAAGGGGGGGAAAGTAGTCAGAAATAGTTTCCTTCCAAAGGAAATGCCGGCCAAAACGGACTTTAAACGGAATTAAGCTTTTCATCTGCGAAGGGCAGCAGAAATTGGGGCAGCGGCTCCCCTCGGCAGGTGGGGAAAGGCGCCCTGTTGCTGCCAAGGAATGAACCTGCGGGGATGTCGGCCTATTCACACCGACACGTAACGCGGCTCCCGGCGTCGCCCTGCAACCCGATCTGGAGCTTCTCCAATTGTTTTATATTTACACGGCGCCGCAGAAGGGTGCTTTAAAAACCTCCGCTCCCCTCTTGCCCGACCTATTTGCTCTCCCAGGCGGCGGCTGCAGCAGCAGCAGCAGCTGGGCCGGGCCTGGCCTTCATCCCGCTCCCTCCCTTCGCCAATCCCAAGACTAAAGCGCTCGAGAGGGCAACCCTCATCTCGGCAACGTAAACAGCTGCGAAGGAGCCCGGAGAGAGCGGCAGCGGGGCGGCGGCCTCCTCCTCTCTTGGGAAGCCGCTCGTTTCGCTCCGAGGCCGGAGAGGCGAAGGCGGAGAAGGCGCCAAGGAAGAATTTCCTCAGGAGGAGGAGGAAAGTTGTGCTCGTGTGAATGCGCGAGTTCCGGGGAGGGAAGGAGAGAGACGGGGCAAGGGACTGAGGCGGCCAAGTAGTCGGCGGAGGCGAAGAGGCAGCGGAGTTTTATTTATTGACTGTATTTGCGCTGCTGGCAGGACGAGGCGGGTGGCAAGCGGAGCCACCTTCGCAGCTTCTTCCCCAGTGGCTGGCTGCGTATTAGCCGGGGGTTTGAAGCCGGCCAGGTCCGCGAAGGGCGGCCCGGAGCGAGCGGGAGGCGATGCTGGGAGAGAGCCCGGCTGTTTCCTCAGGATCCGGCGGCGGCGGCGGCGGGGCCTTCTGTCACGTGACGCCCAGGCCGCCCCTGAGGAGAACCGCCTCTCAAGATGGCGGCGGCGGCGGCGGCATCGCCTCCACTCCCCTCAGCAGTTCCACTCCTTATTCCCGCCCGGCCGGGAGGAAGCCGCCGCGGCGGGGAGTGACTTTCTCCGAGGAGGTGCTGGAGCACCCGGCCACGCCGGCGAGGAGGCTGCGGAGGAGGAGGATGAGGGGAGCGGAGGACGACGACGACGACGACGAGCAGGAGGAGGAGGAAGGGGAACCGAGCGAGGAAGCGACCCTCGCCGCGCCCTACGGCCTCCGCTCGGCCGGGAGGCGCCACCCGCCGACGCCGTTCAGGAGGCCCGAGAGGGCGGAGGACCGGCAGGCCCCGCGAGAAGCCTCGGCCGCCTCCTCGGAAGGTGAGTGGGCAGCGGCGGGGGCGAGCCTATCTGGCTCGCTTAGGTTTGGTCGAATAATAATAATAATAATAATAATAATAATTTATTTATACCCTGCCCATCTGGCTGAGTTTCCCCGGCCACTCTGGGCGGCTCCCAATCAAGTGTTAAAAACAATGCAGCATTAAATATTAAAAACTTCCCTAAACAGGGCTGCCTTCAGATGCCTTTTAAAGATAGGATAGCTGCTTATTTCCTTCACATCTGAAAGGGAGGGCGTTCCACAGGTTGGGCGCCACTACCGAGAAGGCCCTCTGCCTGGTTCCCTGTAACCTCACTTCTCGCAATGAGGGAACCGCCAGAAGGCCCTCGGCGCTGGATCTCTGTTTCCGGGCTGAACGATGGGGGTGGAGACGCTCCTTCAGATATACAGGACTGAAGCAACCCTTCTTCCCTCAGCCGACGTTGGTGGGACTACAGCACCCATCATCCGTGACCTGTTGGTTAGGGATGATGGGTTGTGTAGTCCAGGAACCTCTCCAGGGGCGGGGTGCTCATGGTTGAAGAAGGCTGTTTTCAGGGTGGTGCAGGTGGTTTCCCTACACACATGGGCAAAGCCAAGGGGGCACAACATTGGGAAGATTCACACGGGACTTTGCCCTTGCGCAGGGTGCCATATTACGAAAGGTTACCTGAAGTCTGCCTCTGCTGGATTGGAAGTCCAGTGGTTGGTGGCATCTCACGGAGGCCCTCTGATGGAATTTTTTTTTTCAGAGAATTCCCAATCAAATTATATCTTTGGGCTGCAAACCCTATATATGCTTATTTAGGAGTAAGTCCCATTGAACTTGGTTGGGCTTACTGTTGAGAAGGCACAGTCAATTTCACAAGCTGCAACAATTCTTAAGTTAGGTTTCTGTTTCCTTTTCCTCATTTTCATCTATTTTGAATGCACAGAAGGAAAGAATTGCGTAAACAATAAGTGACTAAGAAGAATGGTATGTGAGGGATGTCATGGTATATAAATGGTTACTTTTTGCCTTTAGCTTAAACAGTCATACCATGGGTTACAGACGTTTCAAGTTGCGTTTTTTGGGGTTTTGGCAGTTGCGCATGCGCAGAAGCGACAAATTGCAACCCGCGCAGGCGCTCCGCTGCAGGTTGCGAACGTGCATCCCGCATGGAGCATGTTCGCAACCCGATCGTCCACTGTATATTGTTAGTTTCTAGGAATGTCTACATGTCTTCTCAAAGTAAGTCATAGGCCCAGTTGCATATCATTGTAAAACAGTACAGTGGTACCTCTGGATGCAAACGGGATCCGTTCTGGAGCCCCGTTTACATCCAGAAGCGAACGCAACCCATGCCCACGTGGGTTGCGATTCACTGCTTTTGCGCATGTGCATGACGTCATTTTGACCGTCTGCGCATGCTTGAGTGGTGAAACCCGAAAGTAATGGAGCGTGTTACTTCCTGGTCGCCGCAGCACGCAACCTGAAAATACTTATCCCGAAGCAACTTCAACCCGAGGTATGACTGTAGTTAACTGTTATCAGACAATGTTGCTTAATTGACATAATTATTGAAACTATTTTAATCAGATTCTGTCAATTCTTCTATGCCCCAAACATGGGGACTTTACTTGTCACATAAGCATATTTTTCTAGCAAATAATGTTTTAATGATTCTGTGATCATTTGGCAGGGGAAAAAATTGGCTAACCAGTAGTAGATATTTGGAGCATTTCTTGATTACATCTTCAAAAATCTGCCTTGCTTACCTATATTTAATGTTATGTCTTAGTGACAGGTGTATAAAACCTGTGAAGGCCAAACATTCAGTCTCTATTTCAGAGTCCTTAGGGGCTCATGGGTTGCATGTTTTACTTGTGCTCTTAAATTGATGCCTTTTCTCCGTAATTGAGGGATATGAGTGGCTGCAGTAGCTATTTGATTATTGAATTCTTTGCATTTCTACTTTGCTTCCTTTGGTAGGGAGTAAAAACATCTTGGGAATTGCAGATGACTCTGAGCTTGTTCGACCAGCTCTTAGAAGAAGTCCAAGGACAGGTAAAATGTCTACAGCAGTCTTGAGCAAAGTTCTGTTGCTCTATAATACTCGGATGTAATATGTACAGTGCTTACATGTACATATTCATGGAAATTCAGAAATCTGACTGGATTCAACTGATTCTGACTCTGGCCCAGTTCAGATTCATGTTTTATACAGCCTGTTCGTGTTTGCATGCGTCTGGAAGCAAGTGTGGCTCCTTGTTGCATCTGAACTGAGAAACTATGGTTAGGATATGCTTCCAAGCAAGCCAGGATTTGGAAGTCATCTGTAAACAAATTGCTTCATATTTTTGCATGTCTGGAAATTGTTGGCTCCTTATTCAGATGCAATGGGAAGCTATGGTCACCTGCAGCTTGTTGCCCCGTTTCCACAAAGAGTGGGATAATGTGGGGTCTAAGAGGCTGTGTGCAGGTAAACAAAGCTCATGTATATCCTGGTTTATTATACCAGGATTTGATTGTCCAAACATATCCTCTGTAACAGATACCCAGCTCCTAATTTTTGTTCCTTTATTTATACCAATAAAATAAAGGAACAAAATATAACTTTGCATTTCCAAGAATTGTGGAAGCTAGAGCTGAAGTAAATGTATTTTCCCTTGTAGCATTATTTGAAATCTCGCTTCACAAATTGACCAGCTTTCTTTTTTTTACTTCTTATTATATCGATTACTAATGAATAATTTCTTGTCTTAACAGGGCTTTCTTATGACCAAGCCAGAGACTCTACAAGAAATAAATCAGGTTGGATCACTTTGCTTTTGAATTTCAGAAAGGCAGCCATTATAATCTGGGACCTACGGCACACTAAAGCATATTGTGGCATATGCTTTTTGTGCGCCAGAACCCAAATTAATAGATGCATGAAGTGCTATCCCTATAGGGAGGTACATTCATGACTACACATACACATGGCTATGAAGGAATAATCTAACTGGTGGGACCCAGAGGTTTGTGAAATGCAGTAGTCTGTGGTGTTGCCTACACAGAACTCAAATTTATTTATACCTCACCCTTTGTTATAAAACATTTCCAGGTATATTGCAAGAAGGTAGTAAACTAAAGAAAATAGCAATTATTCAACAGATTTCTAATGCTACCATTTTATCAAAGATTAAAATTGCAGGCAAATTAAAAGGTCATTGCCTAGATCCATGATGACAATAAATTAGGAACTATAAGAGCTTCTCTTAATTGAGGAGCTACCTGTTTCATTTGAGATGGTTACAGCACTATTGATATTTTTATCAGCATGTTCATGTTGGAGGAGGGGCTTCTTACAGGGGGGATTTAATTATTTATTAGTCATTACTGTTGGAGTAGACTTACAGTGATTCTGTCCCAATGTGTTGTAGCCCAACACATGTAGCAGGTCACACTTTGGATCTAGTGTTATCAATTAAACTGGAAGGTGGTCTAAATGGGATATTTAGCTAAACTCCCATGTTATAACGAGACGGCTACCTGTTGAGGCTTAAGATTGTATGTAGTGTGTGTTCTTTTCTGCAAGGGTAGTACAGTGGCACTTTGGTACTCGAACGGCTTGGCTCCTGAACAAATCAGCTCCCGAATGCCGCAAACCCAGAAGTAAATGTTCTGGCTTGTGAACGTTTTTCAGAAGCCTAGAGTCCAACATGGCTTCCACAGCTTCTGATTGAGTGCAGGAAGCTCCAGCAGCCAATCGGAAGCCGCACCTTGGTTTTTGAAGCATTTCAGTAGTCAAACGTACTCCCAGAATGGATTACGTTCGAGAACCAAGGTACCACTGTAAACCTATTCCTATGGTCTTCTGGAATCTAATGGATTTCTGCATGTTCTTGGAGCTCCAGGTGGTTCTTTCAATACTTTGGTCACTTTGTGAAACGTGGAAATGACCAGAACAATTGACAATTAAACAGTTGTTCCTGAGCATCCACTCCCGTGCTGTTGAGCTGGCTAGACTGCTAATATGGACCACCTATATTGAAGCAACTCTGCAAACTTCTAGGAAGTGTCTGAACTCAATTCAGTGTGGTGCTCTTTATGTGCGTATTTCTTAAAAGTAAGTTCGTTCTTGAAATATGCATTTAGTCCAAAGTAACTACTCATCTTAATGAATTAGTTGAAGCACATGGCTGACCAAACCTAAATCTAAAGATGGGGCTGTAAGTAAATATGGGATTAAATAGTTTTATTGCTTTAGGCTCTGATTCAACATTTGTATCTTTTCAGAACATGAAGCAACTGAAGTGGAGAGTGAAAACAGACCTGAAATCTGGCATGATAATTTTCAGTCAGCTAGCAGATTCATAGAAGGTAGCAGTCGCCTGTTTTCCTATTCCTGGCAGGGTGTCAGTTTGTTATGTGGTGCAGGATCTTTTTGTATTTTATCCACTGCGGTTTTCCAGAAATTTAGGCAGCTCATAATATAGAGCTATAATCTGTGAGGAATTCATTGCGGCACCCGTAGATTGAATTGTGCATATCCAAAAGCGGTTGTGTGCATTGCCTGAAACTCTGGTTGGATCAGAGCCCTTTCATGCAGGTAGCAGTTTGACATGCAATATAGTGATAAAACATAAGATGACTCTTGATGCCAAACACCGGTATCATCCACATTCTGTTCTCACAGTGGCACCAACCAAACACCAACAAGAAACCTGCAGGCAGAACAGAGCACAATAGCACTTCCCAGCTCATATCCCCCAGCATTTGGAGGCATGTTGCTTCTGATCCTGGAAGTGGTATACAGCCATCATGACCAGTTGCTATTTAGTCTAGTTCTCCATGAATTTACCTAATATTTCTAAAGCTGTACAGGTTGGTAACCATCACTACAAATTCCACAGTTTAACTATGTGCTGTGTGAAGTAATTCCTTTTAGCTGTCTAGTATCGTGAGAGAGAAAAGCTTATCTCTATTCATTTTTTTCCACACCATGCCTAGCTTTATCATATCGTATCATATTCCCCTCTTGCTTTTTTTTCTAAACTAAAAATCCCTAAACATTGTAAACTTTTCTCAAAAAGGAGTAGCTCCATCCCCTTGATCATTTTGGTGGCCCTTTTCTGGATTTCTCCCCCAAGCTCTACAATTTTTTGAGGGGCAGTTACCATAACTGTTCACAGTATTCCAAGCACACCAAATCAACATTTTCACTGCTTGACCATAAGGTCTCTTTCCTGGTTAGTCCCAGCAAGTGGAGACCAAATTGGAGCTTGGGATTTTTTGCCCCACTGTGCATCACTTTACACGTGCTTACATTGACGCTTTGCATTGCCATTTTAATTCCCATTTCCCCAAGTTTACTTCCTTTTGAAACTCCTTGCTATCATTTTTTTGTTCTTACCATTCTGAACAATTTGGTGAAATCAGAAAACTTTGTAAGCTGCTAACCCTTAACCTACAGAGATTCTTACCTCATCTGTCTGCTTAACTTTCTGATTGAACTATCGTCTGGGGCTCCCTGTGCCCCTAGAGCTGGGCTTCCTTGCAAGCTTGTCTTACTCTTATATCCCTAGCTAGCTTTCTCCATCTAGGGCTCCTTTTGCAGTCTTAGGATTGTGTTGGTTCCTTGTATCACTAATGTGATATCGTATTTTTTCCCTTGCATCCTCTTTTTTAGATGCACATTATTTTGTTCAGAAACCGCAAGGGCTTAATCAGAAGACAAAGTTAAGAGCAAGAACGCAAGGTTTGTATGGAACTTCAGTTTTTGTGTGTGGGTATTTTGCCTGCTTTTATTTTAAAACTTTCATGTTTATAGCTGTAGGTTAAATGTGTGTTCATTCCACGTTACATGATTATAGAACACTGACAGGATGAATGGTAGATCTAGTTCTGGGTTTGAAAGTAAAAGAGGAGAGATTTAAGACATTGGTTTGGCAGTGGTATATAATGAAATAAATACAGACAGACAGACCTTGTTAGTCTGAAACATTGGATTGTATCCAATGAAGTTATTCTGTTTATGCAAGGATTTCCACTTGCACAGTGGAACTTCCTTGTGCTCCCCTCTCCCAAAGTGCCCCCCCATGTGGCTCTGGAAGGTGGAGGAATCCCATAGAACAGATTTGAGGGCAAGAGAGTCGTGGAAAGTTCTGTTGCACATGTGGAAATCCTTGCCCAAACAGGATGACTTTATTGGACATAGCCTGTGGTTGAATAAGAGAATTTCCCTGCGTTCTTCTAAACGGATACATTTTTGTTGAAAGTGTATCTAAATGCGAGGTCTGAATTCATAAGTATATAATATTCATATTGTCCTAGGTAGGTGTGATAAGTGTGAAATGTTCCAGTACTATGTTTTGGCAGCAGTGCATGGAATTGGCATTAAACCCAATATATTTCTCTTGAAATATATGTCCCACTTGATACCTGTTGTTCCAAACCTAATTCCTTCACCTATTCCCCCTTGCATAGATACTTTCACTAAAATAAGCAAGTGTAATGAGGTTTATGTAAGGAAGACTCTAAGCTCTGTTGAAGGCTTTGGGTAGGGAAACAGAAATATTAGGTCCTATCGTGAGATCTTTTTTCAATTTTTTCTGTGGGGGAAAAATGGAAATATAGGAGTAAACTGGGGAAGAAAAACCTTGAACTTTTATTTTTGAATAATTAATTAAATGCTTTTTAAGGCAGGGTTTTAAGATAATGTGTTGACTACAGTTCACTTTCTCAAAATGGGTCCCAGGAATGGTTTCAGATAGTGGTAGCCTTCAGCCATCATGGCAAGCTATGTTTAAGTGTCACAAACGAGTTGTATTTGTAGTGAGCCTCTGGCTCGGGTTCTTCTTTCTCTTCCCACATAGCAAGGAGGAGGCATTCATTGAATTAAAACCAGCGGGTGGTGCTGTGGGTTAAACCACAGAGCCTAGGGCTTGCCGATCCCCGTGATGGGGTGAGCTCCTGTTGCTTGGTCCCTGCTCCTGCCAATCTAGCAGTTCAAAAGCACAAACTGCAAGTAGATAAATAGGTACCGCTCTGGCGGGAAGGTAAACGGCTGCTCTGGTTCGCCAGAAGCGGCTTAGTCATGCTGGCCACATGACCCGGAAGCTGTACGCCAGCTCCCTTGGCCAGTAAAGCGAGATGAGCACCGCAACCCCAGAGTTGTCCGCGACTGGACTTAACAGTCATGGGTCCCTTTACCTTTACTTTAACAATGAGTCACGAAGCTGGCTTGCTTAAACTAGTCTTAGTTAGTGTTAACTAAACTTTCAGATTTGGACAGCACAGGGAACTGAACTTAACAAAAAGTGGAAACAAAGTTCCTGAAACCCTCTCTACCTAAATGCATAGCTAGCCTTAGGCATTCCTGACAAAAGAGCCATGACATGCTGTTATGTCCAAACATGGCTATTGTATTGGGTAATTACTAATACAGCTTGGCTAAATACTTCTGAAGACTTGCAAACAGTTTGAAGAGGGATAATTGTTTGTAGTATGTACCACCTTGCCACTGTTTCCTCAAAGTGATGCAGGGTGTGTTTTTTTGTTTCATCTTTTTGGATAATGTTGACTGGAATGGAGTCTGTTTTCTTTACCCAAATAATAATACTTGCTTTTATTTATTGTAATGCTTCCTGTTTTTCCAACTGGCAAAAATATATACATTTAGTACAGTATTTTAAAGATGGAACAGAGAAAGCTGTTGCATTTGTAACAATTTGAACAAAATGTAGGTACTTAAATTGTGCTATACACTATAAGGCATTTATACTCTGCTACATTTATTATGTAATAAGTTATACAGAATATGTTTTATAGCCTTAAAACAGCAAAGCAAATGCATGTTTGGGTTTTCCAGAAATTATAAATATTATAGCTACTTGGATTCAAATATGAATTCCTGTTGTGCTGTTCTCCCGTTGCCTTATGAATATGATGAGAATATTCCTCTTTTTGTAGGAAGACAATTTGGATCATGAAGTTTATGGAATTTATTTATTGAATTTTATTTGAAAATAATTGGATTGGTTTGCACTTAAATCTCTTATCTTTGGTTTGTATTCTAGCCCATGTGCCAAAGAAACAACCACATGCTGCTCCCAAAAGTAAGGTATTTTCCTCTTTCAGACTATGTGTTGTTGTTGTGGTGTCTGTTCATACCACCGATAAAATCTAGGTTTTTTTACTGAAATGTGTTTGACAACCTTGCACCTCTGTAATTATGTATGCAGACTTGCTTGTCTAGAATCTAGGCTTTTAATCGGGTGGGGAACCATTTTGCCTCAATGGGCTAGATCTTTCTCCACTCCACAGGCCAACTCTGATGGGTAGGAAATGATTGACATGTTGGGATGTTCTGCCCATGTGTCAAAATTCTGTTGTTTAGCGCTTGGGTACTACAGCTCAAGGGGCTTTTCTAGTCTTATGCTGGGCATAAGGTTGGCAAAATTGCTTTCTGCAGGGATTGGTTGCGCAGTTTAGATTTCTCATAGGGAACTTGGTTGCACAAGCAGTCCAGCATGCTTGAACACTCTTTCCATCAAAGGAAGAGCAGTTACTTCAACTCTGCTTCCTGCAGAGTTGTTCGAGCAGGAAAACACGTACGATAGACATTTTCCTTTTGAATGAGAAGGGAATAGCCTTAAAAGATGTTAAAACACACCTTCTTATTCCTTGTGATGTAAAAACTCTACCAGCTGAGCATTATTTCTGGTGATCTATTTCTGTTGTGATGGAATAGGGTAAAGTACACATACAAAAGGCCCCATGTTCAGTCCACAACAGTTCCAGATAGGACTAGGAAAGATCCCTGTCTGAGACACTGGAGAGATTCTGGCAGGTGGGGATAAACTACACATTACATTGAATGTGAATTTGTGCAGTTGCACCTTTTTTTTTTTTTTAAGAAAAAAAAACGCAGACATGGGGTCTCACTACAGGTGGGGTCAATTGTTATTGGGCTGCACCTGTTAAGAGGATATGTTACCCTTTTCCCTCCCTAAGTCATATTTAGGAGGAAGTCTCCCCCCACCCCTGCAACTATGAGGCAGGTCCCACTTGGCTATGAACAGGAGGTTGTTTCCATCTAGCAATCTTATCTGCAGATGGTCACAATCCACAAGTTGGTTGGGGAGAATATTTATTTCACTCACTTTAGCAGACAAATCTATTGGTTGAGACTGGAGAATTTTGACATAAAGATGTATTTTTTCCAGCAGAAACAAGCTTGCAATGAACAATAACGGAGAAGCCATAAATACTGCCAAATACTGACTTTAAGAATGCCCGCTTGTGCCATGTGTGAGATTTTCAGTCCCAGTATTTCATTTATGAACATTTTTCAAAAAGCAAGCTTGAATTTGAACTTGTTAAAGTTAACACTTTAGGGACATTTGCTTTTTGCTGTTTTTCTGGGGAAGTCCAATTCTTTTGAATTGTCAATAGTGTGCCTTCCAATCTGCCTGAAATGGTGATGAAATCAGCCAGAATAATAAAAGCAACTTCTAAAATGAAACTCAGATGTATGTATTTTTTCTCATCCTTTGTTTTGTGTATATGTGTGCACTAGGTTCTAAACAGTCTAATCGGGGACACGCATTTGCATGGATTCTGCCACTTGTAGTAGTAGTAGTAGTAGTTTGCCTTGCTGGTTGTGGATGGTATGTGCTTCAGTATTCATCGTACCGTAGTTTGGAAAATAACCTGCGAACTGAAGCCCTGAAAGCATTTCAGGAACAAATGAGAGATCTCATGAGCAGCTACCCAAGTCAAGACAAAAAGTTGTGGAAGGGAATCCAAGTCATCTTGGAGAAACGCCTCAACTCTACTCAACCGTTTTTGCAACCAGCTGTTTTATTGTTCACTGCTGCAAAAGAAGCTGAAGATGCCCTGAAATGTTTAAGCAACCAGCTTGCTGATGCTTTCTCATCCTCGCAGCATGCTTCTACAGTAAAAATTGATGGGGCCAGCAAAGCCACTCTAGACAGTGATGATGTCAAACTCCTTGTGGACGAAGAGTTGAGTTCTGGGTTCAAGGGAGGCAGGAAGGTGGCAGTCGTGCATCGATTTGAGTCGCTGCCTGCTGGTTCCACCCTGATATTTTACAAGTACTGTGACCATGAGAATGCAGCATTTAAGGATGTTGCCCTACTTTTAACTGTTCTTCTGGATGAGGAAACTCTAAGAAAGGACCTTAGCCCACTGCAAGTTGAGGAGAAAGTGAGGGACTTCCTCTGGGCTAAATTTACCAATTCAGACATGCCAGGTTCCTATAAGCACATGGACACAGACAAACTGAGTGGGCTGTGGAGCCGCATATCCCACCTGGTCTTACCTGTGTGGCCTGAAAATGTCCTTCCTCAGGAAAACTGTTTGCAAGTGAAATAATATTTTTGTAAGAGAGAATGAAAACAATACAGCATGTACATCTATTAATGGCTGGATAGGGTTTGTATTTCCAGCTTGATAATCAGAACTGACTCTTTTCGGTGTGTGCTTCAAAATTTTAAATCTGATTTATTCCTTTCCAAATAAGCTGGAAATTCACATATTAAGAACTTGTAGAGCATAACATAGTTCTGTTTATGTGACACTCCTGTAATTCTTAGAGTTCAGGACCTTGCATCTCAAAAGAATATGGATTGCTAGAACTACTTAACAATTTGAAGTCCTTTCAGAGAATACTGCAAATGGGGGCAACAAGTTAATGAATAGTAATAAGCACATGGTTCTGTCTTCTTTGTACTTGAAGTGTATTAGAATAAAACGCAAACTCAAAGGTGTCACTACTACTTCGTATATCCAGTAACAACTCTTGTCATCCATTTACCAAAATCTCGGATGGACTAACTCTCCTATAATTGCAGGCTCTTGGAGTTTGCTTTAGCCACGTCCTGTTGTTGGGTTTGATTAACTTAATGATGCAATTCAAATTTCTAGTCAGGAGTGGCAGGCCTTCACATACAAACACAAATGCCCTGTCCAGATTCTAACTTTGGGATTGTCTTCACAATGCCAGTATTTTTAATCCAGAACTACAAGGCTCGTCAATCTCTGTTGATCCCCAGCCAGACTGACCAATATGAATTTCCTTTGGCATATGGGGGTCCCAGGTGGACAAGATGCAGCCTTTGTAAACACACATTTTTGCACTTGTCCAGAAAGGAGTGAAGGAATCACTGATATAGATTAACCCATTAAAAATCAAGATTTTTAAAAGTGTTGTACTGGTGTGCTTCAAGGTCCTTCCTTTCTCAAAATAATTCACTCTTCTGAAACTTATGAATATTAAATATTATTTTAGATAAGCACAGGTTTTAATGGTGTCTTTGCACTGGGCAGAACTTATTTATTGCAGAAATGAAGACTAAAGTCCCCCCCCCGCCCCCCAGGTTTGGATTCCTGCCCCGCAGGAAGATGGAACTTTCCATGTAAAATTTGAATCTGACAACTGGTAAAGTGTGACAGCCCACATATTTTGAATGCTTCATTCCAGACAGCCTTCAGTTTATGTCAGGCTATACATCTTAATTGTATATGAATGTATGTACTTGAATGTAAATGGTAATGTGCAAACCTCAGGACTTTGATACTTACTGATTCTTATATAATTGAGCCACTTGGATTTTACTGTGTTTGAGAAACTTGCAAAACCTGCATTTTCGAAATATGTTCTCAGCACAATTGTCGTCCTTGCTTTTTGAAGATTCACCAGAGTGCCATTCTTTGTCCCCAAGTGTATCTACAGTAAGTGGATTTTAACCGCGGAAACTATGGCCGCCTCTGGAAGTGCTAGAAAAGCCCCTGGCCATGTTCTGTAGAATGTTTTTTCTTTATTTGGGAGCTTTTGCACATGATGCAGCTACACATTCCTTCCTGACTCAAGGTCAGAAATGCTTTAGTGGCTTATATTAAAACTGGCTGTCATACCTTTGAAGTGAAGATTCCTGGGGGCTAACACTGAATACACCTTTTTCGAGTGTGGAACACAAGCGGCAGCCAGAGCACGTGGAAATGTTTATGTATACATGAAGGTCTTAAGAAAATATTTTCCTGTAAAGTGGTTTATAAAGTGTAGGCATTAGGGTCTTGAAGTTTTCTAGGCCAGGAACTCATAACTCGTAGAGCTCAGGTCACCTGCACCTCCCAAAAGGCCATTTGTTGCGGGAGGTATGCCCTTCTATGCAATGGTGTTGGGAAGCTGCTACAGGAACAGGGATTTGCTCAGAATTGGGTAGAGGTTCACCTTTGTACCATTCCCCTAACAGTGTCTCACCCCCCCCATCCCATATTATTCAGAAGGGCCCAGTCCTCCAGAAAGGGGAAATCTCCCTTCCATTTACTTGTTAACCTGGGATCTAGTTGCACTGTATATAGTTATGTCTAAATAATTTTAAAACATGTAAATTCCTATTTGTTGACTACTCAGCTGTTTCTTAGTGCTACTCTAATAATATAAGAGATTCCATACATCCTGCCAGCACAATTATTAAATGAATGAGTGGACAGAAAATCTTTATGAGGAGTGGCTATAACAGTTGTCTTCTCTATTAAGTGTATGCTGAACATTTCGTGTAGGACTTTTTGGTAGTGGCTCCTGGAGCGTCAATACTACTTTGCACTGTTCATGAACTGAGCTTCCTAACAATCAGCAAATCAACTCTGTGTTCATTGGATGCTTCTGAAATACAATAGCTTTTAATTCCTGGAGATCAACCGATGGGACAGATAAATATAGTATAAACTTACTGCCATATATTGCTGCTCAGCTTTTCAATACTATAGTATTTATTTTCAATATCCTATTTGAAAAAAGATTGTTTCTCTGTTGTGTTTTTTAAGAATTAATTGTACACATGATCAACGTATAGAAACAGACATTAATTTGATAGCTTTTGGCTGTGTTACAGAAGGGCAGTATCAATAAAAGTAGTGATTCCAAATCTGGGATGGAGTTATATTAATGCTCTGCTTTATTAAGATTCATTTACAGCACCACAGCTCAAAGAAGTAGCGTTAAAACTAGAGCTGGAGACAGCTAAGAGGAATAGAAAGTTTGCCTTGTAAAAGGAAGAATGTACACAAGTTATTTTTGGCACCAGTTTTCATTTCGCAGCTTCCTCTGGTTCTATCCAATTTCAAACCACGATAGTAGAATATGGATTTTTCTGAGTGTGGCCAATTCTCATCCCGGCCTCAACAGGTGGAGGCAGCCCTTCCCAAAATACCATCAGGCTTCCTTTAACGCCGTTCATGGATCATCTTTGGTTTCAGTTGCAACACCCAGCTGCCACTTTCTATTTTTAGGAGGGGTGTGCAAGAGCACTGTGGAGTGGAAAACTTTCCATCGCCCCTGTTTTACAGTCACAATAATCTGACTGATGTAAAATGATAGCAGGCTTCTTTACATACAGCCCTCCTCTCTTTCCCTGCCAGCATTTAGATTGCCCAGCTACGATTTACTTGCTTTGTGAACTTGGTAGGAGTTCACCCGAAACAGCTTTAAAATGCAAGTTCTCTTGGTTCTTCCCTTACTTGCCATCTGTGCTTGTTTCCAGCAGGTAAAAGCTTTGTTGCGTTTCTTAAAATGCTAATTATTTTCTCAAAAAGGGTCATGTTAAAAATGGAATATGACTTTCCCACAAAGGACCAGGGTTGTCTTCTGCTGCTGCAGGCCTGTAGGTTTTAACGGGAAAACACTGAATGAAGCAAAATCTGTGGCAGGTGGAGTGTCTATTTCTTTTGGTTTCACTCACTTGTAAAGCAAAAGCAAATCTAGAGTGGATTTTAAAAAACTATTTAGAGGAGGGAAGTGGAAATCACTGTGAGTAGGGAATTATGGTGATTCCCCCCCCACACAAAGGTACATTTCTGAAAATTACTTCTAGAAACTGGCTTCTAGTTTATCAGCATAACTAGTAAATTAAACAAGCCATGCAATGTTCAAAACTGTAATGGTGCCCTATTAATCTTATTTAAAGTAGCCTTTTGCAGGAATTAGAATGGGAGCAATCAGCCTTTGCCAGTGATTTTGTATTGGGGTGTGTGCTTACAAGTGCCCTTTTTGCATGTGTGCATCACTTCTTTCTCATTTTTAGAAAAGAATCCATTCTGTAATGTAGACTCTGCAGGGGAAATCTTGTGTACTTTGGCTGCAATTAAACCCTTGGTTGCTTTTGTGAACTGTGGAAATCAATGGGAGGGATTTATGCTTGTGTAGATCAATATTACTAGTAGATAGCAGATTGATTAAACGTGCCTCTGTCTTGTTGGAAACCCCCCCCCCCATTTATTTACTTGGGAAATGAGTTTGTGGTTGTTTGAATCAGGACTGTAACGGCCTACTGCTAACAGTCATTTAGAATTCTAACTACAGTTTGAAGTGCATTTCCAGTCCGGCATCGGAGGGAAGGTATGGTTTACGCTTACTGTAGCCTGTGTACGTTGACTTTCATAGCAAATTGGTTTCCTTAACCTCCAAATGGAGGAAGTTGGAACATGCAAGGGGAAGAGGCATAGTTGGGGTAGTCCAAGAATGATCCGATCAAAGCAAGTATGGGCTGACTCTGCCTTTACAGTACTAGGCAGAGTGAAGTGGCAGCTTTAGGGATTTGATTTCAGGCAGCGTAGCAAATTCTTCTTTATATTTTCTAATTTGTTGCATTTTTACTACCAAGGAAGGGGAGAAGTGCCTCCTGCAATTTCTGCCTTGGCTGCAAAAATGGCTTGGCTTTGTATACTGCGCACCTTGATCCGTGTTTATGTGACGGGTTGTCATTTGGGAGTTTACTGCTTTTAAGAGTCAGCTGACGGCACCGCAAGTGCTACCTTGTTTAGTTCTTTGCCACCTTGATAAATATGTCAGTTACATGGAGAAGACAGTCATTCCTTCCCCGTAAGGAACCAAGTCAGTGGTCTTACTGTGAGGTTCTTGATGCCTACATTTTACTATCACAGGAAGGCAGCTACTAACATTGATACACTAATGTTTGAATGAGGCCTCTTGAACTCTTAAAAAAAGTTCCGACCCTGAGTAAGACCAGTTACAACCATGCTGACGTGTATGCAAGTCTGGCAAATGTCACTGGATCTTTAGTAATCTCAAGGTGCTGCTTAGAAGTGCAAATACTTTTAATTATTTCAGGCAGGTACCTTTTAGCAGCATGGGACCAGGTGCTATTATTGCACAGGCACGTCCAACTCCCGAGAGACTGCGATCTACTCCCAGTATAAAAAATGCAGTTTTTTCATTGGAGGGCGGAGGACCGAGGGTGGGTGGAAGGGAGGATTGCACAGAGTTGTTGAGTTGGGGGGGGGGGGGGGAAGGAATGACCAGAGTTGTTTAGCTTTGAACGTGCCTGCTATAGACTACCAGCCTCTTCCTTCTCTTCCCAACCGCCTCGCGAAGTGGGCGGAGCCAGGCGCTCAACGTCCGGAGAAGGGCGTGGCGTGGCGTGGCGGGCCGGAACCGCCGCCATGTTTAGAAGGTCTCTGCCACTTCCCTCCCTCTCTTCCCCCACCCCCCGCTTTCTGACATCTCGCGAGGCTTCCGGAGGTTGGCTCCCGCCCTGCCGCGCGCCTTCGCCGCCGCCGCCGCCGCCTCTCCTCTCCTCCCCCCTCCCCGCGCGTCCCTGTGTGTCAGTTGCTGGCCGGTAATGGCGCCGGGCTGGCGGCGGCGTTGCCGCTGAAGCCGCCTCTGGGCCCGCCGCCGCCGCCGCCGCCCCTCAGCGCCGCCCTGTTCCCGGAGGCTGACGAGATGAACCGGCTACCTCACCCGCCCCGCCGGGAAGGGGCTGGGAAGAACGGAGACGGCGGCAGAGCAGGTGAGGGGAGGAGGCCTCCCGGTTGTCCGGCCCACCGGCCTCCACCCTGGGACTGGCCCGGAGGCCAAAGCGGGGCGCTGGGCTTTATGAAGGGAGGGCGAGCGGGGCGGGGGGCCCTTCCTCGGCCGGGTGTGGTGGCCCCACTGTGGGGTCGGTGGGTGTTTTCTAGTAGCGGGGGGTTCCGCGGGTGAACCTCCCGTGCCCCGCTTCCCCTCTCCTCGCCGCCCTGTTTCTCTCTCTGAGGTTCGGCCAGGGCTGTCATTGCTGCTTCCTGGTTTAAAGGGACAAGTTCTGCCTTCGGGTTTCCTGTTGGCTGGCCCTGTTTTCAGAAGCGCTGCCCTTTAATTTCAGGGAGCCCGTCATAGATTGTTGTTGTTGTTACTACTACTACTGTTGTTGTTTGTTTGTTTGTTTGTTAGTTACGTGTCCCGGCCGTTGTGGGGAATTCAGTTGTGGGGAAACCCAACAAGACGGACGGGGCATAAATAACAAATAATAATTATTATTATTATTCAAAGTGCCTGCTGACGAACATGAGATGTTGGGACTGGGAAGGAGAAGAAATACATGTGGGCTCAGAAGTTTGTGCAGACGTGATGCCGTTTCTAACTTTGGGATTCGGATTGCAAATTGCCACAGGGAGGCTGCATAAGACTGTGTTTGTGCATAGGCAGGTACCCCAGGCACGCATGTTTGTCTGTGCGCTTTTAAAAAGTAAGATGAGAGAGAAAGAAAAGGCAGGTCTCTGCTACCAAGAAATGTAAAGTCTAAGGGCTTGATATAAGCCATGCGCTTCTAAGGCTGCAATTGCATGTACACATCAGGCACATTGGTCTAAAATACTTCTGAGTAAACATGGATTTGGATCCGTTTGGGTCTCTGTTCATCTCTCCTGTAAGAAGTGTTCTGCTGCATCAGATCAAAGAAACATCCAGTCCAGCACCCATGTCACCCATTTCTCACCATGTCAACCAGATGCCCCAAGAACCCGACAGAGTTTGAAGGCAACAAACTTTCTCTTGCTGTCTAGCAAATGGTAGTCAGCAGTAGCATACTGCTTTCTGAATGCAGAGGTTCCATTTAGCTGTCATGCCAAAAGACCTGTATACCTTATGCATTCGTCTAATCTTTTAAAGCTGCCTAGGCCAGTGGCCATCACTGTATACTGTGGCAGTGAATTCCATAGACCATGTATTGTGCAAAGTAGTGCTTTCTCTTATCTGCCCTCAGCTGTCAGTTTCATTGGGTGATTTGAGTTTTAATATTCTAGGAAGTGGAGAAAAAGTTATGTCTCCACACCATTCATAATTTTATAAGCCTCTATCATGTCTCTTAATGGACGGTTATCTGAAAAAAAAAATTGCAAACACTTTTCATAATTTTAGCTGTCCTTTTCTGGACCTTTTCTAATTCTACAGTGTTCTTTTTGAGGTTGAGCATCCAGGACTGCACATAATATTCCAGATGTGGCTGTGTCTTGAATTCATCCACACTATTACACTGCCAGACTTAAGAAATCGATTGAATGTGACTGCTAGCATTGAATTCATGCTTTTATTTTATGCTGCACACTGACTTTTTTGAGCTTTGCCTCAAGATTGGTTTCCTAGTTAGTCACTTTTGGTTCTGACCCCATCATGAATGTCAGCAGTGGGGAAGCTTTTTCAGCCTTAGGACTACCTTCTCTGGTGAGTAACCTTCAGGGCAGTGGATAGGGGCAGAGCCAAAAGTGGGCAAGACCAAAGCCACATCTATCTACCCATATCCCATTCACACACATCTGGGTACACACACACCCTGATTTGGACAAATCTATATAGAGAAGAAGATTCCCTTTCTCAGTGCTCTGCATAGGGACACAGAGAGTTGCTGATGTGGAAAGAGATTGTGCTCTTTCTCCATTGGCTGTTTGCTGCATTTCTGTGATGGGTGCTGAGAAGCAGGCTTTGCTTTTTCAGCATGCAGCACAGAAACACAGTCAGCTGCCAATGGAGGAAGAGAGCGATCTTTTTCCATAAGCAGCAGGATTCTACAGCCACACACCCCTTCCCTGCTTCTCAGCTGCCAAACCTCACCTCCACCCCCCACTCCAAATCTCCCACAACCACAGCAGCTACTCAGCAGCCACAGCTGAGCTGAAGAGGAGAGAAGGAAGCCTAGGAAGAGGGCTAACATATCAGATGGGGAGGCCCTGTGGGTCTCATCTAGCTCATAGGCAGGCTTGGCACCCCTGATGCATGTGAAGTTTGGATTTCTTTGCCCCATTTTGCATCACTTTTTCATTGTTGATCTTTTTAGTGTCTTCACCATCTGACTAACCTGGTGTCATTTATATAACTGGATTCCTCACTTCTCATCCCTGACCCCAGATCATTTATGAAAAAAAGTTAGTTAATACTATATCAAAAAACAGATACATGTTTTTGTAGTGTAGCAACACTGGAAAGCACCAGAACCATGATATTTTTGGTTCCATCAATGGAGGCAGTTGATATGTGGTGTGATGGGGTTGCGGGGAGGTAGTTTGAAAAAATATGTAATTTATGCAAGTTTGACTGGAAGTGACTTTGTCTGTCTTTGAAACTCCATTTTACTGACTCCTATGACACTCTGCTTTCTCACCTATGGTCACTCCAATTTCCACCTCGCAATCTTTCCGATGAATCCCCCCCCCTTTCCTTCTGGCCCCTCACTATTGCTCTGCTTTCTGTTGAGCTGCTCAGGTGCCATCTGAGCCCTGGGAAGTGCATGATGCTAAAAGAGGAACAGAGTGTCACTCTTGAAACTTCCTTCATCAAGTCTATATGCTTATTTCAAAGGGAGAGTGGGAAGATAACCATCCTCACCACTTCATGACAAAGGGGGCAGTGAATGGCCGTGTGTGTGTGTGTGTGTGTGTGTGTGTTTCAGAGGCTTCACAAGCAGAATGGAAAATCCTCAAGAGTACCATTGTGCCCATGGGCTGCACATAGGCAACTCCTGGTTTAATGATTATGTATGCTTAATCGTTCTGGCTTTATTTATGATTCCATAATCTACTAGGAACTGATGCTGACCTGTAAATTCTTGAATCTCCCCACATCCCTATTTATAAAATTGATGTCATGTTGGCTGCTTTGTCCCCCTTATGAGAGGTTTGGATTTTAGTAACAAGTTGCCTTTCCCCAATCGATCAAGAGTTTCTTATCTGAATTCTTTAGGACCTCTAAAGGTGTATTCCCCTCAAACCCTGTCACTTGTTAAAAGTTAGCATTAATTAAAAATTGTTTCCCAGAAGGCATACCCAATATCTACATTGAAGTTCTTTTGGTGACTCATGAATACCTTTATCCAAGAATTGTTATTGGAATTGATACTGTTATTCTTGTCTGTTGTTCTATGCGTTGTTGTGGCTTTATTGTTTTTATTAGGTTATTGTATTTTCTATTTTTGTTCTAAGCTGCATTGGAAAAAAATTATTGAAGGATGGTTTAGGAACCCATTCAGTAAGAGGGCTCCTCTTTAAGGTGCCCTCCCCCAGACATTTTCTGTGGATTTTGCTGCTTCACTTTCATATTGGTCTTTGCTTTAACTTCCTTCATTGGCTTCATTAAAATCAGTGGAACTTAGTGCTATCCTGTGCATGTTTATTAAAGATAATTCCTGCTGAGTGTCTTGAAGCATATCCCTTGTGTAGAATTGCAACTGAGCAGCATAATCATATTTACTTAGAAATAACTTCTACTAAGTTATTTTTAAAATTCAATAAAATACTACAGATGCAACAAAAATCTCACTTTAAGTTTAGGAAGAAAACACATGTTCTGAACTACAGAAAGTGAACATGGCGTTATCCTTACGTTTCATAGACAGGTGACGTGAGTTTGAGAGAATAGTTGCTTGCTATGGACAAAGTGAGAGTTCAGCTGGGGGTGAGGTCCTGGCTCGCAGCTCACATTCTTATTCATGTGACAACCCTATACTGGTTGTCAGCAATGTAAATGAACAAATACCTATGGCTCTGATAGGAAATAGCTTAGTGTCTGTAAAGCTTCCCTACAGTTAAACTAGTATAACAAATATTAATCTGGACTCTGTTCGTTTGTTTTAAAGTATTTATATGCTGCTTTTCATCAGCAAAGATCACAGGATGGATTATCCATTTTGGAAGGAGTCATAACTATTTTTTTCTAACAATATTCCTGTTACTGTATAAAACTTGAGGCGTATGCCTTCAATTGTATCTCATTTTGCTTCCTCTTGCCTTATAAATGGACATAAAGCTTCACAGTTACACTTTTCAGCTGACAGAGTTACTCTGTGCCAAACTAGAAGAAGGCACCAAATACGGCTCTGATTCGGTTCTACGCTCTGCATGGCAGTGGCATCCTAAGGGCACAGAAGTGAAGCGTATGCCTGATTCAGTGTGTTCTCATCTGCCTTCTATCCCAGTATTGTTGTGGGTATATTCATAGTATTTATGAATACAAGGGAGTGGGTAGCGCTGTGGTCTAAACCACTGAGCCTCTTGGGCTTGCTGGTCAGCTGTTCAAGTCCACATGGCGAAGTGAGCTCCTGTTGTCCTGTCCCAGCTTCTGCCAACCCAGCAGTTCGAAAGCACGCCAAAAAGTGCAACTAGATTAATAGGTACCGCAGCGGTGGGAAGGTAAACAGTGTTTCTGTGCCTCTGGCACTTGTCACGGTGCTCCGTTGTGGCAGAAGCGGTTTAGTCATGATGGCTACATGACCTGGAAAGCTGTCTGTGGGCAAACGCCAGCTCCCTCGGCCTGAAAGCAAGATGAGCGTTGCAATTCCGTAGTCACCTTCGAATGGACATAGCTACCCAGGGGTCCCTTACCCGCTCCCCCCAGTATTTAGACAACTGGTGGAGTCACTTTGGCTGGTAGCCACGTAGGTCATATCATACTCAGCAAAGACCCACTGCAAAATGTTTTGAGGTTTTTTTCTTATAATTAAGCAGTACGTGTATACAGTGGTACCTTGGTTTACAAACTTAATCCTTTCCGGAGGTCCGTTCTTAAACCGAACCCGTACTTAAACTGAGGCACACTTTCACTAATGAGGACTCTCACCGCCAGTGCCCCCCCCAACATTCTGATTCCATTCTTAGACCGAGGTAAAGTTCACAAACCTGGACACTACTTCCGGTTTTGCTGAGTTCGTAAACCGAATCGTTCGTAAACCGAATCGTTCGTAAACAGGACTGTTCTTAAACCGAGGTACCACTGTATATGAAATAAGTTATTCATAGCTTACTTAAGATATTGATTTAATTGGGTCTACTCTGAGTATGACTCAGTCAGATACCACCCTAACAGTGGAACTGAGAAGTCCACAGTTAAATCTTACTTCAACAAAAGAAAATTTAAAAAACCGAACTCTTACCATCAGAAAGTTCTTCCTGATGTTTAGCCAGAATCTGCTTTCCTGTAACTTGACGCCAAAGCTTGCAAAGCAGGAGAAAACAAACTTGCTCCATCTGCCGTGTGACAGCCCTTTAGATGTTTGAAGATGACTATCATATGTCTTCTCAGTCTCTTATTCAGGCTAAACATACCCAACTCCTTCAACTGTTCCTCATTAAGCTTGGTTTCCAGGCCCTTGATAATCTTGGTTGCCCTTCTCTGCACACATTCCAGCTTGCCAATATCCTTCTTAAATTGTGGTGCCCAGAACTGAACACAGTAGTTGAGATGTGTTTTGACCAAGGCAGAATAGAGTACTATTACTTCCCTTCATTGGGACATCATATTTCAGTTAACGCAGCCTAGGATAGCATTAGCTGTTTTTGCTGCTACATCATACAGTTGACTCATGCTAAACTTGTGGTCTAACAGGACACCAAGATCCTTTTCACATGTACCATATTTTTCGCACCATAGGACGCACTTTTTCCCTCCTAAAAAGCAAGGGAAAATGTGTGTGCGTCCTATGGAGCGAATGCAGGGGGGAGGCAGGCGAGAAAAGCCCCCAAGAGCCGCACACAAGCTCCGTGTGCTCTTGCGGGCTTTTCCACAGGAGGGAGAAGGGACTGACTGGCCGCATCAGTCCCTTCTCCCACCTCCCAGAAAAGCCAGGAGAAGCTGCGATCTCTTTAAAGGGGTTGCACGGCTTCTGCGGGCTTTTGCGAGAGGTGAGGGACCCTCACCTCCCAGGAAAGCCAGGAGAAGCCGTGCAGCCCTTTTAAAGTGTGCGCGGCTTCTGCCGGTTTTGCGGGACGTGGGGGAATTCCCCCACTTCCCAAGAAAGCCAGGAGAAGCCGCGATCTCTTTAAAGGGGTTGCGCGGCTTCTGCGGGCTTTTGGGAGAGGTGAGGGAATCCCCCCACCTCCCAGTAAAGCCAGGAAAGCCCTGCGCAGCGTCTCCTGGCAAGGAGAGGTTGCGCGGGGCTAAAGAGGAAGCCAAAACAGCGAGCGGGATCCATCCTGCTCGCTGCCTTGGCTTGTGCCATAGCTGTGCGCAACCCCTCCGGCAAGGAGAGGCTGCACGGGGCTATGGATTCTTTAGCCCTGCGCAGCGTCTCCTGGCAAGGAGAGGTTGCGCAGGGCTAAAGAGGAAGCCAAAACAGCGAGCGGGATCCATCCTGCTCGCTGCCTTGGCTTGTGCCATAGCCCCGCTCAACCCCTCCGGCAGGGAGAGGTTGTGCACAGCCTGTACGCTGCTCTTTGGGGCTGGGGGGGGAATTTTGTTTTTGATTTCCCCCCCTAAAAACTGGGTGCGCCCTATGGTCCGGTGCGCCCTATGGTGCGAAAAATACGGTACTTTAGGCAAGCCAGGTGTCTCCCATCTTACACTTGTGCAGCTGGTTATTTCTGCCCAAAATGTTGAACCTTGCATTTGTCCCTACTGAAAATCATTTTGTTAGTTTGTGCCCAGTTCTGCAATCTCTTAAGGTCACATTGAATCCCAGTTCTGTCTTCTGCAGCATTAACTACCCCTCCCAGTTTGGTGTCACCTGCAAATTTGATGAGCATCCCCTCAATTCCTTCATCCAAGTTTATAAAGATGCTGAACACCAATGGGCCTGGAACAGAACCCTGAGGCAGCATCCCACTTGTCACTTTTCCCAGGGTGATGAAAAACCATTAGTTGTGCATGGTGTTCACTTTACTTTTTGTATGCACTTGTGGTTTTGTTTTCTTTGTTTTCTTAGTGAATATTTGTTTGTGTTTTAGGTGAATTGACACGATGTGGAGGAACGAGTTGAATGATGTGCCTTTACAAAATCCAAGGTCAATCAGGAGTCGAATCCCCGTCAAAGGTTCAGATTTATTTTGTTGCCTAAGTTTGAAAGCAGTTTTGCCAGACTGTCTCTTAAATTTTGGCAGCATGTGCCTGTGCTGTGCAGTTTGCCATGCAAGACATAATGGCTTCTAGATGTGCTTTGAAATACTGTTTCTGGGAAAGTGGTCAGATGATGTTGGCTTTCTTTCTTTACTCCCAGCTTCTGTTAATACACATTCAGGTTGCCACTTTCAAACTTTGCAATAAAAATTGCATTAAAGAGTGTTGAAACCACAATTGTCACAGCTTTTAAGGGAAGCTGCATTTTCTCTGACTAAAAATCCTCTTAAAGCTGTTTGCATATGTCCTACAACTAGTTGAAAATAAGCTGTTCAAAGTAAAGGAATCATAGGTATAAAAAGATAGCAGAAGCAAATTATTTTGACTACCCAATTAAGTCCTTTTTCTTAGCATCTCTCTTACTAAGCTAGTACTACTGCAGTTTGAGTTTGAAGGACTGCTTCTTCACATGTTATCTAATTTTTGTGCAGTTAGCCTATGTAATTGGTATCACTGCAATAAGTTACAAAAAATATAATCACATAAATTAAAAGGTAAAGGATGAGCTTCTGAATGTTTCTCTCTCCCAAAGGGAGAGAACGATAATGTCAAGCAATTATTGATGCAAGCAAAAAATTCCTACTATAACTGAGTTATACTCATTTTAAAATATTATTGAAGCATGCAAAATATTTGCCATTGAAGCAGTGTTCGAAATTCACATTGTTCTAGGCGCATTTTGCGACAGGGAATTTCATTAACGTGAGCAGTTTCTGAGCTCTGGGCGCAGTACTGTGCCTAAGATGTCAGGTTAAAAAACTGCAGAGTAGAAAGAAAAGAGGGCCTCCCCCACTTCCAGCTACTCTCTGAAGACTGAAGAAGAGGCCCTCTTGAGAATATTAGCGGGGTGGGCAGGGGAAGGACTAGATCTTGTGAAAAATGAACATAATATTTTAGCTGCAGTTCATTCATTTTCAGCTTTGTATTCTTGTTACAGTGGTACCTCGGGTTACATGCGCTTCAGGTTACAGACGCTTCAGGTTACAGACTCCACTAACCCAGAAATAGTACCTCGGGTTAAGAACTTTGCTTCAGGATGAGAACAGAAATCGTGCTCTGGCAGCGCGGCGGCAGCGAGAGGCCCCATTAGCTAAAGTGGTGCTTCAGGTTAAGAACAGTTTCAGGTTAAGAACAGACCTCCAAAACGAATTAAGTTCTTAACCCGAGGTACCACTGTATAAAAAAGTGTGCCTAGACATTCCATTGTTGCACCTGTAACCTAGGCTTAAGGTGCCATTTAGCTCCTAGCTTTCATATTTCAGTTTCTAACACTGCATTGAAGCTATCATGAAACTAACAAACTTGCTTTCATTTCTTTGTGCAGTCTTAACCAGAGCACGGGATGCTTTTTCACAGACTAATGCAACAGTAAGTATTATTTTAGCAGTGAAAGAGGAAAAGGCCTGTGAAAATAATAGTGTATGCACCAGTTTTCCATAGTTCTAAACATATTAAATGAAAATTGAGAATTTTTGTGTGTGACTTGGAACTGGTAGGTGGTTGTGGAAGATACATATTCCCGCCCCCCTTTCAGCAATATAAGCCGCATTTGGATGGTCACATACTTAAGAAGCCAAAGAGGTGAATATGCCTTTTGCTTGCATGCATGGTCCCATTTCTCTTCCATTTGCAGTGCAAGCAATCAAACAAAGAGGTCTTTAGTTTACCGTAGTAGACCAGGATATGAAACCACATTTTGAAATGTGCAGGCAGAAGGTCTGCAATAATCATTATCTGAGCCAGATCACTGTGTTATAGAAAATTTGCCTCAAATCCCAACTTTTGTAAATTCCAGGTAACATATACCATGAAATGATAAGCCAAATATAATATCACACACAGGACTTTTTTCAGCCAGAACTCACTGGAACTCAGTTCCAGCACCACTCAGGTGGGTGCCTTTGCCATTATAAGAGAAGAACGGAGGCATTCATAGTGAGTTCCAGCACCTCTTTTGCTAGAAAAATGGCACTGGCTTATTCATCCACATGTGGTGGGAATGCCCCAATTTTTTTTTCTTTTGGAAAAAAGTATATCATGAAGCAGGCCTTATCACAAAACAGGATATCCTTTTGGATCCTAAAATAGCACTATCGCCATATTATTCAGAAACCGCTCAACAAATTTCCCACAAAGATCTCATTACTCACCTGACAACTGCTGCACGGCTTATAATGTTGCAAAGCATTGAAAGACTGTAAATTCAGACCTGTTTGAGATCCGGATCTCACATCTTTGGGACGTAATGGACAAACTGACAACTCATGGCTGAGAGAGTCGAACAAACAAGAAAATCACCACCTTTCAATCATCTTGGCATAGTTTTAGTACCTATGCAACATCAGTAGAACATAGCTATATGCCTCCAAGAAGTCATGGCGATTTGTGGAATGACAGTTTTGTTTAAAAACCAAAATGGGTTAAAAGTTAAGCGTAATTATATAGACATATGGTTCATCTGTGAGGTGGAAATAGTGTGTGTGTGTGTGTGTGTGTGTGTGTGTGTGTATGAATCACTGTTTATCATTGATATATATTGCAAGTAAAGAAAAACACAATGGAAAGAAAGAAAGAGGGCTTTGCATTAGCTGCAGCAGTGTAAACCACTCTTGCAGTCCCTGAAATTGTTTTTAAAAGGTGGACTATTTAGCCTTTCCCCCCTCCTCCAAGTTGAGCAGCCAGATGAACAGGATCCTCTAAGCAATGTGCTGTCCTGTACGTACTTCATCTAGACTAGAGTCTAAAACTACTGTACAAGTTTAATTCCTAGTGCATATATTTCAACATGGGCAAATATTAAAATATATTTGTCTTATTCATCTTTGGAAAATGCCACTTATGTCTTCAATGAAACCTACTTTGAACTCAACTTCATAATCTAACATGGGCTCCACATTAGATGAGACTAATGATTGTACAAAGTTACAAACTGAACTCCATTCTACTTTGGTAGGCATTTCAGCCTTTTATAAATCTATCCAATCTGTACAGCTTTGGCTTCTCTGCTTTTTTGTGGATGTGAGAAGTGATCTAAATATTTAATTTCTAATACACATATTTCTTATATATCAACATCTTAGTTGCAACACATTGAGAACAAATTGGAAGTAGCTCCTAACAGCACAGCTGTGTTGGAGCCTGTCATGGACAGCAAGAAGCCATCCGCAAGTACTACCAGGAAAATAAGTCGGAAAGGTATGTATTTGATTAGAAGAGTCATTCTACAAATAAGCTTGTAAGTGGTTCACACTCCAGTTTGGGATGCCCATCTCACACAACACAGACCTTTGGCAAATTGGAAGACTAAAAGATTTGGCACAGGAGGCAAACCTTCTGTGATATATAATGGTAAATGGTAGGTGCTCTCAACTCCTGCAGTAAGAAGCTACCTCTTCTAGGAAGTACTTTTTCTTAAATTTTTGTTTGGGCACTACCATTGTTGACTGATGCTTAGAAGCACCATAAAGAACAAAAATAAAGATATCATTTGGGGCAGTTTTTAGTACTCATTAACCAGATGTGTTCTTTCTCAAAACTTGTAATAGTACAGCATTTTATTTTCTGCCACGATTTTGGCATGCTTTAACACTAAACAAACTTCTGTTTTGCTCAGGTTGGGGATTGCTGATCTCTGTAACTATCCCTTGGTTATTAAAACGTAGTGCAATGTTGCTATGGTGTTCTGCACCTCTTGGCTCAGTTTTTGTGTGCCTGTGTCCATTAGACTTTTTATTTATTTACCAGCTTGTTAAATCCTATCTTTCCAGTTAAATAATCCAAGATGGCTTTTACATCTATAAAATAACAACTTATTCTTTAGCCCAAAATCTTGAAATATGCCTCTGTTATGGCATTATCAGCACACATGTAGCCTTGGTAATAGTATGCTTGGAATGTTAAAGGTAGAGTATCTTGGCAACAGTGCCTGCGTTGTCATAATAGATTGGTGATCACAGCTTTTCCATTCTGACATCAGAGTCTATGTAAAACTAAGGTCCATTTGAGCATTTGTGTTAGATGGTTGAAGTCGTTTGGCTGGAGTCTATCTCATATCTTTACTCATCAGCTGGATGAGTATTACCTTGGTAATGGACTGGATGAGAGCCAATAAACTGAAGCTCAGTCCCGATAAGACTGAAGCTCTGTTAGTGGGTGGTTCCCTAGACCAGATGGATGGGAGATGGCCTGCTCTTGATGGAGTTACACTCCATCTGAAGGAGCGGGTACTTAGCTTGGGCATTCTTCTGGATCTAATCCTGTCACTTGAGGCTCAGGTGGCCTTGGTGGCACAGCGTGCCTTCCAACAGTTTTGGCTGGTGGCTCAGCTGTCCCCCTGTCTGGAGAGCTTAACGTCTGTTGTCTACACTCTGGCAATCTTTAGATTAGATGAATGCAATGTGTTTTATGTGGAGCTGCCTCTGAGGATGGTTTGGAAACTTCAGCTGATGCAGAAATCAGTGGTCAGTTGCTCACTGGGGCAAGACAGCTTGAGCATATAATGACAGTCCTGGCCCTCTTTAACTGGCTGCCAATTCATTTCCGGTCCCAATTCAAAGGGCTAGTATAACCTATAAAGCCTTCTGTGGCTTAGGACCGCAATGCTTCAAGGACCACCTTTCCCCATATAAACTGACCTAGATCCTGTGATCATCATCTGTGGATCTTCTTCATGTGCCTCCTCCAGGCAAGTTCTGAAGGGGGAAAACATAAGAAGAGGCCTTTTCTGCAGTGATTCCCCATTCATAAAATGCTGTCCCCAGCGAGGCTTGCCTGGCAGCAGTGTTGCATATCTTTAGGGGCCAGGTGAAAACTTTACTCTTCAACCTGACCTTCAGCTGTTAATCAATTTATGGCATTTTTAAGTGTGTGTGGGGGGTAATTGCCCTTTTTTCTTTTTCTTTTTTACTATTATTACATTATGTATTTTGTGTTTTATGCTGTAAACCACCCTGTGGTCTTTTGATGAAGGGTGGTATATAAATTTAATAAATCATTATCATCATCATGCCTTGGGGAGTGTACCATAGGACTTTGAGGAAGGCAGAGCTGGAAGGTATGCAGAAAGAACAGCAGGTGTTGGTCTTTTCCCTGCTTGGAACCAGATCTCATAAGTAGTTCATTGGCACTATAGTTAAGGCCTTTCAGTTAATGGCTCACAGGGCTGTGGCTGCTTCCCCACACAATTCATTTTTAGTGCTTTAACTCTTCCCTTTTCCTCAGCATTGAGGCTAGGGAAGATGGATGTTCAGTAGAAGGCCTCATTGGAAAAACTTTGAGATTGGAAGCTAAAGCTAATTTTAAAATAATACAATGTAATCCATGTAATATGATTCCCTCTCCCCTCTGGGAATGATGGATGTTCTGCTACCATTTAGACAAATAGCATAAAATCTGTAAAAATTATTGCTCATAAACTTTCCAGCGGGGGGGGGGGGGAGAACGTGGACATTATTGTTGAATTTATCTGTTGACTAGGAAGTGAGTTCACCAAGCTGTCCTTTAAGTGTTCTTTTGAAATACAGGCAACCCCCAAAATGCAGGCTTTTAATATATTTTACAGAGTTTTAAAATAAGTTTGTTACTTTGCTCCAGTTCCTTACCATTTATTTCCGAGCGCTTGAAACTACATTCTAGAGACTCTGAGGAATTATTTAATGTACTACTGAGTGCTAATTGAGCACACACACCCCTGCAAGATGCATAGAGGATTCCTTGGTTTCTTTTTCAGCTTCCAGGTCTTCCAGCCAGAAGGAGAGGTCCCTTCGCTGCCCCCTTCGTACCACCACTTTGGATAGCAATGTTGGAAAGAATGGACATGTTGAATTTCATGAACCCCTTGTGGCCTCTTTCAGGTCAGTATGAAATAAGAGGAAAGTTTGCTAACTCATGGAATCAAACCATCAGCACAGAACCTTCCGTTTTTTAAGGAACAAATATTTATTAACTTCCTATCCTACCTTTCAATCCAAGCAGGCTTTTGTGAGCTGGACGTTGCACAGACTGTTGAAGATGTCAGTTAAATGAGGGGTGAGGGAATGGAGTGGGGGGAAGGGAATTGGCTTACTAACTGTGTTGTCTGTTAGAGTAGACTGTTAGGAGTGCTTGTATTCCCTCTCCTGTATCCAGGATGCAACAAAGATTTTGAGGGCTCTTCCTCAAATTCATGGTTCAGGGGAGATTAATTAGTATTGAAGGAAAACCACCACCTCTAATTTTGAATAATTCTGAGCTATGAAGGAGCAGAATCTCTAAAACCTAAACCGCCCTGGAAAAAGGACTGAAGTTTGGGTTTTCAGATGCATAACGTGAGACCAAAAAAAAAATCTGGTTCCAGTCCCTCACTGCCTAAGCCTTCCATGCAGGAAAAAATAAATATATACCCCCACTGCACTGTTAATGTTCAGTGTGCAGTTGTAGACTGCTGAGGCTTAGCACTACATAAGCATGAAAGTATTTGTCTAGCCCTAGAGAACAGCAATCTTGTACATTGGGAAACATTCTGGTTTCAGTTGATGCTTGATGGAGAGGCTTGCAGGAAAAAAAGATTATGAAGAGGAACCTAAAGTTCTTGCACATTCTGTTGTTTTACCTTCAGAACTGCATTATAAGAAATTCAACAAAAATAAGAATAATTTGTTAATTGGATACTTGCACTGTAATAGTGATTCTACTTGCAAAAGTCTTGTTAGATCTTTTGTATTTAGTATATGTTTTTAGAGCCGATTCTCAGTTATTTTTTTATGTTTACTTCTTTTAGGGGCCCTCCATGGTCCCCATCTTATAAAACATCTTACCAACTGGAGGCTAGATGTTTAAAGCGTAAAGAAGCGGGGAATAAGACTGAAAAAATGAAACATTTTACTTATGAAAAAAGTGAATCAGATTTGCACAGCAGAGATTTCCAAAGCCCATCTTTTGCCGATGAAACTGTTGTCAGATATTTAAATGACCGACCAGCAATTGATGCCTTACAAAATTCTGAGGTTTTCTTCAAATCTGTATCAGAGGAGGAAAAGGCTGAGAAATCTAGAGATGAATATAGTAAAACTTCTCAGAGTACCACAACCCAGGATGCTGACCTTAAAGAATTGCAGCTGGCAGAACCCTCAGCTTCTTCTACCAATACATCCAGTGCACACAGATTAGATATTTTAAAGCAGCATCAGCGTGAGGCTAAACTGGAAAAACTGAAGGAACGGATTAGGAAGCAATTGGCGCGCCCAGAAGAGCTGAGCAGCAGAGGAAATCATCTGGGATATGATGACCATCCTATACCTGCTGCAGCTGTAACTCCAAAAGTCAGAAAAGTTGCAGCTGCACCTCCTGCTCCTTCATATAAAGGTACATAGCTTGTAAATTGAATCTGTGTGAGAAGAAATATATTTATTTGGTTTGCGAAACCAAGAATGCGGTTTCTGTTGCAACTTTGGGATAGGTGTACCCTACCTTAGATAGGAACACATTAAAGACAAAGGATTGTTCAAATTCTTATTATTTATTACCTTCCAAACTTTACCTGCATTTCCATCCCTGAAGATGTTTTTGTTCAGATGCACTGTATACGTTTAGAGTTTAATTCACAAACATTGGATTGTGACTAACTGTAGGGATTAATTGCTTTTATTTCGTTAGTTTCCTTGTCATTGGTGCTAACTATCACAGTTGCTGCCTGTCACGGTCGCACAAGAGATTTTTCTGATACAGCTTGTAGGAAACCACTGGCTGTACATGCACAGCAGTCACACAGTACAGTCTTTGCATTTTAGCAGTTCTGTAGGCATCAGTCAGTCATGTGTATAAACTATTCTGAAGTGTACTTGCCCCCTCATTGCAACTTTTTTTTAATTTTTGCAGGAATGTATCTTATTTTTCTGTTACGTAATAATTCTGTACAAAAATTTCTCGTTTAATCTATTTTATGCAACATGGATTTGGAATCTGAGTTTTTTTTATTTCTACTAACAAATGTATTAGATGTTTAAAACAGATAAATTATGTCCGCATTATGCATTGGTCACCTTTATATTAACCAATTGTTTTAAGGCAAAGTCAGCTAAATATAGGTATACTACTTTTGTTAGGATTCAATCCATCAGAAGCCAAGATCCGTACACCTGATGGAAAGGTGTGGCGTGAAGAGGAATTTATTAATCTCAGTAGAGAGTTAGGTCCTGACTTAGAACTGCAATTAGCAGGTAAGTAGAAAACATTATTATTATTATTATTATTATTTACATAGCTATACCATCCTTTAAAGGATCACAGAATGGTTTACAGTATAAAAGCACAAAACATCTTATTAATAGCCACATGGAAAGCAAAGAACAACTACACATCCTACATAATTAATCTGTAAATTAACGAAAACTTATAGCCCTACTTCCCAGACTTCTTAGATTAAAGAAAAAACAAAAATGAAAGACTATGAAGTTTAGCTTGAAAGCCTGATGTTGTGTATTTAAATTCTGATAGGCTAGAGACTAGCTAAGAAGGCAAGCTGCTACAGTTCTGATACATCTCTTTGTGTGTTCTTTTAGTTGTGGCAATGATTCTCTCACACTGTTTTTCAGAAGACAATTTGACTGTGAAAGAGGCACCTGCTGGAAAAACCAAGGGGAAAAAAGCAACCAGACCAGTGCGCAAAATCCAGAAAGTGGCACAACTTCCAAGTCCCGATTCCAAACCAGGTCAATTCAAGTTAGCTTTTAAATACAAGCTTTGGCTTGCAGTCTTCAAACATTGTTCAGTTTTTTCTTCTTTTGATCTAGACACCGCCCTCCACCACTGGTGCTACCCCTCCTTTTTTGCAATCTTTGCGGTGTCCTGAAGTTTATATTGCTAATGAAGCACTGGAAAATTACTCCGTATGTCCTTCTTGGTTCTTTGTTTAGGTAGTACCAGTGTAATATGTACATCATCCTGGCGGGAGGGACTGAGACTTGCAAAGAAGATACTGGGTCCAGCACCTAAAGTAGGGCAGCAGGACCAACAGCCATTATCCATTGACAGAGCTGGCAAGGATAAGCCCACTAAATCTGGTAAGCTAAGCTTTGTGTATCAGGTATGGGGCAGATAATAGTATGGCTGCAGAGCAGCAATCATGCTGTCAGTGGTTCCCTGACATTTGTGGCCTTTCAAATTTGGTGCCAAACACAAGCCCCGCTGGAATTGGTTCCGCTCTTGAGCTCCGAAGTGCAGCTGACCCCTGCCGAAAGCAGGGTTCAAATCACTGCTTACAACTGCTGGGATTGGCTGCACTTGGGAGTGCATGTTTGGGAATGGGATGCTGAGGTTTTGCAAATACTGGCCACCCCTGATTTGCACTGGGGTCGTGTTCTGGGTCATCAAGCGCAACAAAGACCGCTCCCTATCTGACTTGCTCTTGCTGTGCTGTAGAAAGGACATTATGCATTTGATGAAGAACTGTCAACTGGGAAAGGAAGCAATAGTGCACATTTGCATTGTCTGCATTAGGGGCAGGGAACTTCTGACTCTCCAGGTGTTGTTGAATGACAGCTCCATCAGTCTCAGGCATCATTGTCAATGGTCAGGATGAGTATAGTCTAACATAAGTGGAGGACCATAGATTCCCCATCTCTGGTCTGAGGAGCTTTCCACCATATATTTAGTTTTCTGAGATCTCCTGAGGCTTTGGGTGACACCAGTTTAGCTCTTAACTCAACCATTGCCTTGGAAATTGGTTCTGGTTTGGCTATCTTGAAGGATCTTGTTTTCTCTCCTAGCTGACACCTTTGTTGTCACTGTCTATTTACTTTTCCTCTTCTGCTAGAACTGTAGGAAAGTTGGGAAGGGCAGATGGTAATACCCCAGCATCTTTGACAACTTGAACATTAGACTAGTGACAGTTTGGTAACTTCCCCATCCAGGATCGGATGAGATAGCTTGTGTGCAACAAGTCATGTGTGACTGTGATTGAAACAGAACAATAGAATTGGGACTCAGCTGGTTTCAAGTTGTTTATTTCATTTTCAATAAGTGAAATGGCCTGTGGCCATGAGCCACTAGAATTAAATAGCCTTGTTTACCTCCTACCCAAGGGACTATCAAAGAGATAAAAATAACTACTCTCTTACATGAGATATTGGGGCTTAAATGATATTGCATTGCTCCAATCCAATCAGTTTAATTTTCACCTTCCTTGGCTGTGATGAGCTCCTCAGTATTATTGAGTTGCTGTTGTATACCGTCTCAGCCATTAATCCCTTCTTGGCATTCCACTGTCAGTCTTTTCCCACAAGAACTGTTGAGATTTCTGACTGCTGATCCAGCTTCTATACACTTTATCAGAAGTCTTCAGATTTGCCTTAAAAAAATTGCCACAGCTGTAGTTTTTTATAATAGAAATGCCCTTCAATGCTTGATTCAGCCAATTTTACTCTAGAAATGCTGGAAATCTATGTGGAAGTTGTTTTAAGCAGCATATGCATGGTGGTCCATGGGGTGCTGGTGCATAAGAGGGACTTTTCTGTGGTGGACCCCAGATTGTGGAATGCCTTCTCCTTTGAATGGTTTCTAGCCTTATCACTATATACATTTCAACATTGGGTCAAGATGCATCTTTTTGCACTGCGGGTGGAAGATGTTACATGGTTTAATTGTATTGAGCTGCATATTAGCTGCCCTAGGACCAAATTTTGGCAGGTTCACTATGCCTATTAAATAAGTAAACTAATATTGGAAACACTTATAATCTTGGCCCCGGTGCTTGGTGACAGATTAAATTAACCTAAGTGGGGTTTTTTCACTGCAGAAGTTGCTCTAATTCTTTACCAGTGAATAAACTGATATCCTTATCAGAACTATGATCCAACATGTTTACCCAAAGGATCTTGAGATGCTGTGCATAGATACAGGGCCAAGCTTCCAGATTAGAATTAATTCGTAGAAGCTACTACTACTTGGTGTGTGTGTGTGTGTGTGTTTGCTTGTATGTATGTTTTCTATAAGGAACCATGTTCACACAGTGTCCCATCAGTATGTCCATTTCTAGTGAAAATCTGAGAAGAACATCAAAGACAGTAGCCCACTTGGCAAAATATGCATTGCATTCTGGCTTCAGTACAGGATGAAATTTGACAGTGTCCATTCACAAGTGGAACATTTGACCCTGGTGAGTCGTTCCCCTTTTCTGCTGCAGAACTTTCCAAAACTGCTCCAGAAGGTTTGGGCACTACAGAGCAGACAGGGAGGTGCAGGATGAAAGAGAGGAAGGAGTAATTCTGCTTGCACAAGCTGAAGTCCAGTGTCAACCAATGCAGCCTATTTCTGTTTTTGATGTGTTCAGGTTTTTGCAGCTCCTTTCTTGTAGCACTTGCTAGAATGTCTCATGGTCTGTTGCCTTTCTAAAGTGCTTAAGTGGACAGGCTTTTAACCCTTAACAAAAAGCTGCCACATGAGAGGTCAAATAAATAGATCCACCTTGCCTTACAAGTGGAGAGTGTCTTAACACGACTTTTGTCCCCCTATCCCCACCCCAGTTTTCCACAGTGAAAAGACAGACACTAATTTCAAGTTGGATGTGACCATAGAAACCCGTTCAAGAAATTCTGAAAGATCACAAAGTAAAGTAAGAGTGGAGAATAACACGAAGAAAAAAGAATCGACTCTTCCCGATTCAAAACGGAGAGAAGACCATGTAAACAAGGACTTCTTGCCCGTGGAGATCCGTGGAATGCTTGATGACCTGCAGCTGGACTCTGTATCTCAGGGTGCAGAACAAATGAGGGATGAAGGAAGACAGGATCAAAAATCACCACCTTTTGCATTTATTAGGAGCCATAGTCCAACCAAAAGAAAGCCAGAGAAGCTTTTTGCCAATGAAGAGCCTCAAGTCAGTTCTAAGAAACGCTATTATGATACAGATGAAGTTCGCCAGTATATTGCTAGACAAAAAGAGGAAAGGAAAAAGAGGCAAAATGAAGAGAAGAAAGCGCAGAAAGTGGCAACAGAACAAAAGAACAAAAGACTTCAAGAACTTTACAAGAAACAGAAAGAAGCTTTTGCGAATAAGACCAAGGAAACATTGGCTCCTGAATTAGCCACCAAACAACTACAAGAAACATACTCAAAACTGTTTCTGGAGCAAACCTTACTGGAGGAACCCCTGGTCCCTGGACAGGAGGTACAGGGATAGCTATTTTGCAAGATTTGCTTGGGTTTTTCCTTGCAGTTTGAAAGTTTGTATTAATGTCATTTTTTTAAAGAAAAGATTTGTAAAGTATTAGCAGCAGTAAAAGATAGGCATTAGGTTTGCACATGCCGAATAATGCTCAAACTGAGGTTTTGATTGCGCCTGCAGTGTGGAGCTCTGGTAGGAGCAAGAAACATGCCCAGAGTTAAAAATGGCTGCAGCTATAGCTCACAGCATTTGTCATGGCATAGAGTAAGAATCCAGACGTTGGGCAGCATGTTGATCAATTTAACTACCCAGCTCGTATTCTGAAGAAGCATCGATGAGGGGAAGGCAGGAAGCTCAGGCGCACCAAGGGGCAAATTATGTAATGTGTGTGTGGCAGCTCCTGTGAAGGGTGTAGACCTTTAAATGTCACCTCGCCATCCAGTTGTGCCTGATTTAGCACAATTTCCCTTCTTCCCACACCAGCCCCCCGTCCTGCTGTATCCCACTTTGTTCAGGAGGGTCTCCTGACTGCCCAGGAAGGCTTTTTGGAAAGGAGTGTTTTGGTGTCCCCTTGTGAGACCTTCCTTTTTCTTTTCTTTTTTCTTTTTTGCCGTAGTTAGGATTAAAGCCATCATATATTCTAATAAAGGGATGCAGGTGGCGCTGTGGGTTAAACCACAGAGCCTAGGACTTGCCGATCAGAAGGTCGGCAATTCGAACCCCTGTGATGGAGTGAGCTCCCGTTGCTCGGTCCCTGCTCCTGCCAACCTAGCAGTTCGAAAGCACGTCAAAGTGCAAGTAGATCAATAGGTACCGCTCTGGCGGGAAGGTAAACGGCGTTTCCGTGCGCTGCTCTGGTTCGCCAGAAGCGGCTTAGTCATGCTGGCCACATGACCTGGAAGCTGTACGCCGGCTCCCTCGGCCAGTAAAGCGAGATGAGCGCCGCAACCCCAGAGTCGGCCACGACTGGACCTAATGGTCAGGGGTCCCTTTGCCTTTATATTCTAATAGTGATCTTGAATCACTGATTGCCAGTCACATGTAGCCAAAATTACAACATCCACACCCCACCAAGGGATTTATTGGCAGCCTCAGGAGAACCCCATCGTTTGCAGAAGTAGAAAAAATACTGACTTAAATATAAGGTGTTCTTGCCAAAGAACCAGCTAATATGGCTAATATGTTGTTACTTTTGTCTAGTGCAGAAAACAAATGTCAGCTGTTTGCTTGGTCACTTGGGACTTCTCACATGTTTTAACTTTTTTTAATCTTGATTAATTCTAACAGAATTTCATGTTTCAAAAATATCTCCGTTTTTCTTCCCAGGCCAAACCTGGATATCAACCGTCTGGAGAATCTGATAAAGAAAACAAAGTGCAGGAGCGCCCGCCCAGTGCATCTTCCAGTAGCGATATGTCTCTCTCTGAAGCTGCTCCTACTCCTCTTATTAGGTAAGAAAGCAGGACTATCTTTAAGGCAACTTGTAAGTATTTGAACAGAACATGAAACGCCATTTTTTGTAAAAAGTCACTGTTGCGACCTTAGAAACTTGGTACAGTATAGTAGAAAATGGTCTTAAGATGACTTAGCAATACGCCCTGTGTAAGCAGCAGCAAGATTGGAGGACTTTTCCTGCAAACATAAGTGACATTTTAAAATCCAGCACTTTAGATTTTGTAAGATTCCGCATTATAAGAATGGCATGTCCCTGCATGAAATACAAGCTGAAAAAGCAATCATCTTCTTTATGCATAGTTAGTGCTCTGTGTGTGATTGGATTCAATGACACTGCATAAAAAATACATAAATATTTTGGGATAAAGAACTTTCCTTAATACAAAATGCGCTTATTGTTACAACGGTATTCTTGAAAGCTTATGGGCAATGCCTACTGAAACTTCAGAAGCCCAAGTGGTGACTGGGCAGATTTCCAGTGACTGGAGTTCCGGTTAGTATCTTTTTCCTCCTCTGTGACTAGAAAATCAAGAGAAATTATTTTGAAAAACAAGTTGAGCATGATTGAGTTATGGAAATTTGCTGAGTTGAAAGGTGTTGTACATTTCAGTTCACTTGCTTTTAAAAAAACATATATTTCAAATATATTTTTTCAGTTTTTAAGTATGACAACGTTATACACACATACCTAATCCAAATGGCATTGTTTGACTTACACCCACCCACTTACACCCACCCCTGGTTTCCAATTTTTCCCCTTTTCTTCTCCTTGCATATAATTATATTTCTCCAATTACTTTCAGCTTCTTTTTCCAGTCCTAATTCTATTGTTACTTCATAAATGTTACATCAGTCCTGCTAATGTTTTAACGCATTTACAGTGTTCTTTAAAGTAATCTATAATTTTTTTCCATTCTTGGTTAATTTTTTTCTCATCTTGGTGCCTGATCTTCATGGTCAATTTTGCCATTTTGGCATAGTCCGTCATCTTAGTTATCCATTCTTCCTTCGTTGGGACGTTTTCTTTCTTCCACTTCTGGGCAAGTAGCATTCTGGCCGCTGTAGTAGCATACATAAGTAGTCTCTTTCAATTCTCTGGCACTTCTTCTCCTGTAAAAAAGCCTCTGGTTTTTTAGAAAATGTTAATAGATTTCAGTCCTCTTGGTGCAGGATCTGGGAAGCTTGAAGGCTAGGTTCCTTACAGTTCAGCAGCTTGTATTCCATTTGCAACAAAAATTTAATCAGTTTGTAATTATTATCTGAATAACCTGTACTTTTAATATAGCAGATATAAATTTATGATGAACCATTTTATGCACAATGCTTTTTATGTTCCTAAAGTAACAAAGTGGCTTTCGGTATATAAAGACAAGTAATGCATTTGTTCAGCTTTCCCCCAAAAAACATCTCTTTCCAAATCTCACGCCCTGGAAAAAACACGTCCCCGACCCCACAGCTTCAAATTTTACACCTTTACACTGCTCCCACATTGTGTATGGGGGGATCGGGGAAAATTTAATCTGGGCTAAGAAATCTAGTTTTAAAAATGATTTCCAATACGTTAACATATGTGCACATTTAATAGTCAAACATTGTTCAGTCTTCATTATTCCAAGTTTATGAGAATTCAACTTTTTTGTTTATAGGAATAACCCTTTATGGATTCAGCCAGATAGGCTGACTTCAGAAGCCCAGCTTTCTTCCCAACAACCTTCAATGGTCTTGACTGGAGGATTTGTCTCCCAGCTTTTGGCTCTAGATCACACCCATGTCTTGCAAAATGACTTTGACTCTGTATTATCAAGCAGAAGGAGTTACAGTGCAGCTGTGGGATCCATGCCTTTGGCATCTCAGCCATTTATGGCATCTGCTGTACAGCCTACCATTAATCAGTATAAAAGTAAACTGAACCGCATTGAAGCCCTGAAGGCAACAGCAGCCTCTTTGTCGAGCCGAATTGAAAGCGAAGCCAAGAAGTTAGCCGGGGCCAGCATTAACTATGGTGAGGTGTGGAATTCTGAGTGTGACTTGTTGCAAGGAGATCAGGGCGATGGCCGTTGGGCAAAGGCCAGCAGCCCCCCTGTGGAAGAAAGTGATGTCTTTTCAGCCAGGCTCCAGAAGATGTTGGGTGCTTGCACCCCACATGCAAGTTTTGATGATGACCTTCCTGGTGTTGGAAACCTTGGTGAGTTTAAAAGGCTCCCAGAGACCCTCGGCCCTCGGGCTGCAGCTATCAGCCTTCCAGGTAACTACAGAGCTGAAGGAATGCTAGGAGATCTATCCAAAAAACAAGCATGCTCCCCAGGTGCTGAAAGTAAAGTTGTAGCTCCACGTGATGGTAGCATAGAGTCAATAAGTGAGGGGCCAATCAGTGATGGTCTTGCATCTGAGGAGGAAGGAGAAAGGCATGAGCATCCAACTTTGAAGACTGTGGAAGTGTTAAAGGAAAAAGAATTCTGTGCTGCAGATATAGCTGGCTGTGAGCCCATAAAAGAAGTTCAGAAGGAGGCAGAGAAGTGTTTACTCATTTTTAGACATATAAGGAGTACTTGGGAAGAACTGATAAGGGGGAGTCCCCATAGTGCCATCAACGTCTTTACAAAACATTACCAGCAGTGTGGGAAAGGTAAGGCAATGAGAGACTTATTGCTGCCTCTGGTGTTTCGTTGGTGTAATTGTCAAAATGACTGCACTTCCATGATAGTTGAAATCCTGAGCTCTTTAAGTTATGGTATAAACCTGTAGCTTGGATTTTGTGTTGTTGTTTTTTTGCTGATACCAGTATATGCTGATAAGCAAGAAGTTTCCAGTCCTTTTTGAAAATTTTGGCAACTACTTCTTTACTATGAAATCACTTAACTGTCTTCAGATTATAATTGAAAGTTGTTGCATATAAAGGAAATTTTCCAGAGCTGCTCTTAATGGGCTTTGGATCTCTGTCAGCAAGATTATTTGGCATGCTTCTGAAATACAGATTACTTTCTTTTTGCTTTTGCACCTCTTGCAGGAATTGAGCAGTGGTCAGAGCAAGCACCACCAACTCGGGAACCTTTCCTTCCAGTCATGAGTCCCCCAGCTAGCATTGTTTCATATGAAGATGATTTCATTTCCTCACAGGAAAGTGTAACCATTGCAGATAAAAGAGCTACTCTTGAGCCCAGGTACTTAATGAGTTCACAAATGGCAGCGAAAATCAATGAAGAACCATGTTCATTAAATAAAGAACTATTACAGAGTTGTTTTTCATCCCTGAATGGGAAGGGAACGCTTCCTTGTTATAGAGTATGGCAAATCTGAGTTTTGGCACAGAGCAGAGTAAATGAATACTTCGTCTATTTAAAACAGCTTTCAAGTCACAACCTGGTACTTTTTTATGGCACAAATGACACTCAGCTCAACTGTTTTTGAAAATCCTGAATTATCAACCTGAAAATTATTTAAGTAAATTCCCTTTGCTGGTGTTTCGAATCAGGATTGACATCTATTTAATCTATTTAAGAGACCTAGAGAAAGTAACTATTTAACTTAATTTATTAATTCAGTTGATTTTTCAATATAGATATTTCAATATCCTTAAGGGTGTTGGAGAATAGGAACTCAGTGTTGAACACAAACATTATGGCATTGTTAAAAGGAAAGGTGTCTGTAATAGTTTACATGCAGGTCCCACTATCCATCCACTGGATACCCACCAGTTCACTTATCCAAACATAAAGAATTACACATTCTGCAGAGTCAGATATCTGAACAGCTGGAGCTTGCCCACTTTGTGCTTTGCTTGTCAGCGGCATTCATTCTGGGGCTGAAACCATGGAGAGAGGAAGAGGGAGATAGAGCAGACCAATCAAGAGGGCAGGACAAATCAGTTTTTTTGTCTCTCTTTTGCTGGCTGGCTACAGCCATTTTAGGCAGAAACAATGTTGGGAGGAGGAATGCATTGTGGGCAGATGGCTAGTCCTGCGTGTAATTCCTGATTGCGACAACATCTACTTTAAAAAAAAAAAATGCTTTTAAGATTCAGCCCAAATAGCTAAACCATAATTCAACTAAAGCTTGCAGCTCTAGCCCATGTGCCTATCTTAAGCTATATGCAAAGTTGTCTAAAATTCAGCTGCTTTTAAAAAGGTAAATAGAAGTCCTGCTCTTGTGCCTTGTAAGGCTTTATTAAATGATTTAAAATGCTCATTACACAAGTAGTACAAATGTAACTGAGAAAGCCAAGCAATATTTTACTTCCGTGTCTATATTGACAGTGGCAGCAGCCCCAGCCTCAAAGAAGAGTTTGCCACCAGAAAGTCATTGTATGAGCAGCCAGCTGTAGACTTTACCCACCATTCCTCAGGAACACTTTCTGCAGGTTCTTCCAACTCGTCTGCATCGTCTAAAAAAAGAGTGAAAAAGGAAAGTAAGTGCCATTTACTACGCTCCCAAATCTGGGTTGAAACCTTTGGCAAAGTTTTAAAATCTGAAAATGTCAAGTGTACTCGTCAAGTGGGGGAAAGTGTATATTTATTTTATATTTAAATCGCTTTTTGCCAAAATATGTGTTACAGAGTCAGAATCTTTCAGCACAGTTTCAAGTGCCTCTCTGAGGGAGGAAAACAAAATGTTGCCAGGGTCAGAGTATGGATCGCAACAGGTGAAGAATGCATCACCTAATAATGGAATATCTCATAGAGAAGAGAAGAGCCCAGATTCTGACAGCACTTTAGAAGAACTTTCTGATCACTCCTTGATGAGGTAAAGTGAACCACTTCATTTAGTAATCATAATCATATATTGGCTTAATAAACTGAGTGATGTCAATGAGTCTTTCCCCCATGCATTCAGACTTTTTGCTTGTGCAGTGAAGCAAAGAGACATATTTAACAGCTTTGGAACAAACCAGGTTTTTAAACCACAGTTTGAAATTGATCTAATAACCTAATCTGTTCTGAAGCTGGTAACCGTCTTGGTTTAGATGAAATAGGAAATTATGATTGATTAGAGATTGCCTCATTTGATCATATCACAAAGGGAAGAGCGAAGGTGGATGCTTGTGTGGGCAAAACAGTAATTTAATATCTCTGTTTTAAAACCGAGGTATGATAATCTGAACTATACCAATGTTTTTGAAGTAACATATAAGCTCTTCAAATAGTTGGAAGACTGTATTTTGTGTCTGTAAATCTCAACTATTGCTATAGCTTTTTTTCCTGGGATACTCAACGTAGGCAGGACTGGCACCTTTTTCCCAAGAAGAAAGGTTAAAAGTGTGGCACATACTGATGAGTATCGGGACAGTTTTTTCTAGAAGAAAAGCACTGGCTATTACTCTTTTCTTTGTGTACTGATGGAAATATATGATACTTTTCAAACTGGTTTTGCTGTGTGACTACTGTTTCTTGAAAGAATAAAGACTTGCTTCAATTTTTGTTTAACTTTTCTGTCAGTCTCCCAGATAAGATAAAGTCTCCAAGGACTCCAGGCTCTCCTCATTCTCCAAGCTTACAGAAACCATTGGATCCTGCAGTAAATACAGCAGAAAAAATTAGCCCCCTTTCAGACTCTCCAGGGACTATAACTTCTGGACCCAAGGCAAGCCATGCCTTCTCTGATATGAACTTTGGAACCAACAGGGCTGGAGCAGGTAACATGAATGGTGAGCTGGCCAAAAATAGATGGCTCATGATGATGCTTACTTTTCCTATGTTTCTAAAAAGTGTGATTTACACGAAGACGTAGGTGTTTAGTATTTCATATTTACCTTACAGGTACCATGCGCTTCTCACCTGCTGGTCTCCAACATCGTATGTCAGCAGAACTTAATTATTTAAGTGCACTTGAGGAGTCTGTTCGCCAGATCTCTGATGTTGAACGAGTCCGAGGTATATCACTTGCCCAGCAGGAAAGTGTTTCACTGGCTCAGATTCTAAAGGTAACCGTAGGCATTCTTATCTCTGCCTTATTTGCTGTATGCACTCCTCTGAAGTATCTCAGTCAAAGATAAGAGTGGTTGCGATCAGATGAATATTGTTATATTTCCATTAAAGCTACAAAACTAGTAGGCTCTTGTTTGAAAAAGGAGGAACATAATCTGTGGTTCCTGAAAATGATAACCACATTTGTCACAAGTAGCTATGTGCAATTTCAATTTTTCATACCACAAGTTTTATTTATTGCAGTATTATTGTATAGGGTGGAAGTTGTGAACTTTGTAAAATAGGCAATGAAAGTCATGAGATACACTAAAAGATGCAGAAGTATAAGTGCTAATCATTAATGAAATATTTAGGATTCAGTGACAGGAGCATTAATATCCTTATGGAAATATATTTTAAGTGTAAGGTACCTTGAATTACATTGTATGCAAAAAGGCAGGATATAAGTTAATAAACTAAAACTAAACTAAACTTAATCCGTAGGCACAGCAGCAACGACATGAGCACGACTTGGCTCTTCTGAAGCTCAAGGCAGAGCAAGAAGCTCTGGAAAGTCAGAGGCAGCTAGAAGAGGCGATGAAGAAAGCAGCTCAGGTAATGAGGTCTTTCAAACAGTATGTAAAACTTAAAAGTAGAATTCTTTTCCTGTGGAGAAATTGGTGCGAATGGATGCTAATCCAAATCTCACAAATAGTAGGCAACAAGAAATCGGGTCATCTCAATGTACTTCAGAAAAAGATCTTGTTCTAGAGGTGCAAGATTTTAGAAGTTGCAACATTAGTGGGCCAGGGGGCACTATGGGCTTCAGTCACAAAATAGCTACCATGTGGGCCATGACATATCACAAAATGGCTGCCATGTGTTAATTTGGAGATCCAGTCAAGGCCAGCTCACACCTTGCCAAATACTGACACTTCCTAAGCCAGGGAAATGACAGGAAGTGAGGTCTTTGGACCTAGCAGATCACACAGACAGAATGTCTCATTAAAAAAAAATACTGTACTGAATAAAACATATTGTATTCAGAACTCAAAAGCATCAGTTCATCTTGATCAGTTCATACCCAGCACCTCCACTTCTGCCTGACACTCTCCCTACGCTCAACAAAATTTAAACTGTATTGTTGCAAAGTGTGTCTCAATGAGGACCGTGCCCTAATAGCAAAGGTGCTGGGCATGTCATAATAATTTATAATTTATACCCCACCCATCTGGCTGGGTTTCCCCAGCCATTCTGGATGGCTCACAATAGAATATTAAAAACATGATAAGACATCAAACATTAAAAACTTCCCTGAACAGGGTTGCCTTCAGATGTCTTCTAAAAGTCATATAGTTGTTTATTTTCTTGACATCGGATGGGAGGGCGTTCCACAGGGCAGGTGCCACTACCGAGAAGGCCCTGCCTGGTTCCCTATAACCTCACGTATTGCAATGAGGGAACTGCCAGAAGGCCTTCGGAGCTGGACCTCAGTGTCCGGGCTGAACGATGGGGGTGGAGACACCTTCAGGTATACTGGTATATCAGCTTTGTCTGGCCAAGGCAAGTCTACATTTTCTATGAAAGCAAATAGTCCAGGTTCCAGATGCTGTATTACGGTGTGTCAATCACATTTTCATCATTTTTATATCTCCATTTCAATGGAGCTGATTTTAGTATGATTCTGGTGGATACAACCCCACATAACCTCTGCTCTAACAAGCTCACATTTGCCACAACGTACATCTTGTTGGAAGAAAAGAATGAAAAGCCAAAATAGTTTATCTATGCCACTTTTGTGTGCACAAGTTTAAATAAAATTGTTTATTTCTTTTATGTCCTAATCATTTACCATGAGTTTCAAGCATTTATTATTGTCTGAACAGATTTTTTTCTGCCTCAGAATTTTCTGCTTTGACAGTCACAGAAATGTTAGAGCCAAGTATCTCATCCAGTTTTTGCTTCTGTGCGTAAAGAGGAATTAAAACCAACAAAAATACGTTTGGCATACTAAAATTCCAGTTTGGCCCCTTTGGCACCTGAACTAAAGTAGAACTTTTTTTTTTAATACATAGGGCCATGCAGAATCTATGCAGCAGCTCGTACAGTCACAACAGGAGAAAGCAGATGCTTTACAGGAGACCACTTGCAAAATTGCAGCTCAGCAGGCGGAGACTGCTCTGCTCACCACAGAAGCTGCTAGCCAGATACGTGAGGTTAGATTCTGCTCTGAAATCCTTGGCAGACTTGGCCTTGTGCAGAATGGTTGCTAAAGCTAGCTTGCTGATTGTAACGAAGAGCTCTTCAGCAGATTACTTTGGGAAAGGAAAGCACGCTGCCTATTTGAAGGATGGGAGAGAGAGGATGTGTGTGTGTGTTCTTAATTTCTCAAATATTAACTTACGAAAAGTACATCTGACTGTGCTTCTTTATTCAGATGACAGAGCTTGCAAGAGTCCAGATCTCTGATGCCGTTGGTGCTCCTGCAACCCCAATTACCACACTGTTTGACCAAGAGCGGAAGCAACATTCAGTATTCATAAAGAAGCTAAAATCTCATAATACAAGCAGGTATTTTAGATGACATTTTAGTTCTTAGAATAGATTGTGAGCGGTGTTTCAACAGAGGCATGAAAGCAGACTCCAGGCAGACACCCTCCACCACTGATATGCATAGGTGAGGGAGGGGAATATGATGTCCGCATGAGTACCAGGCAACTCCCCAAGGCTGCTCTTTACTTTCTTTTCCCTGTCTCATCAATAAAGAGTAGTCCCCCCTCTTCCTTTCAGCCCTTGTGACCTTTTATTGTTTGATTTTCTACACTAGCAGCCAATACTGTAACAAGGCAGGTCATTTGGCTCCAGCATTAGAGTGTAGAAGGGAATTCTTAAGGAAAGGGACTACAGTCAAACCTTGGTTCCTGAACGGCTTAGTTGCCGAATGTTTCAACTCCCTAACATCGAAAACCCTGAAACGATTTTCGGAGGTTGACTGTCTGTCGCAGCAGACAAGCGGCTTCCGACCGGCTCTTCCATTTGCAACAGCCAATCAGAAGCTGCACCTTGGAAGTCGAACGTTTTGGAAGTCGGACATCCTTCTGGAACGGATTACGTTCAACTTCCGAGGTTTGACTGTATGTGCATTTGTACTTGTTGGGTTTACTTGATAGTCCCTTGATTGACTTATTGTAGGCATCAGGGAAGACTTTGTGCATAGGGCTATCACACCAGTTTGCACGTCCTGTCCATTTCTTCCCATTGGGGAATGGAAGAATGGAAAGTTCCTGCCTTCTATATTGAAATCCATGATCAGAGGCCAAAGCCTCTGATGTTGGCTGCTCCACACACCTTTTATTTCCCCTCAAACTCCTGGAGTTAGAAGACTGAGACTTCTACTTTCTGCCTGCCAAATCAGAGGCCTGTTTCACATGCCACTTGACAGGAGAGTCTTCCTTCCCTGTCAGGTGACTCATCCTGAGTGGGAAGAAGTCCCTGCCAATTTATATTGGGTGCTGCAGTGACAAGTGTCAGGAAGTGTCGCCTGCTCTCCATTTGTTCTGTACACAAGAGAAACTAGGCCTAGTTTGGAAACACACAAAGCTCTTTTTATGCAGAGCTAAATACATTTTCTGTCTCATTTGTCATTACTGATACTTAATTGGATGTTTCTCATTTATTTCACTACTATTTTGTCTTGTAAGGCTTTTTTCAGCTACTTATGACAATCAGCTTGAACTTTCTTTTTTATTTTCAGGATAACTCAAACTTGCTTATTTTCTTTAATAGGAAAGCAGAATCTACACCTTCACAAAGTAAAGAGGAGCTAGATGACTCAAAAATCCTTTATTCCTCATTTGAAAGTTATTCAGAATCGTCGAGATCAAAGGCACATGATCAGAGGTAAGAAGCAGAACTTATACAGTTACTGTCAGTTAGAATGGTAGTTAGCAGAGGAATACTTTGAGCAGTACTTGATGCCTAGTGTTTCTTCTTCTAGTCCAGACCTGCAGATCTTTTGAGCCCCCAAACTCACATGGGATCAATAAAATAGGGTAGAACATAGTATATAGCTAGCTGTTGGATCACAAGTCATGCAGGCCTATCCAAGGACCATTGCGTTAGCCGAGTTGCTATATTTTGGAGTGGCGTTTAATGCTAATCTGATACCCCATGACATGAATATGAACTGAATTCTTCTTCATGGTTTCTGTGCAGTCACATAATATGGTTTTTGCACTTATGCAGAGCCTCGTTCAGAAACAATCTAAAACTAAACTAGAGTTGTTGTTTTTTATTGTGCCAGCAGCACACTGTTGGTATTATTATTATTATTATTATTATGATGCATTCTGAGGCCTGTTTTACAACCCTAATTCAAGATTCACTTCTGTGCTTTTATTATACCTTTTCATAAAACAGCAGCAGCAGCAGTTGCCAGGGAAGTCCATCTGTCTCACCTTCCAAGGGGACCAAGAAACTTTCCCGTCGTGAAAAGTCAGGCAGCTCCATTGAAGAGCAGGTTCCTATGGCTTTGAATGATTCTTTAATGAATAATAGTATTCCATCCATTGCAGATGAGAGAGGTGGGTCCTTGGACGAGTACTTAAACTACTTCAGTGTTTACTCCTAGTTCTGTTCCCATCTACTTGATGCTTGTGCTATTTCCCTTGCTCTATTGATTGTTCTGCTGGTGGAGTCACATAGAAGAAATATAAAATGGTGAAATATTTACCAGGCTGTTGCATGCAGCACTCTTTCCCCATCACAGGCAATCCACAATTACTTTTATATGTCATTTTCTGGTTAGCCAGCCCCTTGAGCTGCTGGGGAATCTGCAGTCTGATAATGACACCATGATAGCCACATTGAATCCTGGCTAGCTGTTGCTTCCAGCCTCCATTGTTCTGGGAGCCACTGACTGAGTGTTCCTCCTTCCTTTGTTCTGGGAATCACTGAGGTTGGTTTTTTTTTTAAGTCACGAGTCTTTACATCAGTGTGTGTACTTGTTTACAAGTGAGTGTTATGCAAGATGCAATTTCCTGAGCTTGATTTCTATTACACAAATATATCTTAAGTGATGGAACGTCAGATGGGGCTTGGTTATTATTGGCTGACAGCATGTTTTATGGAGCAAAAAATCTGTTGCAATTTGAAGTTCTTTTGTGGGAGGATAAAGCCAGCTTCCTAGTTCCAAGAAACATGGGCCTCCAGGAAGCATATTTAGCTCCTATGCTGACATTGCTACTTATTGATATCCTTTTAGTCTTTGACCCCATACTTTTTGACATTTGTTGTAAGCGGGGAAAGTGCTGCAGATTGGAGATAATATCTACTCCATCATCCCAACTCTTGAGTGTCCTGAATACCATTGAAAGGGCATGTTGCCGATCAGAAGGTTGGTGTTTCGAATCCCCGCGACGGGGTGAGCTCCCGTTGCTCAGTTCCAGCTCCTGCGAACCTAGCAGTTTGAAAGCACTTCAAAGTGCAAGTAGATAAATAGGTACCGCTCCGGCGGGAAGGTAAACGGCGTTTCCATGCGCTGCTGTGGTTCGCCAGAAGCGGCTTAGTCATGCCGGCTGCATGACCTGGAAACTCTCTGCGGACAAACGCCAGCTCCCTCGGCCAGTAAAACTAGATGAGCACCGCAACCCCAGAGTCGTTCGCGACTGGACTTAACCCTCAGGGGTCCCTTTACCTTTACCTATGTGCAATATATAGACCCGTTCTGTGATATGGACAGGTGTTTTGCTAGTTTATTTATTTATTTATACATACATACATACCCTGCCCATCTGATGGGGTATAATTCAGTCATCGACGATACTGATCATTCAGTCAGTATTCATTTACTTGTATTGCTCACTTCGTTAAGCCATACGTTCCACCTACTACATGAAACTACTTCATACATTACTCATTCGGTAATGCAAACTTTCCTTTAATTAAATATTTTTGGGGGGTTTTCTTCAGACTCAGCCTCTGTAGCAACAGAATATTCTCTTAAATTTGATGAGTCCATGACGGAGGATGAGATTGAAGAAAAGTCATTCCGGTCCTTGCTACCTTCTGAAAGTCACCGTCGGATCAATTTGAAGAAACGAGTTCACCAGGATTATTCTGATGAGGAGGCTTTCCCTGGAAAGACTAGCGTGTCACCTGTTAAAGTAAGTTTTCAATACTCTGCAGCCACATGTTTGTTGCGGCTCCTCTAGTTGCTTTCAGAACCTTTCAGTAAATTTTAGTGGGGATGTCCTGTACATAAATGAACACCATAACTGTATAGTATCTGCAGACTTTAAAAAACTGTGGGCACGTTATATCGTATGAAATTCTGCAGGGTACAGGAACCTCCTTTTGTGAGCAAAAAGGGGTCGAGGGAAACAAACTGCATAATACAGTTGTAAGTGCATGTGCATTTTCAAAGCACTTGCATACTTATTCATGGCCTGAACTTAGTTTTTTAAACCAGCTATTCATTCCATACTTGTTTGGAAGGATGCTTGATCAAGGAGGTGGCATCCTCTTTAGTAATGCTTCTTATCTTAGCAAAAGTATTTATCCTGTTATACAAACATTTACATTTGTATGTTTACAAATGTATGTTTTAAATTTGTTTTCTTGTAATTAGGAGCTAAGCCTGCCATTCTCGGGAGGGCAAGATAGCTTTTCTAAATTTACCATGGAAATGGTGCGGCAGTACATGAAGGAGGAAGAAGTGCGGTCAGCTCACCAGTCGTCCCTGCTTAGGCTACGTGAAAAAGCACTGAAAGAGAAGGCAAGGGCTGAGCTAGCCTGGCTGGAACACCAGAAAAAGTAAGAGTGTTCAGAAAACATAATGACCCCAAATTTAGTAATTTGTGCTCCATCCTAGGACTTCTTTGGTTTTCTGTCAGTTTTGTTAAACTCTGCTTCCAAACCCCTTTTGCAAATGTTCTGAATGCCATGAAATAACGATTAAACAAAGAAGTGTGTTTGTAGTTACACAAATAGAAGCCCTGGGGGCAAGGTTGGTGCACAGTTGTGCTGCAGAAGCCAGATGGAGTTTAAATGAAGTGTGATTTTTTAAAAGCATAGCTCTGCCTCACTTGTAAGGAAACAGTGAGTCTTTCTGTATATTTCATATTAACTTTAATATATTCTATCATGTGGATTCTTGAAAAGCAAAGAATTACTGTCCATCTTTCTTTTGAGGGAGATCTTCCAGACAGTGCAATCCATTCTTCAGCTGATCACCCTACTCTTTTTCACACATGTGAACCGTCAAGCACTTATTGCTTGCTGGTTCTAATATTACGGAACCTGATCATCTGTGATGGGATTGGATAGTTCCATTTCTTGGCCTAGCACCTGGAGATTAGAATTGCCTCTAAAAAACAGTTTGGCTATTTCTGCCCCCGAAAGGCCCAGGTTCTTTATCCCGTAGGCCCTATGTTTTGGGGAGTATGGTCCTACTTGAAGTAATTAGCTAGTACTAAAAAATGAGTGCTGCTGCTGTCTCATCAAGAACAACCAAAATGGCCAAATATGAGGTACCAGGATTGCACAGGGTTATTGCCCACCTGGTAAGTGAGAGTGTGAGTGCCACGGTTGCTCTTGGATCCACCCTTTCAGGTGTTGGCTAGTGTAGGCACAGGAAGAGCATGTCTGTATAGCATCCTAAAGCCATCCGACATGATGTAGAAGCATCTAAATTACTTCAACACATTAGCTAGATTTGAATTAGTCTATTAGAACAAGATTATATTGGCTATGGGGCTCCGATGTTTTGTGCTCCAGTTCCCGTCACCCCCAGCCAGCATGAACAATGGTCAGGAACAATGAGTGTTGTAATCCAAAGCATTTAGGGTAAAGCTGTCCAAAGTCTAGCAGAATTGGGGGAGGTGTGTAGTTGAAAAATTCCCCAGGGGGCAGTGGGATCCTTGTGGGGTGGGGTTGATGTGGGGTGAAAGATGCTTTGTGCATTTGCCCGCACCCCATAGTCCCCTTTGACTAGACTTGACCATCCAGGTGTCTTTTACCTTTACCCCTATGCATTTGCTAACCAAAATAAAACTGTATTACCAATATGTAAATGAAAATGAAAATCCATAACTACCAAAACAGAATTGCAAGGCAGAAGTGAGAGAAAGTGAACTTTCCTTGCCTTGATTCTCACAGGCGTTTACGAGACAAAGGAGAGGACGACAAAATGCCACCTATCCGAAAGAAACAGCGTGGTCTACTTCTGAAGTTGCAGCAGGAAAAGGTAAAAAATAATTTTAAATCCACCTATGCCAAGTTTCTCCTTAATCACTGAATTTTGATCTGGTGTATAGGGCTGGGCAATATCTGGTTTTCAACATAGTGATATATCACCACCTAAACATTGTGATACACTGATACTGATCACAATGTCTGAAATAAGGTTGGAGCTTTGCAGAGGCATCGTGATAACAGCTTTTCAACATCGCTGTATGTCACCAGCCAAACATTGCAGTCTGGCGACATGCCACAATGTTGAAAACACAAGCTGCATTGGCCTCAGCCTGTAAGACATCGGGTAAAATTGCCACAGCGCCCAGCAGGGTGGGACATGGCAGCTTGTTGGGGCGCAGGAGGGCTCCCCATCCCCAGCAGAGCCATCCCTGGTGCCCCCCTGCTTGTGTGGGAGCCAGTGCTGGGCTGGGGAATCCTTTAAATGCTTGAAGGGGAGCGGCAGCTGCGCACTCCTTAGCTGAGCAGTTGAAAGATGTAGAGGGCGGAACAAGCTGTATTGGAGCCTCACCAGTGAAGCTTTTTCTCCCTCTGTGCAGTATGGGGGCAGAGTGGGATGGCGGTTTCACTCAGCGATATACCGCTGAGTGAAGCCGACATCACTGTCTGCTCCACATACCAGTCCTGGGCGATATATTGATATATCACCCAGGCATATTGTAAACTCCTTTGGGAATTTATTTTCGGCTAAAAAATTGGGAGACGGGGAATGTTTTAGACAGTTGCATATAAAACATTGCCCATACTTTAAATCTTTGAATCTGAAGCAGACGTGATGTATGAGGAAAGTGAGAGCGGATGAATGGAGAAAATGAGTATTGGAGGTGAGGTACTGAATTCAGAAAGGGGGAGAGGGGAGGAAAAAAACCATGGGAGAAAACGTAAGTTTCAACCAGTGCATTATAGAAAACACACTGGAATAGGACATTGCAGAGAGAAGGTAGGTCTATTTCAAGAGGGTTAGAGCCAGTGAAACAAAGGAAGTGGGAAGGAACATTGATTGACAGAAGAGAAGATGAGAAGATTAGCAGAAAAGTTGAGAAAGCTAATTATTAGAATAAAAAGCTTGTAATGAAAGCAGGAAGTATAAAGTAGTGATAGGGATGGGGGAAGGGGAAAGAGATGTGGTCCAAACTACAGGTGAAGACAAACATACCAAGCAGCATAATGAGGAGCAGAAGTGAAAGGCTGAAGAGAGAAACCTGCAAAAACATTACTGCTCTTTTTTTGCTTTGCTTTATTGTTCTTAACTCATAAAGGCAGAAATCAAGCGTCTTAAGGAAGCCAATAAGGCAGCCAGAAAGGAGAGGCAACTGATCCTTAAGCAGCAGGAAGAGATAGAGCGAATACGGCAAACCACTATGAAACTGCAGGAAAAACTGAAGTCTGCAGGGGAAAATAAACAGGTAAGCTTCACTGCAAGAGCTGGAAACATGCACCTGAGAGTTAGCCTGTTATTTTTATTTGTAGCACTGCAGTTCTCAAACTGAATGAAAAATAATTGAGACAAAAAAGAGGGGTATAAGTTATTAAAATAAATAAGCTGGTCCTGAATACTTTATTGCTGACATTTATGCTTGAAAAAGACCAACCACACAACAGTGACTTCTAAAATAATAAGATCTGTTTTTGTTGCTGGAACTGCAGATCGTGCTCATAGGTCTAGAGTTTCTCAGTATAATTTCTGTCCCATCCTTCCTCACCAAGGAGCTCAAGGTGGCAAACAGGTCCACAATTTAAAAATGAAAAAAGCAAAAACATACCGAAGCAGTTAAAACGTTCTAAAAACAATTGCATCTAAAAGCATTTACAGTTAAAAATATTTGCATCCAGTGATATTGGAGTTATATTAAGATGCTGATCAAAGTGTATATAAAATTGATAGAGGAAAATATTCCGCAAAAAATGCAAGGTACATGGATATAGAAAGAGAGAGATAATAGCTAGAGAAATATGTATAGATAATAGAAAATAGCTTTTTACATGTTGAATATCTATTTGGGTTTTTTTTGTTTTTGGTCGTAGGAGCATTTTAGTGAGGACGATGTAAAGCGAACACGTTCTTCAACCCCGCTGCCATCAGATGCAGAAACATGGAGCCTCTCCTCCGTTTCCGGCTCTGAGACCAGTAGCATTATGCAGAAACTAAAGAAAATGCGCAGCCAAATGGATGAAAAGTAACTATTGGTGGTTTTTTATTGATGAGATCAGTAACCGGTTATAAGGTTGGCTACTTCTTTGGGGTTTACTTTTGCTTCCTATAGCTGTAGTGTTATTTCAGTTTAGCTAGCCTCACTGGTGGCTTGGCATTGTACATTGAACATACGAATGAATGTGAATATACAAAGTTGCCTTGCCATTTCGTCAAGTATCACCTATTCCAGGGGTAGCCAACATGGTGCTCTACTGACGTTGCTGAATTCCAACTCCCATAATCCTTCACCATTGGCGGTGCTGGGGCAGATGGGAGTTGTTGTTACTTTGTTCATTTTATATCCTGCCCTTCTTCCCGCAGGAACCTGGGGTGGCAGACACAGCATTAATAAGACACTAAAAAACCCACAAATAAACCCACAAACAGTTTTAAAACATTCTAAAAAAAAATCCAGTTTAAAACATTCTCAATGGGTGATCTCAAGGTTTCCAGGAACAGTGTATTCTGATCAAATGCCTGGGTAAACGCAAATATTTTTACATTTCCCCTGAAAGTCAGTAATGAGGGAGGCAGACCTACCTGTCACAGAAAAAGCCCTGTCATGGGTCACCAGCAGCTAGCTGAGCAGTCCCCAGTCTCAGCAGAACCAACAGGTCCTCACCTGCCAATTGTAGGATCTGAGATGGTTGATACTGAGGAAGGGGCTCTTTTGGATACTTGGTCCCCAAGCCATTTATGGCTTTAGTACTGACACCATGAATTTGACCTGGTTAGCTCACTGGCAGCCTGGTGACACATTGTTCCATTGGGTTGCCCCACCTACCAGCCTAGCCACTGGATTCTTCACTAGCTGCAGCCTCCAGACCATCTTCAGGGGCAGAACCACATTACAGTTGCCCAGACAGGAGTTCACCAGAGCGTGGACAACTGAGTCCTAGGCACTCCTAGCCACTTGAGGTTCCAGTGACAAGTTGGAATCCAGGAGTACTCCCAGACTATGAGCCTGTTCCGTCAGGAGGAGTGCAACCCATCCCAGGACAGTTTAGACACCTAAACCCCAAACAAAAGAACCACCCGCCTATAGCACTTCAATCTTGTTATCAGGATTCAGCATCAGTTTATTAGCCTGAACCTTCACTGCTTCCCACACACCCGTCCAACCAACACCTTCACAGTCTCTCCTGATTTAGATGGAATGGAGAGAGAGAAAAAATTGTGTGTCATCAGCATACTGATGGCACCTTGCTCCATTTCCCAAGATGGCAGCTCTGAGCAATTTTATATGATGTTAAATAGCAAAAGAGACAAAAGAAACCCTTGTGGGACCCCATAGCCCAAAAGCCATGGAGCTAAGCAACATTCTCCTGGTACTACTATCTGATCATCATGCTGCAAGTAGGAGCGGAACCACTATAACAGTTTTTTCACCTCTCTGAGTCGCTGCAGAAAGACACATGGTCCACCACTGAGAGGCTAAGGTGAACCAGCAGGGTTGCATTCCCCCTGTCTCTCTCAGTCTGGATGACTAAGGCTGTTTTGGTGCCGATCTGAAACCAGACTGGAATGGATCTAGATAATCTGCTTCCTCTGACAACATCTGGAGTCCAACAATGTCTGCAGGGCACCACGTTAGCAATTGCTGGTCTATTCTGATAGGTAACAAGAGACTGTCTATAGTCCTGGACAGGAAAATCTCTCTGACATCCCTTTTAGACTGGCCGTGTTGCGCATTGAACTTGGGACCTCTTGCATGCAAGATGCATGCTCTCCCACTGAGTTATATTGCTGAGCGTACACATCTTCTGCAGGGCTGCAGCTGTATAAATGCATTACTTTAATGGGTAGTGCTTGCTATATAATGTGATATCTATCTCAATGCAGCTTGTAAAGAGGTGGTCTTTCTCTTCAGCTTTTGCTACCTCCAAACCAAATGTGATCTTTGAAGCTTAACCTCAAAGGCTCAAATTCATCAGGAGAACAATTCATGAAATAAGATGGTGCAGCTTGAGGTTGTGTGTTGGGTTGAGTACTTGCATTTAAAAAAAAAAAGATTATTTTATTTCTGTCGTATGTAGTATTAGGCATCTTCCCACTGGTGAGGACTTTAAACTGAAATACTGCCTTTCAGTCACAGTAAAAATTGTTTTTATTAGTTCTATGCAGGATTTAAATTCCCATGTGGGGCTTTGGGTAGGTGGGGCAGGGAGACACAAGTGCCAGGGTTTCCATAAATGCACTGGGGTTTGCCCTCAACGCTGCCTTCAAAAGATGCCCCTGAACATCAGAATGTTGCCTGGCACCAGAGCCAGCAATAAGACATGGCAGTTTGGAACTCTCCCTAAGACACACTCTTACAGCTTTTGACACTCTATTAGGGTCTGCTGTCCATGGAAAAAAGATTCTGGTTTCCAAGATGGTGGAAGCACAGCGTGTTTCTTTTTATGTTTAAAAGAAACAGGTATCTGGCATATTTCAAACTATTGCATTTTTTTACATGTGCTTAATGGGAGAGTTCTTTAATAAATTATTCTGCTAAATTACATAGAAGCTTATAGCATATTTACAGCAACAGGCAGCTTAGCCTCCTGTTTCATGTCTGGAATCGGCAAGTCTGTATGGAAAAGCAGAATATTTTGTAAATTGTCAAAGATGCCGACAAACTAGAGAATGATGCTCTTGGGCTTTCTGCAAAACTAGGTTTTATCTGACAGTTTGTAGGATTCCTCCTCTAAGGAATTATCAGGATCTATGTTTGGTCAGAGGAGAAATAAAAGACTTTGTCTGTAGTTTGCATGTGAACAGGAGCATGCTCTGTCAAAGAATTAACCCCTTGTGATCCTGGCATATTCAGCCCCTTGACATGGAGCCGTCCCAAACACAAGTGATACTTCATGTTGCTGTACCTTAGTGAGTTCTTACTGTGCATGCATAACTGATTAGTGCCTATGAATAGCATGACTTTTACTGTTTACCAACTTTCTCAGCCAGTGCTTTGTTTGGCTTTAACATTTTTGCCATGTAGACATTTTAGTAGAGATGATGTCCTGTTGCAAAGCAGTATTTGAAAAGGAAAGTGTGTGTGTGTGAAGTGTGAAATCCGAAGAATAAAACCAACTTCTAGTGAAAAATGGCAGCATATGAACTCTTCAACTGACATTAGTTTTCCACATCATTTTGAAGTTTTGCACCAGGAGGTTCTGTGCATTGAAGTTGCAGCTTTTTTTCTTTTGATTTGGCGTTCATTTGCTTAGCTTAGGGCAGTTCATTAGAGTTCTCATTAGTAGGAATGTGTCTACTAGCTAGAACATGGCTTGAAACCTTTGTTCAAATGGTCAGAATAGCAAGCCTTTTAAAATTCAGTACTGAAATGGATAGGTGGAATCCCTTCCTCTTATAAACAATGGGCGGGGGGAATCCTAAAATGCAGCAAGAGTAAGATATGTTTCGTAGTGTAGAAAGTGCCTGGCTTTTGACAGGGAACGAAGGGTTGTAGGTAATGCATGGTTACGTTCTGTTGCCTTTGGAGTCTTCTACTTGTGGAAAGACGATATGTTTGACATTTAAGACCCATTTGTGCAAGATGCTCTCCTGCTCTCATTTTTCTGTCTGTTTCTTGCTATCTTGGCTTAAAACTCTTCCTCCTTATTTTGTAGACACTGCTCTCCTGTTCACTACTTCTTCTCTGTCTTTACGTCTCACCACTGGGCTTCTCTCAGTGTCTGTTTTCCCAACCTCCATCCCAAATTCCAGCTGTATATCTACAACCAATTGGTCAGGTAACGTTCTACCTTTTTAAGTGGTAGACTCTTTGATCGAGCATGCTCTGTTCAGTTTTACATGACTGGGAGGCTCTTCATGAATTGGACGGATTTTTCACAGCTCTTACCTGGTAATTCTGTAGATGTGACTGGCAGTCTCCTGCCTCTCTTAGTTACCCAATGCATAATTTAGTGTTAGAGAACAATGGTTTAGGCAGAGATTCTGAGATTTAATTTGTCTTTTAGCACCTACCTATCAGCTGAGAACACCAGTTTTGAGATTTTTAACTGTATATAAATAAAAGATTCTTCAGTTCAATTATTTGCTTTCATTAAGCTGTTCAGACTGATTTGAAAATAATGTTGGTGCCTTGTATATGGCCACATTGGTTGAAATTTATCCTGCTCAAACTAAATTGCTTATAAATGAGCCCAAATCAGAGTTAGGAATAATGATGCAATCTAACCAAATGTGTTTCTGTTTCCAGTAATTGCAGCTTCCACCAAATAATTTGGGGTATTTTCATGGTGGCCTGATTTTTAAAAGGCATGGATATTAGGATTAGCAGAGGGAGGTACAGCAAGCAAAGGTTGTTGACTTGCAAAAGCCATGTGGGAAACAGAGACACAATATAGTTCTGGACTCTTTATTTCCTTGACACATGATGACTGCTTTGCCTAGCTCCTGTTTTTAACCTTCACAGGATCCTTGCTGTTTCCAATATTTTCCCTCTAATTATGAGGTTCAGACTTACTATTTAAAAAAAATAAAATTAATGCGTCTTAGGTTTTTACTTAGCACAAGACTTTAAAATTCATTGCTTTCTTGGTTGAAAGACATCAAAATGGAGAAAGGATGCTCCCTGGCACCAGATCCTCCTTCTGCTTCTAACTTGGAGAATAGAGACCAGTGGGATCATGAAATTTCCAGTGTAACAGAATGGAAAAAAATCAAATGATCAGAAGCAATCATCACCCCACTGTCTGTTGGGTTCTGACTTACGGACCTAAGCCTTTGGCATGTGGAACAATAAGCTTCCAATTAAAGCTTTGTCTGAACATCTCTATTTTAACAGCAGAAGAACCCAAACCTAGACAACAGCTTAGGGCAATTGTTTAGGTATGCTTTTTTAGCTCCCATGGAAAGTGTGGCTTCCATAAGCTGGCTACCTGGCAATTGACACTGCTGTGGTTTTAGGTTATCTGACTTCTACCCATAGGAGCCCAATTCCTAGGGACCGAGGTCCCTTTGCCCCCCATGAAATATTTGAGGGGGCTGAGCCCCCCAAAGTTGATGGGCATTGCCATTCAAATGGTGTGCATGTGCCATGTCTTGTGATCGATTATGCCCCAATATTTTATTCACGTTGGCATCCGTGCATATACCTGAGCATTTGGTTCTCCTTTGTCAAATTTCCTTATTCTGCTAAGGATAATTAGTGAATGGTCTCCTTAGGAGGAGATCCTCCCTTGTCCCAGTCTTCTGCTTCCTTTTGTAATATATGAAAATATTTTGGTTTTGTTGCTTAGAACTTCCAAGAACTGCTAGGAAAGAAGTTCTGGAAATGTAATTGATATAGCTTTGTGTCAAGGTTCATTGGAAAGTCACAGTAATAATTACCTTTTAAATATCTACTTCTCAGCTTTCTAGATCAGGTTTTTGCAATCTTCATTTTGTGCCCCATTTATCAGAGGATGATGCGGTCTGTCTCCATTATGCTACCATTAAACAGCAATTATTTATACATACATACATACATACATACATACATACCACCATAGAGAGGCACTATTCAAATTTTTTTCTGCCACCAGGGTTTGGCTAATTTTGTGTTCACTATTTGTATTTCTTAGAGCCCTGTTCTCATGGTTGACAGTATTTCAGAAGAACTATTTGTTTCTTCAATCTCTTGTAACTTGGGGCAGTAGGAAAATGTATGGCTTGGTGGAGATGTGTGCATTCCATCTCAACAGCTTCTTTCTGGAGGATTACATTGATGTTCTGGGCAATAGAGTCTACTGCAGTTCCTGACACAGTTTGTTGATGAGATAGAAATCCTGAATTCTATAATTGTTTGCAAAGCATCCAGATATGGAGGTGAATTGCTGTATTGCTAGCAATGCAGTTATATTAAATTGTAAGCCTAGACTTACAATTATCTGTTACTTCAAATAATCTAGAATTCATTTGTAACATTCTTAAATTCTGTGCTGCTCGCGCTTTGATCTGTTGAAAGATTAACCTGGATGGGAACTCTCCCCCCACACACCTTATTTTTTAGGGCAGGTTGTGCCGAATTATGTGAAGTGACATGTATTAACTTCTGTTGCCTCCTCTTACTTTTTCATGTATTCTTGTTGTACTGAATTAGCAATCATGATACTAATTGCAATATTGTTATTAAATAATGTACCTTAAGCCAAACATGTCAATGGAGGGTCAGGTACCTTGTCTCCTACACTTTGTGGCACTTGTAACCAATTTCTCACTATTTTGTTTGCCAGGTTCTTGACAAAGCGAGAGCAAAAATTGATGAAGCGTCGCCAGCACGCTGAAGAATTGCTGGAATGGAAACGCCGCTTAGATGCAGAGGAAGAAGAGATACGTCAAATAGAGAAGCAAGCCCTGGCTGCCTGGGACATGGAGCTGCTTAAAGCAAAAGTGAACAGAAAGGGGGCCGGAGACCAGAAATCTGATGCAAAAGGTACAAAAATGAGAGGGTGTTCTTGAGAAAGACCTTGATTGGGTTCTGATCATGGAGGAAAGACTCATGCAGTTGGCCCAAGTCACAGGAGCAAGATGATCCTTTCCTTCAACATGGAATTGCACCACAGTGGAGCAGCTCTCACATCTTCCAGAGATAGATAGTCTGATCAAAGGGTTAGATCAAAGGGTTATGCCCATTTCACATGATTATTAGACAGATTCTTCTTCTTCTTTTTATAGCAGCCACCACTCAAAAGGAGGAGATCATCAGTTAAGCATTGGTTTAGCTGCTGTTTGATGGTTCTTGGTAGCTGTGTTTTTTTTCTGGAGGGGGAAGAATACTTGGTGCACTTGATATAGCCTTCTGTGCGGGTGGCACTGTGGGTTAAACCACAGAGCCTAGGGCTTGCCAATCAGAAGGTCGGAGGTTTGAATTCCCGCGAGGGGGTGAGCTCCCGTTGTTCAGTCCCTGCTCCTGCCAACCTAGCAGTTCGAAAGCACATCAAAAGTGCAAGTAGATAAATACGTTTACCAGCGGAAAGGTAAACGGCGTTTCCGTGCACTGCTCTGGTTTGCCAGAAGCGGCTTAGTCATGCTGGCCACATGACCCAGAAGCTGTACGCCGGCTCCCTCGGCCAGTAAAGCGAGATGAGCACTGCAACCCCAGAGTCATCTGCAACTGGACCTAACGGTCAGGGGTCCTTTTACCTTTACCTTTTCTTGAATGGTTGATCTTGTCTTGAACTATTCCAGTTCGTTGCATTTGGTGAAGAACTAATGCCAGTGCTTTGATCTGGCAGGATAAAGATGGTAACAACAACCTTTCTTCAACCACCTTTCCTTTAAATGAAATTGGGGAAAATTGAAATTGAACTCTGTGTGAAAAATGAAACATTAAAATTCCAGTATCAGTCCAAATGGCCCCAAATGTGAAAATCCAAAGTATAGGAACTTTGTTTATTCAGTATTTGAAGGAAGGAGGTATATAACTATACCTTACTCTATTTTATAAAAAAAAATATTGGTTTTACATTTTAGTTTTACATTCAGACACAAAATACAATCATAAAGTATAGAATTCTCTGAATTCTCAGACTTCCTTCCTTCCCTCTGTGGAATCCGCAAATAATCACTTTCCACTGCATATCATATTGTCATCTATTTGTCCATAAATACTCAACTTTATCCAAAGTTCTTTTTCAAGTGCTTTGCAAGTGTTATTGCAATCCTGCTAATATTTTTAATTGTTTAAGTGTTCTCTCAAATAAGTTACAAATTCCCCCCAGTCTTTATTAAAAATTTTATCATCCTGGTTTCTGATTTTTTTCCAGACATTTTAGCCATTTTGGCATAGTCCATCAATTTTGTTATTGATTCCTCTCTTGTTGGAATCTTCTCTTCCTTCCATTTCTCGACTAAGAGTATCTGGGCTGACGTAACTATTCCTTAGTCTTACCTCTTTTTCCTTTGGCTGACATCTCCAAGGAAAATAATATGCATGAGTGGGATATCTGGGGCCTTTGTTTTTTGTCACTGTGGTTGTTACATACTTCATATAACATCACTTTATAGTGATGACCCTAGGGCTATCAAAAGCAGCAATAAAATATTTGTAACATTTAACTGAATCATTGCCAGATACATCTCATTGGACTGCAATACCTCAAGCATCACCTCTCCCCATATGAACCAACCCAGACCCTGCGATCATTATCTGAAGCGCTTCTTTTCAGAGGGCGGCAACATGAGAACAGGGTTTTTCTGTGGTGGCTCTCCGCTTGTGAAATGCTTTCCCCAGGGAGGCTCACCTGCTGCCTTTGTTACACACCAGGCAAAAACATTCCTTTCCTCCCACGACTTCAGCTAATTTAATAATCTATGGTTGTTTAAACTGGGGGGTGGGTATTTTTTTTTTGTCTGTTACTATGGTATGTATTTTGTGCTTTTATATTGTAAATAGCCCCATAATCCTCAGATGGTGGTGTAGAGATGATGGTGGTGATGATGATGATGATAAATTGCTAATTACAATTGCTTGTTGTTCAGCTGTGCCTGTGATCTTTGTGTGAGGATTCATTAATTTTGTGTGTGTCCCTCACCTCAGTAAAGGGGAATTAAATTTGTAGTCAGAACATTTGTATCATCTCTGTATGTGAAGGTGGCGGTAGTTATTGCTCTACTGACTCTACTCCACTATCTTTTCCCAGAAATAGCCAGTGAAGATGAGTCTTCAGTGCTACCATGTTCTCACCTGAATAATGAAAGTTCTGTCCCTGAAGAACTGGGCAGTGTCACTGCTGAGAATTGCCTATCAAAGATCTCTGAGGACCAAGAGCAGTTGGAAAGCCTGGATCACAAACCTACTGAAGAAATGGTTTATAAACACGTTAGTGAACTTGTTTATCACTGTACTAAAACCATGTTGCACCGTGACTAAATATTGCATATAGTTTATTTTCTTCTTGGAAGAAAAAATAGCATTAATATTTTGATTTCAGCAACTTGTAGTATATCTAATTATAGCTGCAGATGGAATTCTCCTAAAAGTTCACAGATGCTGAGCAGTTGTAACTAAAGAACTATGACCAGAGAATGTTTTCCATACTTGTGATTGGTCTGTTGAAAATGATTATCAGGATGCATGTTTCCCACCCACCTCCCATGTGAATTTTACAAGCAGATCACTTTCTTCCCTCTTTGAATAGTCTCCATCCAAAAGCAGCACATCCCCGTCAAAGCAAGAATCTAGCAAAGGAACCCACAGAACTGCGGAGCAGCAAAATTTATCTACAATATCCCAAGATGTATCTTACTGTTGGTCCGATGAATCTTTTTCCATGACTCAGTCAGGTACGTATTAGAGCTTCGGGATTCCTATCTTGTTTTTCAAGCATAAGTCACACTCAACATTTAGGCATTAATATTTCTTTCTTGCTGGGGAAAGTACATATTGTTTCCATTTAGGAAGCTTGTTCACTAGAGTAAGTGTCAATGTCAGTTCTCAACACTCCCCCCCCCCTTGGGGCTTTTTGGGCTGAATCTTTAAAAAATAGGTGTGAAGGTACGTAAGCTTGAAAAAGCTCGGAGTTCTTCCAAAATTCCATTGATGAAATCAACATTACCTGGGTGCCTAACCGCACTTAGCTTCATTGATATATGAACAGGTTTGTGAAGATTGCTACATTAAATATTAGCTTACTCATGCATCACCATCAAACTAGGTGGAACTTAATAGCATGAGCAAACAAGAGAAGGCCCCGACTCAAAAATCATATGATCAATCAATTAGTAAAGCAGTAAAAAAAGTAGTACTGCGCATTTGTCTCTGAAATTATGAAAACTTTCCTTATCAGAAACTGCATCTGATCAAAGTGATGTTGAAGGCCGGATTCAGGCTCTGAAGGATAAGTTACGGAAGAGAAAGTCTGTTGTTTACCAGCTGAAAAAGGAGCGGAAGAAGAGGTACAAGGAGAGGCTGAGAGCCCAAGAGGCTAGTTTGATCAAGCAGTTAGAGGTAAGGATAACTTGAAAGAGGTGTTTTAAATAGTCATGGAATCTATAAGAAAAATCATTTTCTCCTCCAGCTTGGTAGTAATGGTGCCACTATTTCCATGTTTTCTTTTAAAATGCACAATTTTAAAATAGTAATCACAGCTTAAAGGTTGCAGTTTTCTAAGATTCTATAGTCTTAGTGGTGCTGACAAATAGGGAAGAATAATGCTCTTCTGAGGTACAGTTTAGTTAATATGCAGTGGCGTAGCGTGGGTTGTCAGCACCCGGGGCAAGGCAAGTAATTTGCGCCCCCTAACCCGTGGATTTTAGTAGGGGCAGAGAGCTGCGAGTGCGACCGCGCCCCCCCGAGATGTTGCACCCAGTGCGGCCGGCCCCCCCTGCACCCCCCACGCTACGCCACTGTTAATATGCAAAAGCTATTTGAAAAAAATAAATTATTTTCAGTTATAGCATTCTGTATTGGCATATGTTCAGTAAGACTGTCAAGGTAAACTTAATTAAAATGGAGCAAAGAGAATTTTTACAAGAATCTCATCCTCTGTTTCTATTTGTTCACTCATTTTCAAAGTAAGAATTAAAGTTCTCAGACTTTCCTCACCTATTCTCAGACTTATGATGAATTCATTAAGAAGACTGAAGCAGAACTGAGTAGGGATCTGGAGGCAACGTCTACTGCAAAGCCTCAAATTAAAACCCCGTCTTCACCTACTGAGAAACCAAAGATCAAGTCATCTTCACTGACTAGGTAATACAGTTGTCTTTCTAAGTGTATGCCATTGTATATTTCTTCCAGATACCACAGTTAAATTTGTTTGTTGTATCACACGGAGTTGGAGATTAAGACTTATGGGGAGATCTATTTATTTTTTTAAAAAATGCCCTGGCCTAATAGCAAGTTTTGGCCAGGTTTTTTATTACCATGTTTCTTTAGTGTCTTTAGCGTATCACACTTTCACATACCATAATGGCATAATGGCTGTTGGTTTCCCTTTTTTTTTTTTAAGGTCAGAACCAACAAAAAGTTGGAAATCGATAACTGATTCTGAACGTCCCAGAGGGTCCCTGGAGTCCATTGCAGAGCATGTTGGTACGTAGCTTGAAAAACCAATGCTTGCTGATCTTGTCTCTGCCGAAACCTTCCTGGATATTTACAATGTGCAAACTGTATGAGGGGTGTTGTGGGTAAACTATATCCAAGATAAATGATTCTTCCTTCTTTGGGGCTATAGTTTTTGAAAGTAATGTCAGTTCAATCAACACTTCCCCCAGTAATTAATTGTAACAGTTTCCGGACTACAGCCTTGGAACAAGGAGGTACAATTTCGGAAACTGTTTCATGCCAAAAGTATGAATTTCAGAAATATAGTTTATATTGGTATCAAAGTACTGCACATATTTCCTAGTGTTTTTCACCCCTTCTCTGTGTGCGCAGTTACGCTGTGTCTTTACATTTTTCTGTACTTCTTCAAAGTTGAAATGAGGCTGTATTAGAAAGGGTGCACAAAACTTTTCTACGCACAAAAAGGATTATAAAAAGTCAATTGCTTCAACCCTTTCTCTTCCTTTTTAAAAATGCCAATTTGAGATTGAAATCAAATAGATACCAGATAAAAATGTTTAAATTTGGTTTAAATGTGTCCCAGAGGACTCTCCCCAGGTCGCGCCCCCTGTCACCAGGCCATGTTCCTCATGCCCCTTGAGTGCTTTTGCTTGGCTGGAATGTGTCCTTGAACTGTGATCAATGCCCCTTGCTTGCTTGCTTGCTTGCTTGCTTGGATGGAGGTGGTGGAGAGACACACGTCTTCGTGTGTGTGTGTGTGTGTGTGTGTGTGTCTGTATGTATGTATGTAACTCTTCAATGTTTGCGTGGCTGGAATGTAGCCAGCTTTACGAAGGCTAGGATCCTCCACCCACTTTTGCTTTTGGCCCCATCCACCACTGACACATTGCTCCAGAAAGTTGCTCATGAGGGAATACAGCCCTTGAAAAAGATTCCTCGCCCCCGGTTTAAAATATTCCGTTCCTTCCTGTGAATGGAACGGGGCTTTCCTTCCTCGCTCCTTCACTCTGGAATTCTCACTGCTCTTACCCCAAATCTGCTGGTGAGCATTAGGGACCCCCCTGGAACAGTGTGGGATCTGGTATGAGAGACTGCAGATAGGGATGGGAGCTAGAGGAAGTCATTTTGTTGTGACTGGAAGAGCCACTTCGGATATATATGTTTGACACTGTAAGATAAAACTACAAAACTGTATTAAGAATTCTTAATACAGGGATATGACTGTAGATATGTGTAGTCTCTATTGGTCCTCAAAACTGGGGAAAGGCCCATGGGCAGGAAAAGAAACAGGAAGAAACCTTAGGGGCTTGAAGAAACATTTCCGCCCTCAGTGGTTTAAGAACTTGGTGGAAATTACTGTAAAAAATGTGCTCCTGAGAAGGAATTAATTCTAGAAATAAATCTGTCTTCAACTATGTAGAGACCTTTCCTTGTTTTTTCCTGAATTGTACCTCCCAAGTTAATTTCTGTGGTGTTCTCTCATTCATACTCTCTCTCTTTCAACTTCATGAATGTAAGCCAGAAAAATGCAGGTGATTAGCATTTCATAATTTAACGTAATACAACCTGTTACCTATTATGTTGCTAATTGATAGTTTTCACTGTGTTGGAGTTGTGAACCTCCAGAATCTTGGATGTGCACTCTTTCATTTCTCCACTCACTCCCCCCCTCCCATTTTCTCTGTCCTACTCTATTGCCCTTTTAGTGAAACATTGGCCTTTTAAAGTATCTGTGAAAAGTTTTACATATATATTTCTTTAGTTGGATATAGTGCTGTTCTTAACTGATATGTTGTTAAGCCCCTCTGGGTTATTTTGTAAGGAAGTTGGGATGTACATTTTTAAAATAAATGAAAAACTACTTGACTGCACGGGTGTTTAGCCTGGCTATCAAGGATTACACTTTTTCATTAGAACACAAGCATGATTGACTTAACTGCTTTAATAAGGTTAAATTGCAAATGTTATACAAAATGATGTAAGCCATTCATGTCTTTATTCCCACCCCCACCCCTCAGATGCTGCTTCTCATGAGAAATCTGTGTCTGCATACACCAAAAAATTCATTGAAGCAGAAATTCAGACCGAGGAGCACTCCCGAACACTAAACTCATTTGTACAGTCCCCAAGAATATCTAGAGCAGAACCTGGTGGTTCATTGGACAGTTTGGCTTCGTCAGCTCTCTTCAAAGACTTAGGAGACTTAAGCAAAACATCCCATGTGTCACAGGACAGGTTTGAAGATGCAGAGAGTTATGATTCTATTGTTTCCACTATTAGATCTGTGATACAAGAGGAAATTGAATCTGTAGAATCAGAGGCAGAAGTTTCTCAGAAGGTTTCTGAAAGATGTGATGCTTATAAATTTAACAAAGAGCTGAAGAGTTCACCTCCGGCTTCCCTAAAGACAGATGTGTGTCCTGAGGCTGAGCTGTTGGAAAAGAATCAGACTGAGTTGGCTTTTGTATGTGTTGAGAGAAAAACTGAGATGCCAAAGGAAACTAACAAGGATGATAAAAGTGCCTTATCGATCAAATCCTCTCCTACGTTGAGCAAGGAGCTGCTGAAAGGAGATGCCTTGGTTTCAGAAAAGATTTCCATTTGCAAAGAGCCAGCATATTCAAATGATTTTGAAGTGTCTTCCTCAGGAACAGAGATGTCAAAAGATGAGACATCTCTTACTGAATATTATAAGGATGATTTTGACACATTTACATTGTCCCTTGAAAAAGACTCTAGGTCACAGGGGGAGAAATCTTGCTATACAAAAACTCCTAGGAGTAGTATTGAAAGTGATGATGAAGTAAGTGAATGTCTCAGTGACAAGTCTTCATCTGTGGCTGGCAGTGTTCATTCAGAGAGATTATTAGAACTGAAGTCACCCACAGAATTTATGAAAAGTAGGGAACGCAGTGATGTGGAAGAGGAACCTTCTCATGTTGATTCATCACTTTGGGTTTCCATTTCCAAGACAGAAGAAGAAACCATTTTGAGAGGTTTCAACATTGGTGACAGAGTTCTTGTGAGTAATATCCAGCCAGGTACACTGAGATTCAAGGGCCTGACAGAGTTTGCTAAAGGCCTTTGGGCTGGTGTAGAGTTGGACAAGCCTGAAGGAAATAATAATGGCACTTACAATGGTGTTCAATATTTTAATTGTAAGGAAAAACATGGTATTTTTGCTCCTCCACAAAAAATTTCTCGTATTTTGGAAAGTTCCAATAATTTCATGGACACAGCTGAAAACTCTTTATGCAAACAAGAGCTAAATCACCACAAAGTGGATCAAAATGAAAAAGAGAATCTTGAAGAGGAGAGCGAAGGAAGAAACCTAAGTAAGAAATGTCCCCAGAATAGTTTTCCAAGAGATGCATCTGCCGTAGAGGACTCACCTGCAGCCGAAGATTGTATAACATTTGCCTCTCCGCTCCTGGACTTGCTGACGAAAGAAAGAAGCCAATTAGAAGCACAACTTAGAGTCCCATCCCAAAAGGAGGAAGAACAGATAGAGCAAAAGAAAAAGGTTGGCTTGCTGGCCGATAGCCTCCTGCAGGCTTTTGTGAAGGACACAGTTCATGAACTGCGGCAAATTGGGAAGGTCAAGAATGAGAAAATCCAGTGTAGCAATCAAGACCTCTGTTCTGTCCAAGAGAAAAGATTGGAAGCTAATGACCTGCAGAGCACTTTAATTTCTGAACTGGATGATGGCGAAGAAGTTTCTTCTCCAGATATGTATCCCAGAGCTGTAAGTACAGTCAATCTCTATTGGGGAGGGGGGAAGACGTCTGCAGAGAGCTCTGCAAAACTCTTTCCAAACCTTTTCACCTTTCATTTCAAGCTCTGGTTGTGGAGCAGACTTTTGAAGCATATGTGATTTTGACAAAAGGATGTGGCAACCCAGCTATCAGTCATGTGGCATCACAGTGACATAATATGATAGGTGGATTACCTGTTGAAGTATGCCCACAGGTTCCAGCCCCTGGAGCTAAAAAAGGTCCTCTACTTGCAGTCTAGCCATTAAGTCTTATGACTGATGAATGGAATGGGGCTTATCTGGGGCTGATGCCTACTAGATTCCACTGTGTATCAAAATGTGGCATACACTATAGGTGAAAACCACTACTGTTCTGAGTAGCAACCACTTTCTTTTTATTCTACAGGAAAGCCCTGTGTGTTGTGCCAGTGGTCAGGAAGAGCTTGCCAAGAGGCTGGCAGAACTGGAGCTTAGCCGGGAGTTCCTGGATTTATCGGACGATGAGCAAGATTGGTTTGAAGAAGACTTTGGCTTGAGTTCTCAAAAACTCATTCAGAAGGAAGCAGAGGACTTGGCTGTGCCGTCTGAAACAGAGCCCCCCAAAGTGCCTTCCAAGCCATGTGAAGAGCTATTGGCTGTCCCACACACTGCAGAAGAGGTGGAGGAGCTGGTGCATGCAGCAGCTGAAGAATTATGGAAGTGCAAAAAGCTGGGGCACGAGATTCAGGCTTTCAGGCTCCCCAGAGATATGAGCGATTCCCCCAGAGATGATGACATTGAAGCTGTTAGTGAACAGATCTATAAACAGGTACATCAAGGGAGACAGTTGGGATTGTTGCTCTCAGATCCACGTGAAAAATACTTAGGAATCCTTTGGAAAAGAAGGAATGTGCTCTTTTGGTCTCCAGCTTTATTTATTTAGTTATTTCATTAATACATCTATCCCACCTCTCCTCTAAGAAGTTCCAGGCAGTTTCCATGGTTCTCCTTCCTGCCCCAATTTTATATTTACAACAACCTGTGATTAAGCTGAAAGGTAGGAAGTAGCCGAAGGTCACCCCCAGAGCTTATATGACCTAGTTGAGATTTGAATACAGCTCTTCTGGGCCTTAGTCCAACACAAAGTTAGGGGGTGCATGCAGGGGGTTTGTGTAGGTGTGCAACAAGAGGGGGACCGTTAGAAAGTAATTCTAGAAGTTGTACCTCATCAGGAAGATTCACCTTCCACATTGAGAGACATGCACCAGAATAGCTGTGGTCACTATGCAGGTGTAATTATAAACCACAGACTGCATATTGATAGTCCTGGAGAATACAACATCTGAAGCTATTTTTATTCTACATTCTTATGTTTACCAAGGCTGTGTTTGACTTAACAAGAGAGATTTTTGAAGAGATCTTTGCAGAAGATCCCAGTATTAACCAACCCATATGGATGAAATCCTGCAGAATTATTACTGGTTATTTCCATCGAGTAAAAGATCCAAATGATCTAGAGGAGATCAAGGTAAGAATGAAGCTGTTAATTTCATTTAGGGACTTGGCACACTTCATCTGTAAGCCAAAAAAAGTTGTATAGAAATAGCTTATAATTTTATCTAGAATTTTAAAAAATAAGCCATGACTTAGTGTAAGCTTTCCTAAGTGTGACCCTTTCCATTTGCCAGTTTGCACCTATGCCCCCATACAAGGCTTGTTATCTTTTAGTTATAGCAAGAAGACTTAAGCTCTACCATGAATACATGACTGCTCTGACCTGTATTCTGGGATGTAAAACTGATGAGCTTTGTGGTTCACAAATAAGTTTATAATAGTTACTGCTATAGTTAGGTATCAAGTTGCTTTATTGTAATTGAACTAGCATAATTCTGAGAGTCCTTCCTGGATAGTATGTTAAATTCACTGCATTTTAGTTTCTGAGGAGGAGGTTTCCTAAAGAATATACTCTTGTCACCTCTTAAGATGACTATAGTGAGTAGGATTTTACTATGTTTAACTACTATATAAACCGACAACACATTTTCAGAATTTTCACAAGAATGACCAAGGAAACATGTTATATCTTCTATTGTACATTCCATACCCAACGGTACAAAGTTCTTCACTGGATATCTTCCACCTTTGAATTGTGTTGGTAGAGAGGATTCTGTGAATAGGATATATTTCTTTCAAATATATTTAGCTCATTCTTATATACTTTACCCTAGTGTTTCATAGCAACGGAGGTGCTCAGGCTCTTAAGTTTAAAGAAGGAGCCGAACCACAAAACGGACTGGCAGAAAATGATGAAATTTGGACGGAAGAAACGTGACAGAGTGGATCATATACTGGTCAGTAGATATTTTTAAAATTAGTTGCTGAAACATTTACTGGATAGCTATCAAAGGACAGGGAGTTCATCTGCTTATCAATAAAATAATTTGCCCTTCTGTGCTTATACTGAAACTCATGGACATGCTCCAACCAAAACTGAGCACATTAAAAACCCATTAGACTGTAATGGCTTAATGGAATCTACTAACTCCAGAGCAGAGCATTTGCTTTGTATTAACTTCATGAGTAGCAAGAACCCAGTGTTTGCCATTTGGGGCTGCCTTGCTAAACCAAGCCAAAAATTGTTGTCATCAGCTTTGTCCATCCTGCCCTGATGGAGACAAGCACTTTCATTCAATAGCAGCCAAGGAAAACACACACACACACACACACACACACACAGCTATTTCCTGCAGGAAAAAGAGGTGGACAAATACACCAGATTCACCAGATGCTTGATGGCAGTGTTCAGAACACCCATCCCTCTGCAAAAGCCAACAAAATCACAGCCACCCTTTCCTGCTCCAAAATAGAAGAGTGTTGGGGGGTTTGGGCCCTACATGTTTAAAATGATCCAAGTGTCTTCGCCACCAAGCTACTTTCAGCACTCTGTCCAGAGTAAATACTGAAGCCTGGCAGGGAGTTTTATTTGAATTGTGAGAGTAGAATGGGTGCTGGTGGTGATGTAAGAGTTTGGAATTTTACTTCATCTTAAATGGGTATATACAGTATATACTCAGTCATGCTGTCATTTCATTGTATTGCACAGTATGGGTGGAGCTTAAAATCACTGCCAGCTGTCAAGACAGACGTAACAGTGGAGGCTGGGGTATAGCACTACAACTGGCCTGAAGCCCTAGTGTGGAGTGAGTGTAGTCACTGGCAAGCCCAGGTTATTGCAATATTTCCAAGTTTGCTTTTAAGCTGTTATATAAATGATGACTGTATTATGTTGTTCATAATAAAACACTTGGGTTGATTTCCTGAAGCCTGTTCTAAGGTGGGAGGAAGCAAAGGTAGCTGCAGGCTTTTACAAGAACGTGCTTATTCTAAATATGTATACAGATTTGTATTTAATAGTAGGAACTTTCTCTCCCTCTGCCCCCTCTAAATTCTAAGACACAGGAGTTGCACGAGGAAGAAGCTCAATGGGTGAACTATGATGAAGATGAGCTGCAGGTGAAGATGCAACTGGCAGATGGAATTTTTGATGCCTTACTTAAAGACACTGTTGATGTCCTTCACCAGATTAATGAAAAACACAAGAAGCTGCTGACTGTCTGACACAGAATATTTTTTTCCGTAGCAATATGGTTTTACATCTCCACCTTTAATAAATTGGAGTTATTAAAATGAAGAACCATGTTTACTATTTAGTTTCCGTTACTGGATGTCTCGTGCTCTAACCCAGTTAGCACCTCCGTGAGTGGTTCCCCAAAAACCACTCACAGAGGTGCTAACTGGGTTAGAGCACAAAACACCCATCAGTGGAAACTAAATAGTAAACATTGCTCTTCATTTTAATAACTCCAATTTATTAAAAGGGGGAGATGTAAAACCATATCGTACTCCAGTGACAGAAGCTATATTTTACTTGGATATACTGAGCTGAGCTGCAGAACCAGTTTGACACGGTTATTTGCACAGACACGTACACACACGCTTCGTATCTGATATGAAGCGTGTCTGTAAATAACCCTGTCAGACTGGTTCCCAGGCCAATTTCTGCTACCGATCACACCTGCAGCTCAGCAGATTATAATTGCAACCTTAACACTCTGTAAACTGTAAGATATCCAGGGTAGTCCCTGTGTATACCAGTGTAAATATCTTTGTTAATTTGAGATGTACTTTAAGAGAATAAAAACTGTAAATAAACTGGTTTATAAATTATCCTTAAAAAATTCTCTTTTTGAAACGTGATCCTAATTCTCTCTCTGTATATGTGTATCTTACTCTACTCCATTAAAAAAGAATTACATACACACACACACACATATACATACACACACACACGCGTGCACACATATATTTTGTGTGTGTGTGTGTGTACATTTCTGTGCCATTTATTCATATTCACATCTAAAAACGATCTTTAAAAATTCACAGTAACCTCCCAGGGCTTCTGAGGTGACTTTAAAGGAAGACAAAACAACAACACAATTTTAATTTGTGTTCAGCCTGAGACACAAATCTGAGAAAAATGAGGGGTTGAGAGAGCCACGAAATGGAAAAACTCTTTCCCCCACCCTGCCCCTCTACTGTGAGGCCTGGACATGAGAGTAACAGCCCTCTCCCATGCATGGCTACTTGGAAGGAAGCTACACTGCATTCAGCCAAGAGACAGGCCCAGCACCACCACAAACCTTTCCAAGGCAGTCACCTCAAGCGGCACTCTGGGGGCAGCGGCAGATGTGCACCTGGCGTCTGCTCCTGCCTCCATGCCTCCTCGCTTGTGGTGGTGATCCCTCTTCCCTGGACCAGTTTCTCCAGGGATGCAGGAAAGCTTTCCCTCCCTGTTCTTTTCCTTTAACATTTCACTCCCCCTCCCGTCGCTTCACCGCAGCACCTCTCCCCATTTTACAGCATTGTACCTTCCTTTTCTTTTCGCACCTCCACCCAAACCGCTAACCCACAGATTCCGTCCACGCTGCACGCGCAGCTGCCTCTTGCCGGGCAGGTTGCTAGTTTTGGAGGAGAGCGGCTCCCATCTCTAGCCAGCAAGCCATGGTGCAAAAGCGAGAGAGAGGTCAGCCGGCAAAATGGAAAGCGGAGGTGTGTTTGGGGGGTTGACGAGGAAGTGGGTGAGATGAGCAGTTTCCCACATGACCTTCCTCCAAAGACACATTTCAGTCGATCAAAATCAAGGAAGGAGCAAAGCAGAACTCGAGGCCTGAAGGCTTCCGTTTCTTCCCTGAGCCTTACATTCCCTATCCATGCTCTAACCCAGTACCCCTTAAGAACTACAATTCCCAAAGGGAGTGCCATTTTCTGGTTCACCTCAGGCAGCAAAAAGTCTTGGGCAAACTCTAACCAGAGAGGATGGGCAATAGTTACAGCAGGGGTGGCACATGTGCTTTCTGGGGGTTTGGGACCCAGCAATCATAACCCCCAGCCACCATGGCCAGTAGTCAGGGATGGTGGCTGTTGTAGTCCACAACATTTGAGGGTATCACACTGGCTGTTCCTGGGATTAAGGGCTCTTCCACACTTCTGCTAACCCCGGTACTTTCCCCCGGGGAAACCTGCTATTTACCAATGAATCAGAGCAAATGGTGATTGGGTTTTCTCCAGATTGACGTTTGCTCCAGTTTAGCGCTTAAGAGCAGGTTTTCCAGGAGAACGTGGTGGTGCAAAGGCCGAATGGCTTGGACCTGTGCTTTCTAGACATGGGATAAGCAGAAGTGTGGACAAGCCCCAAGACTGGGTGGATTCAGATTAAAATTGACACTGAGCTATGCAACTCGCTGGGTGACTCCCCCCGACTTTGAAACTTTGTCCCCCTTGCCATCTCCCAGCCTAACCTACATGACGATTTTAAACAGTTATCAAAAGCAGCAGAATTTAAAAACGGGTATACTGACAATTTATGCACATGTCTGGGTAGCTTTGCTGAAACGAGATTGTTTTCAGCATGCATTTAGAACAGCCTGCCAAATATTAAGAGAAGAGTTTCAGAGCACAGGTGCTGCCACAGTGAAACACTGGACTCCTCACAGATGCACCTCGCATGCTATTTGCAAGAGTGCACGTTCTGTAGATCGAAGCAATTGAGTAGGTGAAAGAGGGCCAGTGATCTAAGCATACTAAGACCTTGAACATGACTTGGTAGCAAATCAGCAACCAGTTCAGGTCTTTAAACAGGTGTAAATGTGGTGGACTTTTTGACTGATTCAAGAGGAGACTTCCTATGCCTTTACATAAATTCCAATACAGCAGGACAAACATAAGGGTTTGATAGTCACAGAGACTTTTCCCCTTGTTTGCAGCTCTCTCCTCAAGGGGAGGCCAAAGAGGCTTGCTGAACTCTGAGCAGAGAGCTCAAATAGAGAGACAAAACACTTTTTACGGGGGAAGTTTTCAGCAAAAGGCTTTGGCTGGTCCCCTTGCAGGCTGCGATGCCAAGAGAGATCAAGTTGCCACTGGCTGCAAATATGCATGGAGATGCAACAGCTGCTACCAGTGTTTTCCCCTGCCGTGGAACCTGTCCTGGGTGGAAACCAGCTACTGATTCCATCTGGCTTGAGTCCATCTGAGTTGGAATTCCACATTGGTGGGGTTTTACTCTATTGTCAAATCACATCAACAGCGCTATGGCAGTATAGCTAGACCCTCTTTGAAAACGTAGAACACAGCAAGCCTCTCCTCCAACAAAACTCACAAGGAATTGGCAGATCAACACCCATCCTAATCTGTTTTGACATTTAATTTCTAGAATAAGAGCTGGCAAGAATATGGGCAAACGGTTCTTAAAAGCAGAAGAGGATATTTAGGAGAAATCTGTTCTCAACTGCTTGGGTCACCTCCCTGTTTCAGAGACTGGCCAGATTTTCCCAGATAGTGAGAAACTCTGTGAGAGCCATAAGGAATCTGTCCTCTCAAGGTGGAACCATTTTAATGGGTTTTTCCACCTTAGCAGCAGTTTAGGGTGGTTAGAAAGGCTAATCCCTGTATTGTTCCTTGTGTCGTGAAGCAACACTGGAAACTGTTGTTACATTCAGTTGTATGACGCCTTTCTGTTGCTAGCCACACCTCTTCACTTTCAATATATCTCTTGTTCCTTCCAGCCCATCTCTTAAAGGAGCCCTGTCCTCAGGTTTGTCTGACCTCTGCAATAGATTCACATTGGATTCACCTACCCACAGATCACACTCTTTTTGCCCAGTATGAAACACCAAACCCATGGTCTGCTAGATGTACTGGATACCAGATTCCATTTGAGAGACTTGTGGTTGTCATGGAGGCCGTGAACCCCATGGCTCTTTTGCATCTCATGTATTGCTTGCACACTTCTCACAGGCATATGGTTGGCCACAGTGAAAACAGGGTGCTGGACTAGATGTGCCTTTGGCTATCTATATCACCAGCACAGGGACAACGAACTTGTTCCCCGCCCCAATACTGCCGAACCCCAAAGTTTTCTGACACAAGCACATGCAACACTCATTTCCCAAAAGAAAAAGGTGTGATGTCAAGAGCTAGAAGCTGAGGTCTACTCCTTTACACACCTATGCGGCAGGAGGAGAAACTGGCCACTGAAGCTGCGCTCGGCTCGATGCTTGACCCAATTTTTTTTTAACATGGGGGGCAGGCCCGCGCCTCAAAATATTGGGGGGGGGGGCAAAGGGTTGGGTCCCCAAGCACTGGTGCCCTGCACATAAACTCCACAGCTGTAAAATCCTTGTATTACGTTTGATGTCTGTAAAGCTTAGGTTCCCTCTTGTTGGCCTCCAACTCCCATCTACTCCTGTCACCATAACCATTGATCAGGGATTATTGGAGTTGTAGTCCATTGAAACCTGGAGGGCGGCAGGTCTCCCTGATTTAGATTTTTTTTCCTTTTTGCTCTCTTTCAGGGTGATTTTTTAGCTTTTTGTTGCTCATGGAGGCAGGGACGGCCAGTCATGTTTTTCCAACTGAGGCAAAATGAAAAGGTGCTCCCCTGTGTGCCCCCTGCCCCTCCTTGCTACCCCTGCCACCACCACCCCATTAGCGTGGCTTCCAGGTTCTGGCGAAATCTCACGTGAGCCCTTCTAAACCGATTATGAGGGGCTCTTATAATCTCTCACCAGAACACAGAAGTCACCGCAGCCATTTCTTGCTTTGGCGCCCCTTGGATTCTGCCACCTGAGGCGGCTGCCTCAGTCTGCTTCATGAATGGGCCGGCCCTGTACTTTTGAAAGAAATTAAGTAATTGGCTCAGCAGGGCTCCAGAGCTCCCGCGTGAGTAAATAGTTCACTTCAGTGTCAAGGCGATGCCTGCCCAGAGCTTTCACCAACACAGAAGCAAATGAGGAAACCTTCCTTGACTTTCGGGAACTCCCAAGTGTGTCAAAAGCTGCTGTGTCAGGAGCAGGGTTAGGGCAAGAGGGTGGCACCCCTCTAATCTGCATGGTTACTCATCCCCTGTCTCTTGGAATACCAGTTCCATTTCTCTCTGCCAATGGCTCCTTCCTAAACCAGTATCCTTCACCTTGTTGAAACACAGGGCCTTCTGCAGAAAGCGGAATTCCTGCTCTACAATAAAGCACGTGGATTGATACAAAACCAGTGTATTCTTCTGAGCGTTACACTTGTACATCCCATGTCCAGAAGCTTAATTTTTTGGTCCTCTGATCAGGCTGCTATGCTGCTGATGTTCCTCTTTGGCACTGATTTTAGTATGCAGTCCTTTCCTGGCCTCAACTGAACTCTTTGCTGTCACCTTCCTCATGGTTCTATAGCAGAGGAGATCCTGGAATAATTATACCGTGTTCCAAGTTCCTCGCCGCTTCATCTCAGGGAATAGTCCATCCTTTTTATGCTGTTGTGTAACTCAGGAATACCCCAGAGGCATCAGGAGTGCAGCCGTACTTTACAGCCACTTAGTTTTGGTAGAGCAGCTCCTGCCACAGCCAGCTGCGGGAGGCAAGAGTTTTGGCTTAGCCTCTCGGTGGCTTTTGGAATTCTAATTGCCGTGTAAAAATTCTGCCCTCCTGCAGCAAACAGAACCTGTCCGCACTGACTGGCTGGGTGGAGCCCTGGGAGGTTAATAGGCCTAGCAAATAAACAAAGCCATAACAAGCTGTGTTAACAACAGTTAAGAAGTCCCAGGAACTCATTGGCTGGGAGGAGCTGGATGCTGAAGGACTGATCAGGGAGCTCACTTGGTCTGTGACCCAGAGCTTCATTGCTGCTCATGGTCTTCCAGCGCTTCAGAAAGCCAGTGTGGTGTAGTGGTTAAGAGCGATAGACTCGTATCCTGGGGAACCGGGTTCGCGTCTCCGCTCCTCCACATGCAGCTGCTGGGTGACCTTGGGCCAGTCACACTTCTCTGACGTCTCTCAGCCCCACTCACCTCACA